GGACTTTTCACGCGAGTCGAAAATTAATCTTTCTATAAAATGGAGAATCCTTGTTTCTGAATTCCTTGAACGAAAGATTGGACAAAAAACATATGTCCAACATTTGCTGATAGACAAACAAAGTTGATTGATATTTTCAACCAATTTATAGAAAAGCCTTTTTCACGGTGCTTTTGAAGGTCTTTTGACAAAGAGTTGGTTCTATAACGTGACACTTGTCTTTTGCTAATTGCGTGAATTTTCTTGAATTTTTGGGAGATTGAAAAAATGTTTGGGAAAACGAGGGAGTCTCTTAGAGACGTTCCGGGTAGTAATGAGTCTTTTGGTTTTCTAAGCTTTTGAAAAAATCAGAAAAAAACAAAAGTTCAAATTTCCCAAATTTTTTCCAAAATTTTCAGAAAGATCATTTAGATTTTTGGATAATTTGATGGCCCTTGTTAATGAAAAACCCTTCTAAATCAATCATTCCCATCGCCCGAAAACAAAGCGGAGCCGCCTTAAAATATACTTTAAAAGTTTAATCCGGCTTAGATAGAAAGGCTCCCGTGCGGCGATCCCCCTTGTCATCGGCTTACGTGGCACTGTGTGCTTTTTCAGTGAGCTACTAATCACGGGATAGACAGAATTGTACATGGGAAAAAGTAAAAACACATGCTACTAGTAGAACATGATACCAAAAGATACATTTGACCAGTTGGATAACACCTTTTTTGGGGGAACTAAAATGTGAAAAGCGATCGACTTTTTCAGAATTCAAAAGCTCCAAAAATCACGTGACTTTTTCCCTCGAGCTCAAAAACCAATTCACAAAGGCGCTCATATTTGTAGCCCAAAATCAGCTGCGCCGAGTTTCCGTCAATTTTCAAAGGTCAAAAGGGGCAATAAAACGCTAAATATTCAGTAAAAACTATGCTCAACTGAATTTGCTCTTACGTAATGGCTTGACTGTATTTTGACAGAAAAAGAGAGGATAACGTCACCAAAGCGAGGCAGGCAGTCACATCCAGAAGGGAATTTTAATTTAGATAAAATGCGATACTGTCAAAAATGCGAACAACACAGTTTACAGATACAAGCAGATACAGGGAGAAGTACTGTTTTCGCTCGTTCTAATTTGAATTTTGCTGGAACTCGCTAAAATTTTAGTGAGAAGCGATTTCTTCCCGAAAAATGGAATTCTTCCAGCAAGCGGGGTCCTCCACCGGGACCTCCGCCGCTGAAAGAAAAAGATACCGCCTACTTTTATCGGTATCTTGGAGCTCGATTTTCAGAAGTGTGCTTGACTCTTTTGGGTTAATCGATCAATGTATAATTTTTCTCCGGGCGGGGTAATTTTGTATAATCAAGTATCGATGCTGCCCCCACCTGAAACTACTTAAATGACACTGTTACTGTCTAGATTTATTACGTGTTCAAGAAATTTTTAATATAATTGGCTGTCCACATCAGTGAACAAGATAAGATCCAAATCGGAATGTGTTGTTCGCCTCAAAAGGGATGAAAATGCAAATGGCTCCAATTTTGGTAAATTTCGGCGGTCGGATGACGTTGTCCGCCAGAGCAACCAGCGCACCGACTTGTGGTAAAATCCAAGAAGACGGAACCACATGGTGGTTCCTCACGCTCACGCTCACACAACACTTGCGTAAACTTTTCGGTCATCAGCGGGGTAAATCCTTAAAATGAGGGATCAGGGGAAACATCAAACAATGGATCAAAAAGTTGGGTCCTAGCTCAGGAACCGACAAAAAAAATCAAAAAAATTGGCGTGGGCGCTTTCTCGGCTTCTGATTGGCTCCTTGGCCGAATCCAGGCTTCTGATTGGCCTGCTAGCCGAATCTAGGCTTCTGATTGGCCTGCTAGCCGAATCTAGGCTTCTGATTGGCCTGCTAGCCAAATCCAGGCTTTTGATTGCGCTGCTAGCCGAATCCAGGCTTCTGATTGGCCAGCTAGCCGAGTCCGGGCTTCTGATTGGCCTGCTTGCCGAAATCAGGATTCTGATTGGTTTAAAATTTCGACGCAAAATTTGTCAAGTTTTTTTTGTCGGTTCCTGAAACCTCCCCGCTCAGTTCTCGAGGAAATGGAATATGCCACCTTTTATCAGAAAATTTGAGAATTTCTCAAGATTCTCGCCAGTTAATACTTCCCCCTGCCCTCGTCTGACTTCCGTCATTCTCAAGCCAGCGCGTCCAGGTGATCAATGAGCGAGGCTGGTAATTATCTGTGTTTTTTTCTGACGGGGCGCTCGAGTTCTCCTCTTTTTGAAGATCGCAAAATTGATGCTCTTAAAATCATGCGCCCCTTATTTTCTAAAAAGCGCCAAATCACGAAAAATTTAAAAGAAAAAAAGACGGCGCCAGTAATTCCTTTTGTTGAAAGTGGCGAATTTGCTCGACAAATACGGATTTTCAGAAATACAAATTTGAGACCGTTTTTGAACTAAAAATAACAAGAGATTTTGAATTAAATGTAAAGTATGGAAGATGAAGAACAGAAAAAGAAATCAGAACAGAGAAATTAAGAAAATCTATAGGACGTTTAATTTTGAAGATATTCATGGCGCTCTCAAGGTACATCTTTCTTGGGCGAAGACTAGGGTTAGGGTTAGGAAGGTTAACTGGTTGGCGCTTCTTACGAAAAATTGGTCGAAATAGGTTAAATTTCGAGCGCATTTTGGTCTTGTCGGTAGAAGTCGTCATTGATTGGTTCAAAAGTAAATTCTGTTTTTTGATTGGCCAAAAATCCTTAAATTTTAGCATCAAACAATTAAGAAAACTACAAGCTAAGATCCTTGTCATCTTTGAACCATTATTTTTCCTTAAAAAATTTTTTCGATTTCTTTTAAAAAATTCTAAAAAGCAAGTTTTTGGAGTTGCCCTAGTACATGAATCTTTTTTCATAAAAGAGTATTTGCAAGTATATGAAAAAACCGCGAGTGACGACAGGCTTGCGGAACTGACTAGTTCCTTGTAGACGGGCCGAACCAAAATAAGGAAGTAATAAGCTAGGAAGTGACAAAAAAGGAAGTGATTTTTTTGAAATGGGTTTTCATTGGCCGGTAGGCCAAATGCAGAGATCTTATTGGTCTTCAGAAAATGCACTTCCTTTTTTGTCACTTCCTAGCTTATAACTTCCCTATTTTAGTTCGTGCCGTAGACAGGGCCCAGTCACTTTCTTCAAACAATGTGCAGCTGCATTTGTATTTTTAAATTGTAAAATTCAGATAACCAGATGAACAGCCTGTTTTCTTAGTTTATGAATTTGAAGAAAATGAATTCCTAAAAGTACTAAAAAGGGACAAAAATCAAGCTGGGAAGCGATTAATCACTAAGCTTACGGAAGCGCTCAAAAGCTCAATGACTGGCGCCGGAAACAGATTTATGGCGCCGTTCCACTAAATTTTCGGCTCTTGAAGCTTTCTAGAGCTCAAGTCCATTTCGGGAGGATTTTAATACTTTCACATTGAAAGTCAAGTAGGTAAAATTTATTATTCGAAAAATCATTTCCCACAAGTACTTATCTTAAAATATGCATTTTTTCTTCTGTAATTTTCCTAAATTGTCGGTATCAACGCTTTTAAGGTTAACTAATTTTTTGGAATTTCATAAAAATTGAATAAATTCTGAAGCTGAATTTTTAAGAATAAGAGTTTCTTGTTAGAGGATAAGGAATTCGAATCAGATAAGATTACGACCTTTTCAAATTATCGTGCTGAATTACCACGTTTCAGAGGCTCTGCCGACTCCTAACAGGATCAGAATCATCAGCATAAATCGAACAAAAAATTATTCGAAAAAACCATAAAGAAAAATTAAAAAGAAGAAAATCGCAATTTTTAAATGACCTAAAATTTGATTAATAGCAATGACCAAAATCATCGATATCCTTAATCTTCGTTAAGCATTTAAGGACCCCCCCGTCAACAATTTTCCTCAAAAAATCGAGAATTTCAAAAAAGCCATATTTTCGCTTTTTAGTGGTCCTGGAAGTTCAATTTATCATAAAAACTTGTTCGGAGCACATTTTGACCAATAAAAATCTAAAATTATAGCAAAATTGGGACTTTTTCGTCATTTTTCGCCAAAAAGTCCAATTTTCAAACGCGATTTTGAGGGTGTTAGAGTCGAGATAGACCCCCAAAAAATGAAGCCTCAAAATCGTTTTTTGACCTGTAGAATCCATTTCTGGGGTCAAAATTCTGAAATTCCGAAAATAGATTTTTCGAAAATTGTTGACGGGGGGGTCCTTAAAAAACGCATCTTTTCCATGAGAAACAACAGTGAATCTTCGTAACCGTCACGACTTCCTGTGCGCTAATTGCACAGCTTTTGAAGTCAACTAATCATTTTTCATGGTCAGCTCCTCCCGCCTCCATGTCTCCAAATTTTGCATTTTTATTGCATGCATCGTAGCTCATAAAAAGTCTGGAATGTCACCCTCAATTACTCAAGGCTCAAGGCTGGTGGCACCCCTTTTAAAATTAACTCCAGCTGTCGAAAAAACAATTTCTGGACTCGAAAATTAGAAATTGGGTAATTGCCTCGGGGCGGGTAGGGGTAGTATTCCCTTAAGAATTTTATATTTCAAGGGGAAAATTGGCGACTTGTCAAAACCGACTTCGCGCATAATGGCTTTTTGATTAAATTAGTTTTCGGGGGGATATTGGGAGACTCCCAGTATTGGAAGCGACGTAAATTGCAGCTATCACTCAGCGGAGCCGCGTTTTGAGCTCAGGGGGATTATATTTTTAATCGATTTTTTCTTTTTTTTAGGGCTCTATGAAATTTGAGAAAAGTGGAATGAAAATTTTAAAAACCACAAAAATTCTTAGAATTTATTTTTTCATATATTTTTTGACTGTCAATAAAACGGCTTCTAATCAAATTTTTTGCTTTTGAACACATGTAATCGAATATCGTCGATTTTTTATGGATATTTTTATGATAATGAACTTTGAAGTATTCACTTCGGAACTTAGAAAAATTAACCTTAAACTTTAGGCGCGATGCAATGCTGCGATTGAAATGACGAGGCACTCATCTGTCTTCGTCTCGTCCGAAATGCGCCGACCGCGGAGCGCGAAAAACCCGCCCTGTACATTTTCGCGAATTGCCAACTTCGACGAGGGAGCCCTCTCCCGAAACTCCTCCCTGGAAACGACTTCGTCCGCCAGCTTGAATCGCATTTCCAGTCCGTTTTCATCCAAGTAAGTGCCGTTCTCTTTGTAATTGATGAAGAGCTACAGTCATTCAATAAATGACCTGTGTTTTGCAACGCGTGGCCCCCAACAACGATAAGATTTCCGGGCAAACAAAAATGATGTTTATAAATTTGTCGGAAAAAATAATCAACCACGCGCCAATTGCTAAAATCATAACTCAATCCAATCTGACAGTTACACCCTTATTTGTAGCCAACGTCATTCCCTGTCATCGTCAAATCCAGATTCTGGACTGTGCTCCCTCGACTTGAGCGATATTTCCCTCAACGGAGCGAGCAGAAGCGACATTTCTAGAGTCAGGAGTTCCGATGATGTTACAAAAAGATGCCTAAAGGTAAGAAAAAACTGGATATCCGGTAGGAGAAGATTGCATTTTGGACATTTTAATGCGCGGCTCTAATGAATAACTCAAAAAGCTCTAAGTGGCGAATGAAAGGGCAGATATATGACCGGAAATGTCAAAGCCGGCGATGCGGCTTGCTACCTCGTGGCTCGAAAATTACGCTACTGAGGGTTTTCTGGAAGGTTTTTTGGAACTTCCGATTTTCAAACAATTTGAATTTGAACTTTGTCCATTTGGAAAGAAGGGGGGTCTTTAGAAACAACAGTAACAGACAGTAATAAAACTTGGTCTAACAAAAAAACACTTTCAGGAAATTGGCAGTCGTTCAACCTCAGCCCTTGGCTCCGTCACGCGACACGATGTCCTTCCAAGGCCGCTTTCAGGTGAGCAAACTCGGGATACAGCAATCACTGATTGCCTAATCCAAAGCAATCTGCAGCGGCTTCCGAAAAAAAGAATGACTCTCGCTGGGTTAAACTGGCTGGAGCAGGGCCAGAGCTCTTTCCGGCGGGGGCGAATTGACTTTTCATACTTTCTTGATCACCCGCTATTTTTGGGAAGAAAAGAAGGTTGAATTTACAAAATCGAACTTTCGAAAGTTTAAAGAATTATTATCAAAGAAAATTATCTTCCGTCCGAAAATGAGCATTTTTTAACAATTCTTTTAGTTTCGTCCATGCCAAACACATCCCGCCACCGATCCTCGAAGACATTCCGCAATTCCGTCAAAATGACTCGTCAAAGTTCCGCCACTCTCCCGGGCTGGGATGTCTTCCCCAACCCTTCGAATCTCCCTCTACCGTAAGTCACCCCTTCTTGCCCTTTTCCTGATAAGACCTCCCTCTCTCAGAATAAGAAAAAAAGGGAGAACGTCTGAATCGAGATCGGAAACCGCAAGTGTCAGTTTTTATCAACCACAGGGAGGTGGATAAGAATAGACAGCTTCGTGTACATTTTTTTTCAAGATCATCCTTTTTTCCAACTCAAAAGGGTATCACATCGTGTTTTCGTGTCTTCCTGAAAAAAGAAAATGCTCAAGAAAAAATTGACTAGTTGTTTGAGTTTCAACCCTTTTTTGAAACATAATCCATTCTGAAATTAAAATTCGAGCAATTTCGCTGTCGCACGGCGATTTTATTTTTCTCGCTTCGCCCCGTTTTCATTCTGAAGATGTGGCGTTATTTGGACGCGGAATTGATGAAACTAACCAACCGATTTAGAAAAATTGACAAACGAATTGAAGAACTCGTTCACACTGAGAGGGAGTACGTCAAGAGTTTGAATTACATCGTCAAGGTAAGACTGTAATCTCGCATTTTTAAAGATGATAAAAAACGAAAAGCCGCTTGCGGCTTCGAGTAAAAATTTGAAGCCTTGTCCTGCGCGGCTTTTTTTTTAATCTCGAAGCCGCAAGCGGCTTTACGATTTTTACAATCTTTTTGAAAAAAGCCGTACAAATATAATCAGTTTTAAAGAAGGGGATAAAAAATCGATTTAAGGACCCCCCCGTCTGCTTTTTTCGAAAAATCTTATTTCGGAATTTTTAAATTTTGACCCCGGAAATGGATTCTACGGGTCAAAATAACGATTTTAGGCTGCATTTTTTGGGGGTCTATCTCGACTCTTACACCCCCAAAATCGCGTTTGAAAATTGGACTTTTCGCCGAAAATTGACGAATTTACCCCAATTTTGGCACAAATATTGATTTTTCTTGGTCAAAACTTCTTCTTATCAGTTTTTCTCAGCAAGTTTAACCTTAGAACGCATTATGAACAAAAAATATGGCGATTTTAAAAATTTCCATTTTTCGAAGGAAAAAGCTGACGGGGGGGTCCTTAAAAATTTGTTGATTCTTTCTAAAAATGTTCCTTTGTAGCATTATATTCCGGAAATGGACCGAGCCGACATTCCAGCAACGTTGCGAGGCCACCGGTCAACTTTGTTTGGCAATTTGGCGAAGCTGCGCGACTTCCACCAAAATCAGCTTCTTCCCCAGCTCGAGCGTTCCCACCAATTTGCGCATAGAATCGCTCCCATCTTTCTTAGACACGTGAGTACCACCCCTAAATGACTGTTTTGAACATATTTCTCCCTTCTAGGAGTCCGAATTGGACATGTACGCCTACTACGTAAAAAACAAGCCGCTTTCCGACCGGTTAATGGCCGAATCCGGCAAGTTTTTCGCAAAGAAACAGGAGCAAATCGGCGATGCAATGGACTTGGCCAGCTACTTGCTCAAACCGGTGCAGAGATTGACAAAGTACGCGCTCTTCTTGGACGGAATCTCGAAAAATTTGACGAAAACAGCCGATAAGGAGGAAATTGATAAAGCCAAGAAGCTGATCGAATTTCAGGTACGAAAAAATTATCAAAAAAGCGAGAAAAGTGTGAAATTCAGAAATCAAAATGTTTTGCAAAATTCCAAAAATCACTAAATTTCATTTTCCAAAAGTAAAAATTATCAAACTCCGCGAAAAAACCCCGCGGTCGAGATCAAAAAAAGTTTCTCAAGAGAGTGCTGTAAAATTAATGCTGCGAAAGTTATTCTAACGTTTTGGATTAGTCGACCTCTAGCCTTGAGCTTTTTGACGAGCACCGCGGTGCTGGGTTAAAAATTAAAGAACACGTAAATGAAATTAGTTTTCTTCTTTTTTTCGCCACCTGGTGAAAGCGAAAAGTTAAGAGAGACAAGAAAATTGTGAGCAATTTCGATTGTCAAAAAGTCGAAAGTCGAAATCTGAATTGGCCACTTTGTCTGATAAGCAACTGAATTTATTCGCGAAATAAGCACTTATTGACATTTTCGTTCGATAGCCAGTCATTATCGACAATTTTTAGAAAGTCGAAAAATATTTGAATTTCTTTCCAATTTTCCAATTCGGAAGTCAATATTACTGTGTTTTGGAGATTTCTCAAAACAAAAAAAAAATCAAAAAAATTTCAGCTGCGCCATGGAAATGATCTTCTAGCGATGGACATGATCCGAGGATGCGACGTTGATCTTCGATCTTGCGGAAAACTCCTCCGCCAACACGAGTTCATAATCACGATCGGACGGCGAAAAGCTCAACGAAGAATCTTTCTCTTCGAAAAAGTCTGCCTTTTTGCCAAGACGAAGAAACTGCCAAGCGGAGATATTTATCAATACAAGAACTCTTGGCTCGTAAGTCATTGCTCAGCAAAAATAAAATTGAGATGACTAATGATAATCGTTTTCTTAATCGATACAACCACGGTTTAAGATTTGGCCGAACATGTTAGCATCGGGAAAAAAGATAATAATTTTAACGGGAAAACGGCGATAAGAGCGTGCGCCGCCGCATGGAACAGACGGATACTCGGAAACAGGGATGTACATTTTCTAAAATTTTCAACTGCGGTGCGGTGCGAACTGCGATTTTTTTTTGACGATTTTCTGCGGTGCGAACTGCGAGATTTAAAATTTTCTCTTCGCAGTGCGGCGCAGACTGCGATTTTCTGCGATCTTCGGAAAAAATTGAAAAATGCGGTAAATTCTGCGATTTTCTGCGAAACTGCGGAAAATAAGCTGAAACTGCGCTTAATTCTGCGATTTTTTGTGAAAAAATGCGAAATTTTCTGCGAAATGCGATCCGAGTGAAAAGAGTGGTCATTATTATGACGGGCAGAGTTGCATTTTTGAAAATTTTTTCTAAGCTAAGCAAGAGGGCCGTCTCAGCCCCGTTCCATGATTTTTAAGTTTAAGGGGCTTGACGGCCCTTCGGGCCGTCTCAGCCCCGTTTCATGATTTTTAAGTTTAAGGGGCTTGACGGCCCTTCGGGCCGTCTCAGCCCCGTTCCATGATTTTTAAGTTTAAGGGCTTGACGGCCCTTCGGGCCGTCTCAGCCCCGTTCCATGATTTTTAAGTTTAAGGGCTTGACGGCCCTTCGGGCCGTCTCAGCCCCGTTCCATGATTTTAAGTTTAAGGGGCTTGACGGCCCTTCGGGCCGTCTCAGCCCCGTTCCATGATTTTTAAGTTTAAGGGGCTTGACGGCCCTTCGGGCCGTCTCAGCCCCGTTCCATGATTTTTAAGTTTAAGGGGCTTGACGGCCCTTCGGGCCGTCTCAGCCCCGTTCCATGATTTTTAAGTTTAAGGGGCTTGACGGCCCTTCGGGCCGTCTCAGCCCCGTTCCATGATTTTAAGTTTAAGGGGCTTGACGGCCCTTCGGGCCGTCTCAGCCCCGTTCCATGATTTTAAGTTTAAGGGGCTTGACGGCCCTTCGGGCCGTCTCAGCCCCGTTCCATGATTTTTAAGTTTAAGGGCTTGACGGCCCTTCGGGCCGTCTCAGCCCCGTTCCATGATTTTTAAGTTTAAGGGCTTGACGGCCCTTCGGGCCGTCTCAGCCCCGTTCCATGATTTTTAAGTTAAGGGGCTTGACGGCCCTTCGGGCCGTCTCAGCCCCGTTCCATGATTTTTAAGTTTAAGGGCTTGACGGCCCTTCGGGCCGTCTCAGCCCCGTTCCATGATTTTAAGTTTAAGGGGCTTGACGGCCCTTCGGGCCGTCTCAGCCCCGTTCCATGATTTTAAGTTTAAGGGCTTGACGGCCCTTCGGGCCGTCTCAGCCCCGTTCCATGATTTTTAAGTTTAAGGGGCTTGACGGCCCTTCGGGCCGTCTCAGCCCCGTTCCATGATTTTAAGTTTAAGGGGCTTGACGGCCCTTCGGGCCGTCTCAGCCCCGTTCCATGATTTTTAAGTTTAAGGGGCTTGACGGCCCTTCGGGCCGTCTCAGCCCCGTTCCATGATTTTTAAGTTTAAGGGGCTTGACGGCCCTTCGGGCCGTCTCAGCCCCGTTCCATGATTTTTAAGTTTAAGGGGCTTGACGGCCCTTCGGGCCGTCTCAGCCCCGTTCCATGATTTTTAAGTTTAAGGGGCTTGACGGCCCTTCGGGCCGTCTCAGCCCCGTTCCATGATTTTAAGTTTAAGGGCTTGACGGCCCTTCGGGCCGTCTCAGCCCCGTTCCATGATTTTTAAGTTTAAGGGCTTGACGGCCCTTCGGGCCGTCTCAGCCCCGTTCCATGATTTTTAAGTTTAAGGGCTTGACGGCCCTTCGGGCCGTCTCAGCCCCGTTCCATGATTTTTAAGTTTAAGGGGCTTGACGGCCCTTCGGGCCGTCTCAGCCCCGTTCCATGATTTTTAAGTTTAAGGGCTTGACGGCCCTTCGGGCCGTCTCAGCCCCGTTCCATGATTTTAAGTTTAAGGGGCTTGACGGCCCTTCGGGCCGTCTCAGCCCCGTTCCATGATTTTAAGTTTAAGGGGCTTGACGGCCCTTCGGGCCGTCTCAGCCCCGTTCCATGATTTTTAAGTTTAAGGGCTTGACGGCCCTTCGGGCCGTCTCAGCCCCGTTCCATGATTTTTAAGTTTAAGGGGCTTGACGGCCCTTCGGGCCGTCTCAGCCCCGTTCCATGATTTTTAAGTTTAAGGGCTTGACGGCCCTTCGGGCCGTCTCAGCCCCGTTCCATGATTTTTAAGTTTAAGGGGCTTGACGGCCCTTCGGGCCGTCTCAGCCCCGTTCCATGATTTTTAAGTTTAAGGGCTTGACGGCCCTTCGGGCCGTCTCAGCCCCGTTCCATGATTTTTAAGTTTAAGGGGCTTGACGGCCCTTCGGGCCGTCTCAGCCCCGTTCCATGATTTTTAAGTTTAAGGGCTTGACGGCCCTTCGGGCCGTCTCAGCCCCGTTCCATGATTTTTAAGTTTAAGGGCTTGACGGCCCTTCGGGCCGTCTCAGCCCCGTTCCATGATTTTTAAGTTTAAGGGGCTTGACGGCCCTTCGGGCCGTCTCAGCCCCGTTCCATGATTTTAAGTTTAAGGGGCTTGACGGCCCTTCGGGCCGTCTCAGCCCCGTTCCATGATTTTTAAGTTTAAGGGGCTTGACGGCCCTTCGGGCCGTCTCAGCCCCGTTCCATGATTTTTAAGTTTAAGGGGCTTGACGGCCCTTCGGGCCGTCTCAGCCCCGTTCCATGATTTTTAAGTTTAAGGGGCTTGACGGCCCTTCGGGCCGTCTCAGCCCCGTTCCATGATTTTTAAGTTTAAGGGCTTGACGGCCCTTCGGGCCGTCTCAGCCCCGTTCCATGATTTTTAAGTTTAAGGGGCTTGACGGCCCTTCGGGCCGTCTCAGCCCCGTTCCATGATTTTAAGTTTAAGGGGCTTGACGGCCCTTCGGGCCGTCTCAGCCCCGTTCCATGATTTTAAGTTTAAGGGGCTTGACGGCCCTTCGGGCCGTCTCAGCCCCGTTCCATGATTTTTAAGTTTAAGGGGCTTGACAAAGGCTTTGAACTATGAGTTGATCAATCTCAGTTCTGTCCCCAACCCCTCCCTCACCCATTATTTAAAAAATTAAAATTATCACTGTTTTTAGCTCAATTATGGTTTTGATTTAAAGTTTGATCAAGTTGGGCGAACGGCGACTTGGACAAACGGAGACCATTCTTACGACGCCCTATTTTTCGTATATTTCCAGTAACACACAAGAGAAAAACTTGAAAAATTGCTGGAAAATGACCGCAGAATCCGCAGTCTGCGAACTGCGAGATTAATCAAAAACTGCGGAAAATGACTGTGGAAAAATCGCAGTTTTCGAAAATTCTGCGAAAACTGCGGACTGCGGTGCGATGTGCATACGTGTGCTATGACTGCGCTGCGAAGTGCGAATTTCCGCAGTTCGCAGGTCGCACTGCGAAGGTTTCTGCGATTTCCCCACTGCGAATGTACATCCCTGCTCGGAAACAGTTCTGAAGTCCGATGCTTATGAAGAAAATTTAATTAGTGGAATTTTCGGTTCAGCAAAAAAGAGTTATTTTTGTAGAAAAATATTTTTCTCATACAAATAGCAAAGAAAAACGCGAAAAATTCCCGATCTTTTTGCAATGAAAATTTTCAGACCTCAGAAATCGGCATGACTCCTGTCCTAGAAGAACCCCTCAAATTCGAGCTCTGGCACCGCCGCCGTAATCGTGAAACCGTAAGTCTTTCCTTCTATTTCCGCAACTGAGCTCGATTGAGCCCGATTTCATCCCTTTTATCATTTTTAACTTCTTTTTCAGATTACTGTGCTTCCCAATTCGGCGATCGTAAAGAGCAGTGGATCAACGAGATCAACGCGTTGCTTCTTTCTCAGGCGGCGCAGATTAGAGGTGATTCATCCCTCCTCACGTGATTGACGATAACGTTCGTTTTAGACGCTAGAATGAAGGAGCTAGCGGAGCTCGGGGTCGGAGCCAAACCATATCTGAACATCGAAGGGGCAGATGCAATTACAGACAGAAGCATTCATCTTTCAAGTGAGTCTTCCTTGATTTCGAGTAGCGATTTCTTCTTCCAAAACATTCTTCTCAAAACCAAAACCGTATTCTCAGATATTCGACCTCGCATGCGAAACTCAGTCGCGGTATCTTCCTTCGACCACCAGTCCAGCAGCGTTTCCTCCCCTCGCGACCTGCTCAAGCGCCGCCCCAACTCCCTCGTCTCAACTGCCTCTTCCTCCGAGAGCACCTCCTCTCCACACCTAATCAACACCCTCAACCTGCATCTTTTCTCCCCCGATTCCTCTTCCTTCTCCTTTCCCTCCGCTCAACTCTCTCCCCCTTCCGCTCCAGCTCCTTTCCGCTCAGCTCCGCTCCGGCATTGCTCGGGCCGAGCGGGTGTCGCTCCGCCGCAATTAACGAGCTTACAGGAAGACGAATCTGATCTAGAATCGGATGCGCCGCAGACTGTGAGGATCAAGTCTTACAGACAATACGAAACAACCGTTTAAACTACCGGTATATTTAACGAAAATTAATTTAATTAAATAATAATGTAGTGACTAACAGTATAAAAAAATAAAAGATAAAATAAGGGGCGTCCCTAAACATAAAAAAACTCTCTAAAAACCATTCCACCAAGAAATCCTATATTGTACAAAAAAAACCTTTCCGTTAAAAAACCCATTTTAACCAACCCTTGTCCATTCGACCAATCGACCAAAAAACGAAGAATACTCTTTGTGAAGAAAAACTCTTCTTATCTGCAATGATGAAAAAATCCAAAGACAATCAAGTTCACTCTATCTCTTTCTTGGAGAAAACCAGCTCCGACTGCGCGAAATTCTTCGCGATTTACAAAATCTGTACAGAAAACAGTAATAAACGAATATTTCGAGTAATTACGACTTCTTTTTTATTCTATGTTGAAATGGTGAGACAGATGATCGTGGAGCTTTCCTCGATTTATACATCGATACTGACAGTATTGACAAAACAAGAAGATGTTTTCGTGTACGTTCAAATGCTTCCTGATCTCGGATTTGAAGCGAAATGTGTACTTGCATGACTTGTACGGACAAAGATGAGTTGCATCCGCCGATTGCTTTCTTTTGTGAAAATTTACTTTATGAAAATGCAAATTTTTCTGCGAAAACGCGATGTAAGAACAGTCGACATAATCACACGGAATATCTCGATAGCCATGCTTAGAGATCATGTGATCGACGAGGCACTTGGTCCCTTGTTTCGTTCTGAAGCGACAATTTCTCTCGCTGCAATTGATTTCTGCCTTTTCTTTGTCCTCCCAGTAGAATAAATCTCTGTGTTCGTCGAAAAACTCGAGATGATCTTCTGGAAGCTCAAGTGTCTCAACACAACTGGAAAGGGCGATTTTCTTGATTTCTTTTGGAATAAATGCAATTTTTCTTCAACTTTTCTCTTTCTTAACGCTTTCGCCTTAGGACATTCTTTGGTCTTTCTCCATGACGCCTTTGGGCTCGCAGAAATGTTGACTGGTCTCTGCTCATCTTTAAACACTCTTGAGCATGTTGAAAGAAAATCCTTCAGTTCTTTTGAATAAGAAACAGGGAATTTTCCGGGATTTTGCTTCGAATTTTTCATTTTTACTCAAGGAGAAATTCTCAAACCGGAAGAGTGGGACCTCAATAACTTCCGCTTGGTTTTATTTTGAATAAACAAGAATAAGGCACGATGTCTTTTTCAAGCTTTTACGTATTTCCTTTCAAATGAACATAAATTAAAATTCGATTCAATAAAAATGACTCGGCTTTGATATTATTGAAACGGTTTCAATGAAACCAAAGTTTGTGGCCTCGCCTTCCTTTAGTAATTCTCATAATGAATTGATCATTTATTAAAGTTTATTTACAAGCATGGAAGAATCAGTTTACCAAATTATCCGCTGAATTTCGTCTTCGCTTTCCCAAATCACTTCTTTCGTCTGAAAAAGTAAACCCAAGTAGCTAGCAGTAATAAATTCCAGAGGATTTGAAGCTTGTACGAAAGTTTCTGCGAGAAAAGTAGAACAATCGTGAATGGAACCATGAAGTATCGAAATTCGAAGAGTTTCTTTGGAATATAAGTTATGAGAAGCAGAATGTCTTAAGACTAAAGTAAAGACTCTTTACCTGAGGCACAACAGAAGCAGCAGTGCAGAGCCAGAATGCGAAATTCCAGAGAAAGCTTCGAGGAAGCAAATAAGTGACACCAAGAATCGAGGCTCCGTAAACTGGGGCTAAGAAGGTTCGATATTTGTGAAGATAACGCCACGCGTAGAAGCAAAAATGACGATTGTCGGCAAGGTTGTACGGGTGGACGACGTCGAAATTGGCAATGATAAGATATGACAAGACTGTAAGAGGATGAAATTATAAAGATTAATTGCAGCGGAGTTTACTATGATTTCGAAAAGATAGATCTTCCCTTTATTTTTCATCCCTTTCCTGAGAGAACTAAGAGCTTCAAAATATTTCTGTAAAAGAACTTGAGAACATCAACCAAATTCGCGAGGAAGCAGGGCAACGCGAAGATACATGTAAAAAGCGAAAAGTAGAGCAGCTGAGCAGGGTTGAAAACGGCAGTGTGAGCATCTTTATCGCCAAGAACTATTGATCCATTGACTTTCAGGAAGATAAGGAAGGCTCCGGCGCAGGAAAAGAGAGGAAACGTGTAGGAGAAGATGTACTTCAAAGAAGCAATATCAAGAAAAAGCCTGAAAATGAAAGCAAGCGACTACCAATCGCGAAAGAAAACCTGTAAAGAAGATGGATTCCGACACTGGCAACTTCTTCCCAAAAGTATTTTCTCCAGGGCTTGATTTCTATTGCTAGAATTTCTCGATCGACGCCTCTTATTGCTTGCCCTAGAAATATGCTTGCCTTGTATCAAAAGATTCAAGTATTACCAGTGGGTGAGTTTGAGTACATGAAGCTAATGCAGCTTGTGAAGAAAAGCCAGACGATATTTGTCTGTCGGAAGAAAAGTGAGAGCATTCCAAAGAGCGACGCTAGAACGATGCTACCGCCGAAAAGTGATGAAGTGAATAAAACTAACACCAGAAGTGATGTCATGTCTGTGTAGAAGAGCAATGAGAAAGTCACTGTCAGGGGAAGGTAGCCACGGCAAGAGCTCTCATCCAGTTCGACTAAAATTTGTTGACGAAATTAATGGCTTTCTGATACCTTTGATCGTCCATATAAATGAGCGCAAAACTCCGTCAGGACGTAAAATAAAACGGGAAATAAAAATGCATTCGTCATTCGAATGTTTTTCGCATCGCATTCTGTTTCTGTGAATAAATTAAGCACGCGCAAAACTCCGAGAGAAAGAAGATACGGGCCAGGAGGCGTAGTTATCTTCGGATCCCAGTAGGCAAAATTCCCTTCGCAATAACGCTGCGTTGCGGGAATGTGGAAGATTTCATCGATCAACGGATAAGGGCAAATTTCGTGAATAACTTTCGCCAAAGCGGCGGTGAGAGCCGCGACTATCCCAAAAATGAGCCGCGTTCTCGACATTTATTGAATTCTCTGAAAATGAAAAACTGCCTCATTTCATCAAAAAACAGTCGTGTTTTGGAACTCTTAGAAAAACGATCAGAAATGGGCAGTAGGATATGATCAAGCAAAACAAGTTTCTTGGATATCGTCTGTCAATAGTGTTCCTTCTCCCTCTAGAATCAGCTCGCTTGAAGGCCTTTTCTGAGTATCAAATTATGATGGTTAAAAGTGATATTATAAAGATTTGAACCCGTGACAATCCTCGTAAGATCCGTCTGGCAAATATCGGCGTACAATTATCGGAATTTTCTTCACTTTCAATTCTAGACCTTCAGTTAAAACAACAGTTTATTAAGTTGTCTACCTTTGAGCGCGATCGCGAGAGGGTCAGTCTCTCCTCTCAATTCCACCATCACTGGAGCGTTCATCGCAATCTGCAGCGCTCGTGTTCCTAGAATTCGCGCTCGCTCGTATTTCGTCATAAACGGCGTCTAACTCAGGTTTTCAGAAAGAAAAGGAGATGAAGTCTTACAGTGATCCGTTCATCCCTCGGCACGGCTCGTCCGCCTTCAACTTCTTCTCCGGTCGTGATGAATGCGTCGCCTCCAGCATCGTCCCCAGCTCCAGTTTCTTCCATTGGATCGTCCAGGTCGTATTGTTCTTCTTCATTGTCCGACATTTCAACGATTTTTAGCGGGGCTTTCTAAATCGAAGAATGGATAGTCTGTTATTTTTCTGATTATTGGGATGATTGAAGGCAAGATGGTTCAGTTGATTCAGTTAATTCAGAGTCAATTAAAAAGGAAACTAAATTCAAGATTCGAGAAGCTTCTGAATCTTCCCAGATCTAACTCCAGCGACAGTATCATCCCCTCCGCCAAAGAACTTTTGATTGATAAAGACTCTTGGTACACTTCTAGCGCCCGTGATTTTCTTCAATTCATCCTGGATCGCGTTCATATCTTCAAACTATTTTAAACGAAATAACGAGAAAGGAGGCCTACCTGGGTTGGACTCGATTTCGTACGCTTTGAAGTCGATTCCAGCTGACTTGAGTGAGTTTTTCGCATTTGTGCAGAATGGACAAAAGGTTTTGCTGATGACGACAACTTTGTGCGAGTCGATCGCATTTTTGACGAAGTTTGACGCAGCGCTAGAACTCATTATATCAACCCGATTCAATTAAACATCAATTTTCATGCAATAATGATCTGTGATTGTTCAAGTTAATTACACTGGATTCCCCGTTTTACTCGTAGCACCACCCATTACCGAATCTGTCGCATGTACAACCGCTTCTAAAAAGGACAAGTTAAGCACTTTCAGCGATTCCTGAGAACGCAAGATTACGAGATGAGCCTAAAACAAACGTAAAGAACATTCTATTGACCCCCGGGCGGTATCGATGAGGGTATTTTAACTCAGGAGGAACTTCCTGAAGTAGAATATTTATAGAGGAAAAATGAAGAGCTATTTGAATATTTTTGTCTTATTGATCATCGGAAGTGCTCATGCAAAGCAAAACTACTCTTTATCTTGGAGACAGTAAGTTTTAAATATAAAGAGAATCGACCTTATTTTGGGTTCTTTATAAACTGAATATCAAAAGGGATCGTGTTCAAAAGTTCGTCAAAGAAGCTATCGAAGAAAACGACGTTGTCGCGTTTACCAAATCATACTGTCCTTACAGTCACCGAGCCCGAAAGGCCCTAGCCTCTGCTGGGATAGACTTCAAGCACTACGATATTGACAAGATGCCTGGTAAGTTAAGTACTGATGAGTCTTGTTCCAAGATCAATTTTAGACATGAGAATGATTCAAGATGAGCTGCAGCGAATAACTGGAGCTAGAACTGTACCAAGAGTGTTTATTCATCAAAAATTCTATGGAGGGGGGACCGATACTGCCCAGGGAGTAGCATCTGGAGAAGTTCAGTCTTTAGTTCAAGGTGGAAAAAAAGAGTGAAATAAATTAACCGTATAAATGAACAAAACATTTTTGTTAGAAAATCAGATAGATACCGAGATAGGTATGATTTCATCATCTTTTATTAGAAAAAAAGTGCAGGAGACAGTTGAGATGGACAGTTAATGAGAGCAAAAGAAAAGAATCAGTATTTCGGTCGATGAACTTCTTTTCCTGAAGCCGCATCAGATTGACGCTTCTTGAGGATATTGTTGATCTTTTGAAAGTCTTGGTCGAGCTTCTGCTTTTCATTTTTGTTGCCTCGGTTCTTGCCTAGCTTGCCCCTATCGACGTTTTTCTGGCCGTACTGGAACGCAGCTTTTGGTAGGGCTTCTCGTTTGGCCATGTAATCGCCGTATTTTTCTTCGTCTTCGAAGTCGAATCTAAAAGTGACGATGAAAAGTCGAAGTTGAGCCGTTCTTACCTGGTCATTGGGCCTTTAGTACTCTTTCCAACATCCATTTTTGTAATGTCCGTTTCCTCGTCGGAGTCCATTGTCACCCCTGAGACCTCGTACTGCATCGAAGGATAGCACTCAGCATACGAGTCAGGAACTTGGTCACCAAAAGAAACTCCGTCTTTCCCAGTTCGATCGACTTTGGTCTTTTTCTTGTCGTAAGCGCCAGCGAGTTTGGTGATGTCTTTGAGGGAGACAGGTGCATCGACCTAAAGGAAAAATGAAAATCATAAGATGCAAACTAGCTAAGGATCACGGTCAAGGGTCTGTGCATTATGAGATTACGATAAATTCCTGGTACCAATTTTCAGGATAATTTTTTGAGGACGAACCGGTAACAAGCAAGCGCTTACAGCGCCTGTTGGTTCCGTCCAGTTTAAATGAACGAATTTAGAGCAAAAAGAACCCGTTTGAGGGGCTAGACATACCTGCTCGTCCTTTTCGATGTTGTCAAAGTATTTGGGCTTGTTGGACAAAAGTGGGCTGTTGCTTCTTGATCTCGATCGTCTTCTGCGTTTATCCTTTGACGTGCGCTTTGAACGATCTCTCGATCGAGAACGTTTTCTATCCCGACGATCTCGTCGATCTCTGGAGCGCGAGCGGGATCGACGACGGGACGATTTTTTCTTTTTCTTTTTTGATTCATCGTCACTTTTTGGCATTTCCTGAAAATTTATTAATCTAAGGATTCAGATGACAGAAGGTACCTCATCCTCATCGCTGAAAATTTTAAAATCATCAGCTGGTTTCTCGGTCTTCACATCAACCTTAGACTCTGGCTCTACTTTGTCCAAATCGTAGTCGAGCTTCTTAGTCTTCTTCTTTTTCGTTCCAGTTCGGATGTAGTTCAGAATCTGCGTCAGCTTGATGATCACAGCATCGTTGGAGGTCTTGGACAATGTGTCGGACATATCAGGACATTCAGCTTTTGATCGGAGCAGCGTTGTTGGAATATCCGATTCGGCGTATTCTTCGTCAAGTTCGAAAACATACGCCATTCTTCCTAGAAATAATCATCAAAAGAAAAGCTTCGAGCTTCGAGTAGCCAACACTTAAATCGCTCGAATACAGTACCTTCAAGGAAGTTATCAATATTCTTCGGCTTCGAGTTTTCAAACAACACATGATTGATCTTCTTCGCCATCGGATGACGAATAGCCATCAAATCTTCCTTATCTCCAAGACGTCTGTCAGACTTCGCTTTTTGCTCTTGCAGAGCTTCTTCAATGGCAGCTTCATCTTCGTCTTTTCGGCTTTGTTCGGCGCGGATCTTTTGGAGAAGAGCGTAATCGAGACCTTTGACTAAATGGGTATGCGCCAAATCACCACCGAGGAACTTTGACTGCTCAATCAGCTGTTGTTTCTTGTCTGCAGCGCTGGAAAATGTCGAAGCTAGAAGATCGATTAAATCAAACACGAAAAGTCGCCATCTTACTGAATTTATTCTGGAATTCGTTGAAGCTCTCGGAGCTGTTTCCATCCCTTCTCTCCGCCGCTCGATCTCTGTACTTCGCTCCCGGTTCAGTTCCAGCTTGAGCTTCCTCATGCTCCCGCTGCAGCGAACTGTAGATCGCTCGCTTTTCCCGACGCGCGGCTGAAGCAGCGGCTTTCATAAAAGCATCTCCAGGTTTTTTGACACGATCCACCCATCGGGTGATCTCAGGTTCGGCAATTTCTTCTCGATCCATGTACATTTTTCGGAAGTAATCATTGTCCCTGGGCATGTCTTTTTCGTACTCGCGGCGCTGAGCTCGACGCATTTCCCATTCTGTTTCTTTTTTCGCTGCATCTCGCTGAGAATGACTGTAAGAAACGGCTCACGCGATGAGTTTGTGCTCACCTGAATGTCAACAAGCATTCCACGAGCAGCGAATTTGTCGATGTGCTTGTGCGTCCGAAAATTCGGATCATATTCGACATGGTTCACCATTTTCTACAAGCAAAGAAAGATTAACTTTTTAACATTCTCACGAGTTTTTATTGCACAAACTGAGGTCAATTTGAATTGGGAATGGCAGGATCGTAGAAATGGAAATTATAAATTTCTGAACTGTTTTGTTCGCGAAGTACGCTGATGACGAAGGGTTGATGCGGGTGGAAAATGTAGACAACTTGCGCTATAAATCTAGTTTAATATTTGTAAAAACATCGAAACTTACAGTTTTTATGATGTGAAGAGAAGAAGATCGGGTCAATGTCGCCTCCGAGGGCGAAAACTTGACTATTGCAGCATCTAAAATTCGTGAACTTGAGATCAAAAGTGTAGAAACAAACCTGCAAAAGAATCTGATCGGCGATTCCGGCAGCTTTCTTGGCTTATAAAAGGAGGAAATGAAAGTATCATCGAAAGAGAACAAATCGACGCGCATATACGGACTGGGCGTGTGAACCTGCGGCGGTGGAGGACACTGCCATAGAATGTGCTTGATCGCTTCTGCCCGACTACCGTACTTGGCCTTCTCCAATTGAGCTTTGTACTTTTCACGGGCGGATTTTGAATGAATCGTGCAGGTTCGAAGCAACTTGTATTTTGATGGTTGGCTTTGGAATTCCATCGTGTGTTGGAAATCAATCATCACTTTGTAGAAGCTTTCGGATATGTTTTCTTTGAGGGTTGATTATTTTGAAATTTTTATTCTCCGTTTTAACGTAGCTAACTTCCGTCGACATAAGTTTTCAGAAACATTTGATCAATCACTAGTTGAATTTTGAATTAATAAAATTAGAGCATATACGGATATTATGGTGTCTTAAAAACAATATTTCACGCCAAAATTAAACAACCCTAGTTCCTGTAATTCCAAGAATCTCGCCAGAGCTTATCTCAAACATAACAAAAAGCGCGACACGAGACGGAAGCTGACTTCTCAATTGAGGATTGCTTACTGGACTGACGGCTTCCAAAATCGTCTTTTCCGCAGCGAGTTTGATCAGAAACGTATCATCGTCGACGAGATGGATTCGCCAGATCTTCAAGTGGCGTAAGAAGGAAAATTGAGACCAGAACTTTTCGTGAGGCAGATTTTTGAAGAGAAACGTCAAGAGTTTTTGTTTGAAGCTTTTTTGGGGTAGAAAATGATCGAAAAAGAACTGGAAAAGGAGTTCAAAAGCCCCTTTCGGCTTTGAAGAAGCAGCAAAAATTTAGTCATTTTTCGATAATTTCATCCCTTTCCTTGTCAAAACCGGTGATTTCCCGAGCGTCTCCCTGAAGTCTCTTCTATATTCTGGATGCATTCTGAGCAGTTCAAAGTCTCCTGGATAGATGACTGCTCCAATTTGTCCGTTCTTGACGACTCGGCCATCCGGAGTGATTTTAAAGAGGTAAATTTGTTGTTGATGAAGGCCGAGAATCGCGAGATTGTCGTTGTGGACAGTGACTCCTTGATTGTTGTAAAGAACGACGAATTCGTGGCGCATTTCGAAGTAGTCAGACACCACCTGAAAGCGTTTCTTTATTGGCTTCTTTCTTTGAGGACGTTCTTACCCTCAATTTATCCTGATAATCTAACAGGTGAAAAGTATAGTGCTCGTGTTTGATACTTCTAGCGTCGTGAGGCGATCCAATCGTCTCGTTCGAGTATTGAAAGTCTCGGAGATCCATTCCTTCTGTCATATCGTGTTGCTCGAAACTGGCGACGAGGAGAAATCGACCGACGAAGAGGGAGAATTCGCGGTAGATTCGCTTGTTCCCATCGCGAAGGAGATTGTAAGTGTGGACGTGTTGGAAGGCTTTGGAGAAGGACTCGGATCGGAGCTTCGAAAAAGTGTGTTCCAGTCGAATGTTTCTGAAAAAAGAGGTCAAAAGAAGCCGACAAAGCTGCTGCTACCTGGTTCTATCATGAATCGGCGGCTGCCCTTCAAACTTCTCCTTTTCATCCCGAAATTTCTGCCTCGTTTTGACCACACTGTCGCTTCCCTTGAATCTGAACAGTTCCACCGAATGGTCCCCCAAAGCAATCATATATTTTCCGCAGGGACTGAAGCGTTTTGGCGAGCAGTTCTGAGGCACGATGATTTTTGTGAGACTTCCATTTATCGGAATATTCTGCGCGAAATTTGCGGTTGGAATTTTTCTACCGATTGAACGATTTCGTAATCGCCGGACAAGGCAGTGGTGATTATTCGCATTCTGAAAGAAAAATTAAGATTATTTTTTTTCGAAAAATCTAGAGCTTACGATTTTTCTGTTTTTGTCGATAATAGACTGAATCTCTGGTGACAACTTCTTTTCCATTTTTCATTCTTCGAAAATCTCTACTTTATTGGTTTTTCTCGGTCATGAAAATTTCTCGTTTCGCTGGAGGAAACGGCGCGCGCTCTAATTGGTCAGCCGCCTGGATGATGGATCGGTCGAGGAAGAAGATTAATTGAGAATGAAAGATTGAGAAAGTTATTTATTTGATCACAGGTGAAGGGTCAATTCATGCAGACTGTAAACAAAGTTTTTGACAAGATAAGAATCTTCTTCATATGTAAAATAGAGAATATTATATCAGCCCAATAATACGGCTTACCGGACGAAATTTCGGTCACTTTTTATTTTAAATAATTTATTTCAGTAAAGAGGCTTGCAAACGTTCTCGCAATTCCAAGTACAAGTATCAACATCAAAGACGCCAGTTTCAGGGCAAGAATTGTGACAGTTTCTGTCACAGAAAGTAAGAATTTCGCGGTCTTTGCACATTTTTATTGAGCAAGAATTTCCATCTCGAACCATTGATCCGCCATCGAAATGAAGTCTTTCAAGATATCCATTTGTCTCGTGTTCGATGTAGCAACGGGAAGAAAGAACTTAATTTTCAATCATTTTTAGTTTTGATTTTTACGAAACCTGGAATAAAGAGCTCGCCGATGAGATCCGGATTCTGGTTCTGGCAAAATATTCTTTGAATGAATTCATTCGCTTCATGAATTTTCTTCATCTCGAAGTCCGAGAAGCTGATAGGTCTTTGGCTGTCGACAAGATTCAGTTGATCCTCATTGTTGAAAATCCAGACTGCGTTCTTCAGTGGAGCTGGGTTTTGGCGGCCATTGTTTGTTGGACTTAAATTTTGTTGCCTGTTTTTTCGGGATGAAAGATACCTGGAGCTGATCATGATAACCGAGAACTCGTTGTCCTTTCTCTCCATCGCAAAAATCTGGTTGAAAACCATGTGACTTTGGACAAGACCAGATCTACTCTGCTCTAGAATCACGTTCAAATGCTCCTTGACATCGTTGAAATCCGTGAAAGTCTGGACATAATCGATTGAAATTCCTTTTCGAGTCCCCTGGATGATGGAGAGTTTCATCCTCAATCTCAAGGGCATAAGGGCTGTTTTACTGGTTAAAAATTGGATAAAAAATTACGATTTTTATCAAAGAAAACCAGTTCCTTGATGAGCTTCAGCAAACTCGTAGATGACGTCTTGATAGTACGACCTTGAGGCTTCCTGGATATTGTTCGATATGTCAATGTAGAAGTGAACTACAGCATCGTCGATTTCACAGGGTGGTAGGATTGTCTGAGATGAACAAACAGCGCTTGGGACGATAGCGCCTGTCACATGAATGATGTCTTCGTGGATTTTAACGACGGCGGAATTGATCTTGTTTCTGTCATCGTCAGCTAAAAATATCTTTGAGAGAAGGTCTTTTAGGACCTCAGATTCTTTCATTTGAATATTATATAAGAGAGGTATCACTCTTATAAGGCAAAAAAAAAACAGAAAATATTTATTTATTGACAAATTTATGGTTTTTCATATAGTCGTAAATGTAGACTCTACATGATATAGAAAGCTTACCTGGTAAGCTCATCGTCGCATCTCCATTAAAACCACTGTCGATTTTCTTGACAAAATCAATCAATTCTTGCGCCTCAAACTCGTCCATTCCGACTGTGATAAGCTGAATCGGGCTTTCTCCCAACGTTCTTGCAGCGCCTCCAGCATGAGAATGGGACACGACCGATGGAACTTCGCCGACAAAAGCGTAGATTTTTGAGGGAACTTCTAAAGTGAGTTGGTCGGTTTTTACTCGAGCAAGAGCGGTCTTTTCGGGGGCTCAAAATTTAAGGACCGTAAAATCATTTAATTATTGATGCTTTTATATATTTTAGAACCGATTTTTACGGATGAAAGAAATATTTCCTTAGGTTAAAAATCTTCAGCTCAAAAATTAGGAGCCCTGTTCTTGAGTGGAAAATTCTGATCATCAAAAGACGAAACCTTGATTTTAACGGATTCCGAGAAGGTCGCATTCAGATTGTTCATATACTCCTCTAGAACTTTCGCATGATCAATATGCTTATCTACCATGACATAAATCACTCCTGCTCCTTCTATCGTCTGCGGCAAATTCGGCATGATGACCGGCTCAGCTAGTATCGTCTGTTTTTCCCGAAGAACTTGGCAGATGAGGGATGAGACGGTGCATGAAAAATGCTCGATTGATTCGATGTTGAAATGCCAGGCGCCGGAATCGCGGTAGTCGAAATCCTTGCCTTCGATTTCGATAAAACCAACGAAAACACTTTTATGACGGTTAGTTGTAAAATTAAATTTGAACTTCTCGTTAATTTTATGTTTTCATTAATGAGATTGAGGAAGAGATGACACCTTCTTCTAAGATTGCGAAGCAATTCGGTGATGTTTTTATCGATGATTTTGATTATAGAACTCCCCGATGAAGACATCTTAGTTCCTCGAAAATCGCCTCAACAAACTGCCCGAAAGTTAGTTTTCAAGAACGAGCAGAGAAAAATTGTTGAAGAAAATCCGGATTTACAATTCCTTCAGAAAAGCTATCAATTCACGAAGAATTTTCAAGTTGAGGTTTTGTTTCTCTCCTTTCTAATTATGTCGGTCCTGCTTAACTTCTATCTGATCGCTCTCAAAATTATCAAAAAGAAGGTTATCGGGGTAATTAAATTTGTTGACATTTTTTCTTTGAGAAAGACTCACGAAGCAATCGAAAATAATCTGCTGAAAAGAATCTTAACCTTTCCTGTCACTCATTTTCGCACTTGTCATGAAATCATTAAATCTCGGGCCCGCATCCCAACCATCCTCGAAGTTGATTGCTTCTGGGAAAATCAAGATGATTTTAGTCTGGTCCTTCATTTCCGCAAGCTTTTCGAATCCTTTTTATTCAAGGCTCAATATCATCTATTATTATTTTTTCCAAAGTATAAGGCTTCGAGGGAAGTCTAGAGCGGCTCAAGTAGAGCCTTTCCTGGAATCTCTTTATCATCATCTGCTTCTCTTCGACGCCTGTAAGCATAATAATCATCAGTAGCTATAAAATCAGTTTGATCATAAGCATCTCCATATGCATCTTGATAGGAGTTTCCATAGTCTCCAAGGGAAACAGGCTCATTTTCGAATCTTCCCTCCAGGATATCAGCTCTTTTCTGGACGTCGTAAAACAGCTCTCTTGGGATTTCAGAGTAGTTGATTGAAAATCCGGATGCAAAAAGAGCCGCGACTTCTTGAGGCGTTTGTCGGATGAAAATTACTTTTTCGTTGATGACGAGTGTGAGGGTGACGCCCTCGTTTTTGTGGTCGAGTGCAGTTGTGAAAATGATGGTGTTTTGGACAATCTCTTCAAGTTCTTCATCAGTTCGGCGATTGGCATGGATGTAGATAAGGACATTGACGATTTGGGAGTCGGATTCGACAATGGTTTTGCAGACAGTTCCGTGCGACTTTGGACGCATGCAGATCGGAGTGTTCAGAACCTTGGTTTCGATTGTTGTTTGAATTGAAACCGGGGTAGTTGTTCTCGGAGCTGTCGAGGGCGAGTTCGATGTTGTTGCTTCTTCCGGACAAAGATGAGCGGCAAAAGAACAGTGCAGACTTTTTCGCGTTTCATGAAATTTCATGATTTCATAATAAAAGTTATGTAATAAAAAATCGGGTCATTGACCCAAAGATTTTCGAGAAAATATTTCATAATGATTATTTAATATCCAAATTGACGCAGTTCCAGATTCACTGTCCAATATTTTTTCCATGATCTTGTCAAGATAAGTCTATCTGAGCACTCTTACAACCAACAAAGGCTATGGAATTCTTGACAGCACATGTTTGAGGGACAAACTTCAGTTTGGTACTATAAGCTGCTCGACTCGCGCTCGAAATCAAAGAGAGTTTTGTCAACAGAAAATTATTGACCTATTTTGACTTGCGATCATGGCGAAACCGCGTGTTCGATTTTTGGAACATGTGGCCTTCATTTCTGCTCCAGACTATAAGCGAAAAATTAAGGTTTGTTTCATAAAAAAATGAAAATAATTTATTCCTCAGGTGCCTTGGGACAATTTGACCAACGAAGAAAAATGCATCGCGAAACTAGAACTCAACTTTTTCAAAGCCACCGAAATGATTGTTCACCCGAAGAGTCAGTCGAATACGTCTATGATCTTCATCGAACCCGCAGTCCTCCAAAAAATGGCGAAATTCAAGAAGAAATACAAGCAAATGATTCAACAACTACCCGTTTCTACTCCATGATTTTTTGCGGTTAAAAATTGGCCAAAAAGATATAAAAGTATAAATTCTTTCTAGAAAGAATTTCATACAGTTACTCGACACAGTTAACTGCGAAAGTGTCACTCCCACGTGCTTTTTACGGGCGACTTGGGTCAAACATATTTGCATGTCAATAAAAATTTCTAAACATCAAAACGCGTTCCTTTCACTATCCTCTGGCTCAAGAATGATCGCATATTGCTCGATTTCTTCTTTCACATTATCGTTCAAACTTTCATCAGGAACGAAAATTGCTACAGTAGAATTTTCGTCGACAGATCTTCGTTTTCTATAATAATAATAGTCGTCCGAAGCGTCTTTTCCTGACACATAATCGTCATAATCTGGAGTTGGCGCTAGAATCTTTGTTGGATCGACACCTTCAAAGGAAAGAGCCTTCAATTCTTCAACAAGTGTTTTCGCTAATTCGTCGGAAATTGTCCCGTTGAATACAAGATCTTCGTTGAAATACAGAGCGAGATTTTCAAGCGACAATTCTGTTTTCAATACTGATTGAAGAAGAGCTTCGAGTTTTGCAGAATAGTCTGTTGTTTCAAGAACTTCAATGATCAGGGTCATCGACACTGACCCACTTTCCACCGCGCAGGAATCGTATTTGATTTCACATGAATCGAAGAACGCTGGTGCTTCCGTTGAACTCGTTTTTGAAGTTGTTAAGTCAACAGGATCCATTCCAGAGCTTTCAACATCGTCACCAGAGCTTTGATAGTCTCCAGAGCCGCTTCCGCTGCCGTCGCCACTCCCACTTCCAGACAGTTCTTGTTCGAACTCCTGGCAGAAAAACTCTTTGATTTTGCATGGGAGGCCGTTCGAGATCTTGACTTCCTTTGATCGTGAGTCACTTCCTTGACTGAGAGTCAAGACGTTCGAAGAAACTTTACTGTCTCGTAGACTGTTCATGAATTCCTCAGTTTTGATTTCCTTGGCTTTGACCAGCAAGGAAAGACCTTTGATGTCTTCCATGACAGTTATTCCGTTGACCTTCATTGTGACTGAATAAAGATTGGACCCATTGTCGTACCCTAGAATGGTTGAAACAAGATAGTCAATCTGGCGTTCGAATTTAATGAAGTTTTCCTTGATGTTCCAGATTTCTATCAAAACTGATGTCGCGGAGGCATTATCGCAAAAAGCTGAGCCTGATGATTCTGGTGAAATGCATGGGAATCGGTAAAGTGTATAAATAGAAAAAGTTGGGTCGTTGATTTGGAAGAAGTTTGCGACTGTTGTCGTTGTTGTTTTTCGTGATGGCGCTTTCGGCAGTGTGGTGGTTGATATGTTTGAAGAAGTTGTGTTAGTGGTGCTTTTTCTGCTCGTCGTGGAAGTGGACGATGTTGTCGAGGTAGTTGTTGTCGAAGTCGTGGTAGTTGTGGTAGATGTAGTTGTAGTCGTTGTCGTACTTGTTGTCGTACTTGTTGTAGTTGTTGTTGTAGTCGTAGTAGTGGTAGTTTTCGTAGATGTAGTTGTAGTAGTTGTTGTCGTACTTGTTGTTGTCGTTTTTGTAGTTGTAGTAATGGTCATTGAGGCTGTTGTTGTAGTGGTTGAAGAAGTGGTGGTTGTCGTTGTTGTAGTTGTTGTGGTAGTTGTAGTTGTAGTCGTAGTCGTAGTTGTAGTTGTAGTTGTGGTGGTTGTTGTCGATGTGGTCGTCGTTGTCGTTGTCGTTGTCGTGGTGGTTGTCGTCGTAGTAGTTGTAACAATACAAAATTGCGAGAATTCATCATCGTCAATAGACAGTATCTTACAAATACTATCAACAGTTGAATCATCAGCAGCGCTTCTCCGTTTTCGTGTGCCATAAAAGTCTGAACCATATGTCGAGTCATAATTTTCGTTTGAATTGTAAAAGTCCCCATCGTCTGCACTTGTTGCGTAGAAGCCATATGCATCAGATGCAACTTGCACTGTTGGCGACTTCTTGAGAACAAATCGGTCGAACTCGGATGGAATCTGGTCATTTTCTGAAGCGAGGATGAAATATCTTGGCTCCGGATCTGCCTCGCAAATGAGCTTTTCCAGCTCTTTTTCGAGATTATCGAAATTCACGGGGGTTAGTTTCAAAAGTGAGTAATGCTTTCCGAAAGCTTTTTTGAGATCATTTTCCATCGATGAACATAGTTCTGAAGAGTTTTGATCATAAACAGCCAGGACATAAGAAGACTCATCGATTTCTTGGTGGCACTGAGGATCGGATCGACAAGTTTCATGCATCTGAATCGCGTCTTTCCATATTGTGGCTTCTTGGTTTATCAAAGCACCAGATGTTTCATAAATAAAACTGTCTTCCAGCACCGTCAAGTCCATGAAATGCTTCAATCCGTTCAACTGAAGGGTCTTGAAGAATCCGTTTTCTCCTGGATTCTCGATCAAACAACCATCGAGTTCATAATGAGTCCATCCGTTAAGAATGTGATCAGGAGTTGCTTCAATTTCGCTCGTCAAGTTTTCCAGTCCTTCTCTGTCTGCTAGATACCCAAAAGAAATCAAGACGAGCTGATCTGGCTCAACTTGGCCAAGACGAAGATCTTTCGTCGCCAATCGCTTGATCATGTTCTTCGGGAAAGTAAATTTCTCCGGATCGTTCGAGTTCGGTAAGTCTGTATCAAGCCAAACGCCGAAGGATTTATAATTGTCCGATGTTATTTGAAGACCGTTTCCAGAGAAAACGAATTCGATCTGGAGATTTGTCTTCATTTTCGAGTGAAGATCTGCCAGAATCGATTCGAAAGCAAAGTTGAGATCAAGTGTTTCGGGGATGAAAGAAGTCGTCAAGAGATAGAGAATGATCTTCGGCGGGCTGAGCGGAATCGGGGTTGGAATGTTCGTCGCGATTTGACCCGCTTGTCTGCAGATTTCTTTCCTCACTGGCTCAACGAGATCATCAAGGTCAAAACTGTTCTTTACGTTGTAAACTCGCCCCTTAGTTTCTTTTACGTATTCGCCGAAATTGTCGATTTCTCGGCTTTTTCCAAAAGTAACTCCGATGATTGGATGATTTCGCATGTCAGGGCTGATCCATGAGTTGTCACGATTTGAACTCACACGAGACTCATCGTGGATTTCTGAGATCAGGTCGAAAGTTGGGAGAATATTGCGCTTCTGTGTTTCTGAGAGGGTTCCAAACAAGATGATGGAGACTTTTTTCGCACCCTGGAAAATGCATTAGTATTTTTGTGCTTGATGTAAGAATATAAAGATATTATCTTAGATATATCAAAATTTGACTTTATTAAAATTATTATTTCAAGACGAATCATTTAACGTAGATGACACTTATCAGTTTGTTTCATTTTAGCCATAAAATAAAGTTAGAATTTGATATGATAACTCAATCGCAAAAATTCTAAACGGATTTGTTGATTCATTTGTGAAGATATTTTGAAAAAAGTAGCGCGATGTCGATTTTATATCAATCGGAAATGGTTCATTCCCTTTGATAAAAATCTCAAGACGATAAAATGGTTCGATCAGCAGCTGTTTTGAACCGAACCAAAAAAGGAACTAACCTGACGAGCACCATTTTTCTGCGAAAAGAACTCATTTTTGTTGAGCAGCGAAAGATCATGCAAGAAAACTCGGTATTCATAAGTTGAGTTTTGAGCGGCAATTTCCTCATCGATTCGATCTGAGTTCGTGAAAAATTTTGAGCCTTTGTATTTCCTCAAAAATGCATGTTCGAAACCAGTGTCTCCAAGAGACCCAATCGAAACTGTCATGTGCTTTTCAGAACTGACAAAGCCATCCAAAATCTTTTCAACGAATTCTTTCTGGTTTTCGATTGTATTTCCCGCTGATTGAAAACCAATAAAAAGGTCGATTTGGGCGCAACAAATTGGAAGACCTCCAGAACTGTGGTCCTCAGCGATACATTGTTCATCGGGACTGAGGGTTGGGAAAGGTTGAGGGAGAAATGGGACGATTTCGTCTTCGATCGAGCAGATTCGGCTTGCTGAAAATAAAAATGACCGATTCTTGAAAAAATAGCGGAGACCTACCAATATTTCCAGCAATATACTGAGCATCATTTATCTCCCACTCCGGCATGAAAAAGACTCGGTCGGAATGACCCGCCAGTTTGAACAATTTTTCGATGCTTTTCGTCAAATAATCAGAAACACCAATCGCAACGACAAAAACAACAGGCTCGTCAGAAGTTCCTTCCCAATATACTTGAGTTCGGTCGATTTCCGTTTCGGGTTCGTTTTCTGCGAGATGTTTTATCACCACAATTGCTTTGTTTCGGCCAAGGGAGTCTTTGAACCAAGCTTCAGCAGCTTCCGGATAAAAGCCTTCATAAAAATGATAGCCGCGATATTCTTGAGCTTCGCTTTTGAGTCCATCGATTCGGTCGCAGATTCCTTCTTGCGATTCTGGCTCTGTGAATGGAAATTCTAGTCTCGCATGATCTCTGCTGATCGGTTCAACGGAGATTCTAGTGACGGAGGTGTCGAAATGCGAAACGAGAGATTTGGCGAAAAGACGTTGCCATGCATGGTCGACTTTTTGAACTTCGCTTTTTTATATTGAGGAAAAAATTTGATGATAAATAAAGAAACTTCAACTTTGGTCGAATACAGTTATTTATTATTCTGAGGGCATAATTGTAATCGGATGCATGATCAAATTTCCTCGAAGAGAGATCAGATAAAAAGGTTCATTTTTACAAACTATCTTTCAAAAATTTCAAATGATAGCGTTTCCAGATAGTGTTAATAATTTTGATTCATTTGATGAATCTTTTCTCGAAGAAAAATATCCGCAAAAATGACCAGTTTTTTGATTTTTATATCTAACGGCAGCTGTTTTACCTGATGCTAATTGCAGATAAAGTGCTAAGAGGTACGTTAACTTAATCAGATATCAGCTGATCATAATCCCAATACAAAAAATCAAATTATGTCAATATTTCCTGAAAGCATCGAGAGCGATAACAATATCAGTTTGCATCGAACACGTTCCATTTGTAAAGCAAGGTACCTCAAAATCAAATTCATCTTCACCTTCCAAATCCACCGTTCTTCCTTCTTTCACTGTTTCTCCTCCGGTTTCTTTGCAGATTTCCGCAAAAACAGGGCTGAGGAAGTTTTGCAAGTCGGTGAACTTCTTTGTATTGTGGACGAGCTCGGGTGAGCTGGCGATTTCAAGAAGCTCGGAGTCCACTGCTTTGTTCACTCCAACAGCGACAACGGCCAAGTCTCCTGCTTGACGAAGATTTTCGCCGACGATTTTCACCGCATTTTCACCGAGGTCTTTGGATCTTCCGTCAGTGACCACGATCATGATTTTTCTTTGAGGAGTTTTTCTAGATTAAAAAAGAGAAAATCATAAGGAGATAAAAATTAAGAGATAAGAGATGATTTGTCCTCTTATTTTTGCGAAGATTAATTTATAATAAATCTAACAAGGTACTCGACGTCAAATCCGCCAATTTTTCAATTCAAATCACGAATAGGGTTAACTCTTCCTGACATTTTCCCTTGCTCCTCTTTCCGGGGAAAACTCCTTCTCCGCAGCATATTTCATCGCCGTTCCCGTCAAAGTTGAGAAACCAGAGTGATACTTGATATTCGACAGAACCTTCATGAACTCTGTTATCTCTCGCTGTCCCTCTTTATCATCAAATCTAATGACTGGCTCGACAACATCGGAATATTGCAGAAGGCCGTAGTTCATGTCGCCTCCATGCTCGAAATTGATCTTGACGAATCGCTGGACGAATTCGATGATGCTTTCCCAGCCGGCTCGTTTTGTTGAATAACTTCCATCTTAAAGTTTTGACTAATATTTTACTGGACCTTGAACCCTTTTCGGTGGGCAATGCAGGACAACCATTTGAAAATTATGTTTATTCGGTAAAAATACATTTTGATAATTTATAAAAACTTAGATGAAAAATGACATTTATGGTTCTTTGAATATTTCTTCCTCACCAAGAACAAAGAAAATATCCGCTGATGGATGCTCAACTGAGCATTCTCCAACTTGATCATGAATATCGTTAATATCCACGGGCGGTTCGACGACCTTTTCTTCCACCGAGAGGCAAATGTCTTCAATAATTTTGTCGACGATATCTTGCTCCAAAAGCGATTCAGAATCATCAAACTGGTAAATGTCGCCGTAGGGATCCATTTTGTTCGCCTTCTCATATTGCGCTTTTTCGCCAAGTTGGACGGAAATATAGCTGATTTTCTTGCGTAAAAACGTTTCATGGACTTTTGCAAGGGAAGATTTTGGAAAGTTCTTTTCCGCCTTAGAAATGACCTGAATAAGAACTCTATCAGCGTTCTTTGCTTTGAAAAATGCGGAGATTTTCATCGCTGAGCTCCACGGCTTTGCGCTCGCCCAAGAAACTGACGGGGGAGGAACGCGGAGTTTCAGGAATTTTTTGACGATATGGACTTTTGGAAGCTTTGAATTCGCAAGGAATCCCATTGGACCTTGAGGAAGAGGGACCAGCTTGCCATTTTTGCCGTAAAAGACCACACCGACGGCTTTCAAATGTTAAAAATTGTTTTATCACTTCACATTGAATTCTCAATTTAAAACCCTTAAAAACTATTTCAAAGTCCGGTTAATTCAATTCAGTTGAGTTGCCCTAATTTCGAAGGAAACGTTACCGATAAAGTTCTACCCTTACACGTTGGAAAATTAATTTTCCAATGGAAATCTTAGATTTTTGCATAATTTATCCACTATTTCTATTAGAATTTATCGTTGCTCGTCCCCAAGACTCGCTGATATTCCGTATCAATCCTGTTTCTTTCCCAATTTATTCAGTTCAATCCTTTTGAATGCTCCCGCCCGTGCCCGCTTTGCCACTCAACGCTGCCCAAAATTGTGTTTCTTCCACTTTTCTTTCGCTCTCTACTGCCGCCCACTGGGCCGTTTTTCCTGCGATTTTCATTTTTTCTAGTGTAAAAATGTTCATGTTTTCATCTGCGAAATTTCTGTTGCCGTATCTTGTCCGCGTCTTAGGTTATTTAGAGGTTTTGTAGGGTTTGATCATTTTGCTATCATAGTTAGGTCCGGTTTGATGCTCTTTAGACACCCTTAATATCAATCGATTTTAATAATTCTTTTTTTGTTCAAGAGTTTAATATCTAGACTTGTATCGCTGAAAGTTTAAAATGAATCGAACATACAGAACGGTCAGAAATCGCCTGTAAAAGAGCGCAAGAAACACATAAAGCGCGGAGCGCGCGAGCAAAATCGCTCGGCGCTGGGGTTGTCTCCCTCCCGTCATGTCGCGGCGCATTTATACCACGCGCGCTGCGCAGCGGGCTCACTTCAGTTTTTCAACAAAAAACTCGAATTTTACAGTTTTTTCACCGACAACTAACCAACTCCAACAACATGCCAGCTGCCAAAGCCGCAACCAAGAAAGCCGCCCCATCCCACCCACCATACAAGCAGATGATTGCTGAAACCCTCAAGGGTCAAGGTAAGAAAGAGAAACATTAGAAAAAAAAGAGATTTTAAAAAGTAAAAGCTACAAGCGGCTTTTTTTCAAGAATTTTGAAAGCAAAATTAATTCTATTTTTAGGCCGAAAGGGACTCTCCTTCATCGCCATCTCCAAGATGATCCAGGCCAACCAGAAGGGACTCGGTCCCCGACACGAAACTTCCCTCAAATTGGCCCTCAAGCGAGGCATTGAGGACAAATCCCTCGCCAAAGTCAAGGGTGTCGGTCTCGCCGGTTCTTTCAAGCTCGCTGCTCCTGTCAAGCCCGCTCCTGCCGCCACGAAGGCCGCTCCCAAGGCCAAGCCTGCCGCCAAAAAACCCGCCGCGAAGAAGGCTGCAAAGAAGCCCGCTGCTAAAAAGTCTCCCACCAAAAAAGCTGCCGCCAAGAAGCCAGCCAAGAAGGTGACCGTCAAGAAGACCGCGGCCAAAAAACCAGCAGCCAAGAAAGCCGCGAAAAAGCCAGCTAAGAAGACCGGCAAGAAGTAAAGTACTTCTTCTAGAAAAAAAAAAAACAAAACGAATTCGCGACCTCAGGAAACGAAATAGTCTCGAAACGACTCTTTTCTCAACTGCCTTGAATACCCCTTGTTCTACTCTGTTCATAATATAAATTGCGCAAAAACACATTTTAATAATAATAACAATAAAAATTTACAAAATCAAAATCCCCTTGATTCACTATTATTTTTCGCAAGGCATTTAAAATTTAAACATTTCCTGGTGCATTTTTTGAAGAGGAAATTCTCAACCTTTCGATAATTTTTCTCGCAAAAGCCAAAAATCTTTTTGGCCCCTTTCTGTCAAGCTTGTAGCTGAAGTAAGACATGTCGAGGGCGATGAGGATCTCAAGCGGACGATCCAGTCCGGAACATCCACAGTTCTCTTCATCGAACGAGTTTCTTTCACCGGGTGCAGCTGGGCAGTCGTTACGATTGTCGCACACTTTGACGGGGCTGACGCAGGTGATTCCGTCTGCGCATGTGAATTTGTTGCTCGCCTCGCATTCGCCTAAATGGTGAGCTGCGCGAGGGGCGATCGTTGTCGTTAGCTTTTCTGCTTCAGTTGTCGTTGTTGTTGAAGTGGTAGAGGTCGTTGTCGTCGAAGCTGTTGAGAAAAAGAGCGGCATGTCCATTCCCGATCGACCTTGTTTCCTGCGCCGAGATGTTGTTGTACTCGAGGTTGTGGTTCTTGTCGTTGTTGTTGAAATCGTGGTGGTTGTTGTTTTAAGCGTGGTTGTGGTTATTTTCTCCGATAGCGTCGCTAGAGCGTCTTCATCTGGAATAGACTGAGTCGAAATCTGCTGAGTTGACAGACTTGCCAAAGTGACCTCTGTTGACGTCGATGCTGTCGATGGCAACATTGTCGATGTCACCGGTTCAGTCGACTTTGCAAGTTTGATCCGCTCAATCGTCCGGCAGAGCTGACTTCCTTCTTGGAACAGGATCTTGCCAGCCATTTGGCTTCTTGAGCGAGACTCAAAGTATTCTAAATAATTTCCAGTTGATGTTGCTTTTTCTCGGACAAAATCATAATCGCTCGGTCCGATCACTTCAACAATGTCCGCGTCTTTCAGAACAAAGTTTCGAACATTTTGGAACCAGTCGGGATTGCTAGAAAAGAGGATGATTTGCCGAGTGTAGTCATCTTCGTTTCTCGGTTTTCGGAAAACATCGCGAAGGACGTAATAAAGGCGGCCTCGGAATCGATTGAATTCGTGGGGATAAAACCATGCTTTGACGAGTTCGTCGAAATGCTTGTTTGAAACGGGATTCGTAACTCCATTGAACTCTCCAAACATTCGATAAGCCAAGTTTGTTTGATGATCGAAGACTGCTACGCTTGGTCTTGCCAAGCCATCTTCAATGAGCTGCGAGTTAGAGAAGCCTTTGAGGAAGTTTGCTGCGATTTCAACGGGTTCATCATTATTAAAAATATCGACATCAAAGAGAAAGATGGTCTTGGTCGGCTTTCGGCAAATGAGAGGGTTGAGCGTTGTCGTAACTCGCTGAGTCTTGTAGCGTCGAAAGTAGGGATCTTCTGTAGTTGTTGTCTCTGGGGTTTTATGCTCGAAAAGTTTCACAGCAATTTCATCAGCAAGAGCGGCGCATTCATCTTCGCTCTTGTAATTTGCGTCTTCGAAGATATCCATGATAGAAATGAGAGGCAGTTTATCGGTGTAAAATCCGGGTGGAACTTTGAATGTTAAAACAGGGCCAAGGTCTTTGAAGGTAAACATTCTCTTCCGCTCCTCATTATGGACCTGAATGCTGAAGAAATCATCGTAGCTCAGTTTCCACTTTCGCTCGTCGATATTTTCGTAGAGGAATCGCTCGACTTCTTCTGCTTTGAAGACTGTTCGAGAAATGTATGAGCCCTCGTGGAAGAGATAAATTCGGATTCCTTCGTTTTCGTCGGAATAATCTGCAATATTTCCGAGGAAGGCTTCTTGACAGTCAAACAGTCGACGATTTCTTTCCAGGGTGAGATCTGGTCGCTCGATAATGAACATTGGTTGTTTTGGTAGGTAAAAAGGCATGCTTCGTCTTGTTGTTGTAGTCGTAGTTGTCGTGGTTGTCGTGGTTGTCGTTGTTGTAGTGGTCGTGGTCGTTGAAGTCGTTGTAGTAGTGGTTGTTGATGTTGTAGATGTTGTTGTACTTGCTGTTGAAGTTGTTGTGGTTTCAGGGCAAAGGTTTTGCTTGAAAACATCAAAATCAACGGTCTCCCCCTTCATCAAAAGTGCCATGGCAAAAGCAATAGATTCTTTTGACTCTTTGATTTCACTTAGGTCTTTGAACGTCAAGATGATAGTTTTGTCTCGCAAAGCATATTCAGTAGAACTTGAACAGTCTGAAGCTCCTATTTCGATAAATATAGCTGGATAGCCGATGTCGTCTACCCAAAGCTCGTCAATGATTTTTTGAGATTGCCCAGGAGAAGTCAGAGCTACAATGATCTTCTTTGCGTGGCCGAATACTTTGACTTTATGGTCAAGAGATAACGAAGTACTTCTTCTTTGCCGCGAATTTCGAGGAACGAGGATAAAATACTCATCATTGAATGAAGGATCGTTGCTCGCAAGCGCTTTAAGTTTTCCGCCGATATTGCTATTTGTCAATTGGTCTTCATTGTTTTGTGTAAAAGTTTGAAGTCTGTCTTTGAAATCCTCTTCTGCGAAAATCTGAAGACCGTTATTTGTCACAAGTGTGCCTGTGGTTGAGAATGGAATCGAGTCGGTGGCTAGCTCAAACAAATCAGAGAATAAATCTTGATTTTCTTGTGATGGGGTTTCAATAAGGAACAAAAATGCTCCTGATTTGGATAGGATTGTAGTTGTTCTTGTTGTGGTTGTCGTTGTCTTCGTAGTAATCTTAGTAGTAGTAGTAGTGGTAGTCGTGGTTTTAGTTGTCGTAGTCGTAGTCGTAGTCGTAGTCGTAGTCGTAGTCGTAGTAGAAGTTGTCGTTGTCGTAGTCGTAGTCGTAGTCGTAGTCGTAGTCGTAGTCGTAGTCGCAGTCGTAGTCGTAGTCGTAGTCGTAGTAGAAGTTGTCGTTGTCGTAGTCGTAGTAGTAGTAATAGTTGTCGTAGTCGTAGTCGTAGTCGTAGTCGTAGTCGTAGTCGCAGTCGTAGTCGTAGTCGTAGTCGTAGTCGTAGTAGAAGTTGTCGTAGTCGTAGTCGTAGTCGTAGTCGTAGTCGTAGTAATAGTTGTCGTAGTCTTAGTCGTAGTCGTAGTAGAAGTTGTCATAATCGTAGTCGTAGTCGTAGTCGTAGTAATAGTTGTCGTAGTCGTAGTCGTAGTCGTAGTAGAAGTTGTCGTAGTCGTAGTCGTAGTCGTAGTCGTAGTCGTAGTCGTAGTCGTAGTCGTAGTAATAGTTGTCGTAGTCGTAGTCGTAGTCGTAGTAGAAGTTGTCGTTGTAGTTGTGCTTGTGGTGGTGGTTGAGGTGGTGGTGGTAGTTGTCGTTGTTGTCATTGTGGTAGTTGTGGTAGTAGTTGAAGTTTTTGTAATTTGGTCAGTTTGTGCTGTCGTAGGGTACATTGTAAATTCAGAGTCGTCAAGTTGTGTTGTGACGGAACTAAAAATGATTTCTTGCGATGTAGAGAGTAAGACATCCTCTGTGGAAGAAAGTTCTGGAAGACCTTCAGTAACGAACATATTCTCAGTTGCAGCTCTACATTGAGCCATTAGCTTGTCTAGCTCGCTGAAATCTTCCAAATCCGGTAGTTCGAAATATGAACAATCCGCACTTCCTCCAGTCGAAGTGGTCATTATCGATGTCATTTCCGTCGTATGGACAAAATCACCACAATAATCACGATGAACGCAGCGTTTTTCCTCTTCGCTCCAGAGAAAGTCCTCTTCTTCGCAATGCGGATAGCACCCTTCCACACAAAGGGTTTCATAAGGAGACGGAAAAGGATTTTCACAAGACGGAAGGGAGTTACCGCAGCACTCATAGTGAAAGACACAATCGTAGTGATGCTCGTCATAAGCCTCACACATCATCGGACAAAGCCTCTCATCTCGCCAAATGTGACAGATCTCCTCTTCAATCATCATCGCATTTGAGCATTTCTGTCCGTACGCTGACAAGACATCACAGAAATCAGGGCAAGTAAGGATATAAGACGCTTTGCAATTGCAAACAGCAGCTACACACTCGTCGAGATAGTCTTCATAATCAACGTAGGCATGGCAAGATTCAAATCGATCGCCGCCAAGGATTCTCTGGCACAAGGATCGGCCCTTATCATAACAAGTTGGCTCTAGATTTCGTTTTCTGCGGATGAGATTTTCTGAACTGAGACTTGAATAGCCAACATCCGACGAGCACATGCCGTGAGTAACATGATCTTTGGCCTTTTTGATAATAACTGTGTTCCCTTCATCGAAAAGAATCTCAAAATCTTTCGCAAAAGATACCTTCTTGTATCGACCAATACGATCTGTGACCTGGTTTTTGATTGGAATTCCGTCAAGCTCAAATTCTTCATTTTCCGATAGTCTCATCGGAGTTGTATCAAATGAGATGAGTTCTAGATTTTTCATGCCTCGTATCGACTGCTTTCTTCCATCAAAGCCAGTTATGAAGTTGTTTTTGATAATGCGGCACTCGACAAAAAGTTTTTCTTCCTCCGAACATGACCATTTTTGATTCTCGCAATAACAAGTCTGAATCGTATTTCCGAAGTCTGAAGTAATTTGCGTCGAAGAATTTGTCGGGAACGATCTCCCGCGGGAGAAACAACCACATTCTGACGATGGGATGCACTGTTCAGCATCGAGAGAGTAATGATGGCCTTCTTGGCACTTGCAATCAAGATCAGAAAGCTTTCGATTATAGAAGAGATCTTCGCATGTGACCAAATCATCTCGAGAAGCAGGAAGCATCATTTTTTGACATTCATCGCTTTTTGGCTCATTCGGAACGCAGAAGATCTCACCCTCGAGACACTCGCATTTGTGGTCGTTGATCATGTGATGCTGCCCCGGCGCCATGATATTTCCTTGATGATAGCATGAACAGTCAGAAATCGAGGGAACACATGTTTTGTTCAAGTCCATAAATGAATCTTCAAGACAAAAACACGCTTCAATGTTCTTCAATCCGACTTGCAAGGAAGGGCAGCTGAACAAATCCGCGTTTTCAACAGATCGAAATGACATGCCGAATGGGCACGAAACCAAACAATTTGTTCTCTCTCGCCAGGAAGAAGAAATATCGAAATTTTCTCTGCATCGAACCACAATCTCTTCTATGATTTCACAATGATCGTCTGTCAAAGAGCATTTCATAAGCAAGTCATCAGCTTCTACGCATCCATTTAGCTCGAAAGATTCAATAAATTCCAGGCATTTGTCCGTTCGGCTTGGCAAACCAACGTATTCTCTGGGCTCGAACTTGACAATTTTCCCAATTCGCCAGAGATGTTGAAGATTTTGATGAGTAAAATCAAAGCCGACAGCCTCTTTCGAATCATTGCAAAGGCCTTGGACTTCAAGCTTGTTTGGGAATCTTAATTCAAGTTTTTTCCGCGTTATTTCAATCTTGAATTTATTCTCGAGCTCTAGAATTGCTTTCATCCCATCAGCCCAGAACTTGAGATTTTTATGAATTCCCGTTGTCAGTAGAGGAGCATGGTTGACACTGACAAGGCCGGGTTGAACTTCGATTGTGTCGTTTTTGCTTTTTATTCGAAGATTTTGGGGGCAAAGGAAGCTATCGCACTCTTCGAATTCTGCTGAAATCTGAAAGTCATGATTTTTCGCCAGCAAGAAAGCTCCCGTGTATGTCAGATGAAATGATCTTTCATGGAATTGTTTCAAACCGCCAGCTTTGGCGAATGAGCACGTCAAATCGCAAGGAAGCTCGCTGCAATTCCAGGCTCCATCTTCGCAAATGCATTTTGAGCAGTCGTTCTGGCGAAAATCTCCTGGTTGAAAAATTCTCCCGAAGTAGTCACAGTTACATTCAGATTGCTTGACGCATTTGTTCAGGCTTTTATCAAGAACAGACCCGGGTGGGCACGAACAATGCTCGGAAATTCTAGAGCAGTCGCCTTTCTTTTCCCCAGAGCATGTTTGAAAGCAATCTTGGGAGAGATCCAATTCGAAGGAATCTTCGCATTCTCTTACACACTCCCCTGGTTCATTCGCGATTTCGACTGCATTTCCGCTCGCTTGGCAATCTTCAAGAAAATCCTCTCGAACAAGGCAGCTCCAATCGTCATCCGAGGAATATTGGCAGAGTTCTTCGTAGTCTTCGACTTTGAGTTTCAGCCGACAATCTTTAAGACTCTTCGCTCGAAGAAACGATTCGCAAAGCTGATTTTCTTCTGCGAGATTGCTTCTGCTGCTGATGCTTTTTGACCAATGCTGAAAAATTGCATCATTGTTTTGGGAAAAACTCGGCGGGTTACAAAGACCGACTCGTTTTTGCCGAGAAATTTCTTCGAGCTTGACCGAATTTCCGTCAAATATGATCCTGATATTTTCGTTATAGATGACCAAATAGCCGGGCATGATGTAATGATGAAAATGCTTCATTTCCGCGATTTCTGTGTCGATTTTGAGGTCTTCCTTGATTTCAAATATTTGATTTTCGTAAATTCGCAGGATATTTTCTCCGTTATGGAAAGTTATTTTGAAGTCGACATCATCAAGAATCGTGATTTCAGCAGATTTACTCGGGTAATCCAGCTTATTCCCAGAAAAGCTCTTCAAAAAATTCCTCGTCACATGACAAGTTCTTCCTTGATCATGGGAAAGGTGGCAGAATTTTCCGGAATATCCATTTTTACAGATGCACTTTCCACTCTCCGAACAGTCGCCATGAAGACAAGGAAAATCGCACGCTCGCAGATCGCATATTTCACCTTTCCAGCCAGAATGACAGATGCATGTGTCGAGGGAGGGATCAAGGCCTCCGTTGTAGCATTCTTTTCGGACTTGTTCACTCGTAGTGCAATTTGGCCCAGAAAAACCAAGGGGACAATGGCATTTTCCATCGATCAGTTTGCCACTCCCGCAGACAGAGTCGTCCGGACAGACGGAGCTCGCTAGAGCAAGTAAAGCTTAATTCAAATAAGAAGATAAATAAGAATTAAAACGAACCTAAACGCCTCATCGCTGCATTCTCTCGTCTGATTGTGAAAGATCAGACTGATCATAGGCACCGTTTTTTGTTTGTAAATAAGTTGAGGAAGCAATTTCAAAGTTGTTGATTTGAACTCTTGCCGGGTGGAAAACCGGTGAAAAGTCAGTATTTCTCCGAAAATGTTATTTGCCCTAGTTAGCAAAGCTGAGAACCAAGATGAACAACCAAGTTCCTTCCTTGTGAGCTTGTTAACATATGTACTGATTAGGAAAAAGCGAGACTGAATTTTTGATGGCAAAAACTTGCTGGGTATAAAAGCAGATTCGCTGAAGCAGTTATATAATTCGACAAATGCGGCTTTCAACGGTAAGAATTTTTGATAAACTAAAAATCATCATATGTTTTAAGGCTCTCCTCCCTCTTTTTGCAGCTCAAAACCCCCCGAATTCGAGCGCTCTTGGGAGCAATCATCAAAAAACAAAATACAAGTCGACATTCATCACCCTCCTTCATGTCACCCCTGCTCCGCCCGAATTGAAATTGGGAAAAATGCATGAAGAAACGAGATACAAATCTCAGTTTATTCGACTGTTCAAATATTTCAGCGGCAAAGTTGATCAGGAGAAAGAATCTGGAATCAAAGAAGCTCTTCGAGCTCAACTTGCAAGACACAAAAATAACAAAACTAATCAATAAATTCATCATATTTTTTTCTGAAATAAAGACAGTAGTTTTAAAAGTCCTTAAATTTGAGAAAGAGCTATAAAACTTGAATTATATAAGTCTCACAAGACCGATTTCAAAACAAGAAAATGTAGAAATTCAAACAAATGGTTCTATAATTTCTATGACACAAAAGATGCGCTCTTCCGGAGACTTTTTGGTGGCAATTCATTCTATTCCGCTGTCTGGAATCATATTCGGGAACGACCTTAAATTTAGGGAACCGAAGCGAAAGAGAGTCATTCTTCGGGTTCTTCAGGAGATTTTCGGAGATGCGAATAAAATTCTTACTTTTTGCATATTTCGTTCGCGCTGAGTTGATTTGCGACTACGGCGAAAATTGCGATCGACTTTGCGAAGCTGATGTTTGCGACTATTTTTGGAACATCGAATATCGTTATTCAAATTCGTGGCAAACCAATGGTCCCTGGTGGCGAAGTTTTCCACTTTTCTTTAATGAGACGGCAGATCAGCTGGAGATTCCTGAGCTGAAGACGGGATACACGCAGGGTGTTACTATCGACTCGATTGTTGGGGAAGATGGGGAAAGAAAGAGGCCAGAAGACAATTTAGACGAGCTGTTTTTCATCGACGGACATCGTAAGATTGTTTCAGAAGAAATAATCAAAAAAATTTTTAGCTAATAGAAGAGTAATCACCGTAAATGGCCAGTTCCCTGGTCCCAAAATCCACGTGAAAAAGGGCTCAACAATGCGAATCACCATCAAAAACCAGTTGCAATACGAGGGAGTAAACATTCACTGGCACGGCTTGCACATGATCGACAACTTCTGGAACGATGGAGCAATGTTTGTCAGTCAATGTCCGATTCCTGCAAATACCGAGTTTACCTACATCGTTCGAGCAGATAATTCGGGAACGCATTGGTGGCATTCTCATGCAGGAACGCAACGACTTGATGGCCTCTTTGGCCCCTTGATTGTTCTAGAACCAGAAGAAATAGAACAGAAAGTTACGACTATCCCGCTAACAATCGGCGACTGGTACCAAACTGATTCGATTTCATTCATTGCCAACGACCCTTTCCGGCTTCGAATGAACGAATATCCGGGCAACGGGCCTATTACTTGTGCAACGCCTTATCGAAGCTTCTTTGGCGGCATGAAGGTCACGGGCTTGTTCTGTTTGGACTCCTTTGTTGTCAATGGAAGGGGGCAGTTTCGTTTCCAAGAAGGTTCTTATTTTTAATTTTTATGAAATTATTTGATCTTTAAGACACTTCCAAGGGGATGTTCTCGATCGGCGAACGATATCTGATTCCAGAAGATGCTGATTTCATAAAGCTCAAGGTGATAAATACAGGATTTGAGATGTTATCTGCTGTAACTCGCCTTGATGGAGAGACATTCAATGTAACAGGATCGGTCGCAAAAATATACGAAAATGTATCTTTTAAACCAGTTGACTGTAACCGAATAAAGCTACTGACGGCAGAGATATTGTCCTAGAAGAAGGAGATGTTCTTTTCCTCGGCGTTGGAGAAACGTATGATCTTCATATCCCCTTATCACTCTCCGAAGACAGTTTCTTCCTTCGATTCTGGCTACCTGTCGACCACATCGGACAAGAAGAAGATAATCTTGTTCATGAACCATACTTGGATATTGAATTCAAACGAAGTGAGACAATTCCGGAAGGAGACTTTCAAACTGAACTTTTCATGAGAAAACCGGATGATGCAGTCAAAGAAAATTTGCATTCCAATTCTGCTGACGCTCCGATTTGGCTCAATTGTCCATTCCCGGAAAAGGATGTTGTTTGCAGGACTATCTCAGGACTGGGCTTTAACCATTGAAAATCTTTAACTTTTTCGTGATCGAGCCAAGAATAGATTTCAAGCGCCTTCTACCTTCAGACTACAAGTTCAAAGGCGAAAAGACAATCAACCTACCCGAAAATGTCTCGCCAACAGATGAGCCCGATGTCATTATTAATTTCCATGTCAATTTCATGACGGCCGGATCAAGTGTGAATGGAATCCATTTTAAATATCCTTCCGCTCCATTTTTCAATGGAACTGATGTTGACTCTATTACGAGGTGTACAAAAGAAGAGCTGGAAGGTGCTGGGGGCGTCTGTACTCAGGTAGGAGCGGAATAACGTGTTCTTTTTTTACCTCTTTGCTCGCAGATCATGTCGGCAAAAGTCGGGGATCTGGTTGAGCTCCGCCTCTCCAACTTAGAAAAACGTGATGATCTCAGGACTTTCCACAGCGTTCACATGCACGGATACGAGTTTTTCTTGATGGCGACTGGATATGCTGAATATGATGCAAATGGAACGATAACTGGCGACAACCCAGACATAACTTGTGGCGGAGGAGATCTTTGCCCATTCGTCACTTACGATGAGCAAGTTTTGAAAAAACAACGGGAGGAAAGAGGTGCATTCATTGCGAAAAACGCGATTTTGGTCCCGCCACAAGGATACGCAATTGTCCATTTCAGGTATTCATCATAAAGGTATTCATCCTAATATTTTTTGAAGAGCTTCGAACCCAGGAATTTGGCCGATTCACTGTCACCAGGGAGCGCATTTGATCGGCGGAATGAGCGCTTTGATTGAAATCAAGGATGAAACGCTCAACCGCCCGTACAGCTATCTTCCAGAAAACTTCCCGCGATGCGGAGATTTCAAACCTTCTGGGCTACCGAAGATCAATCCCATCGACTCCGGTTCCCCCGCCATCGAAATCTACTCGCTTTTGCTTGTATTCCTTCTTCTTGTTCAATAAATTCAGCTAACATCATCATTGTCATTTTTTGCAAAAATTCTCTAGATGATCTAGAGAAATTTGACTGAAAACAATGAAATTTCTTGGAAAAATTCGAGAATTCTCATGTTTTGCTGAAGGTTTTTTTCTCTAGATACCGGTCTATCCTCTTATTTTCTTCATTCTTTTTCTTCACTTCGCACCTCGGGGTACTTGAGGTCCGGGAGAGATATATGAAAGGTAATAATTTAATTCTTGCGCTTGAACTTTACTTAACTTTAGTTTTTAGTTTGAGATCAAATCGCAATCAACTTATTTTACCAAGGAGTTGGTAGCACATCCTCTTCAACTGGCTTGCTGTTCGCCCGTTGAACATGGATGTATTCAACGTCACTCGTGATTCGATCGAATCAAGAATCGCGAAATCAAGAAAGCCAGAAGCGAGGGAAAAGACATTTACGCTGCAATGATCCAGCTTTCTGAAAACCTGTAAAATTCCCGATCAATATTTGACCTGAATAAAATCAATTTCCCTTCATTATCCGTTGTTTTTCTGTCTTTTCAGCAGGAAAAATCTCGTATTTTAGACCTGACTTTATTGTAGTCATTTTAGAACGTCGCTCTTTGAAAACGTTTCTTTTGAAATTAACCGTTTACGGCCGTTAAAAAACCAAGATTTGTATAAAAGAGGTCAAATTCTTTCTTCTGTCTTATTCTTGAAAATGAAGTCCCGATTTTTTTATTTTTTGCTGCTTTTGGATCGCGGAAACTCGGAGTTAGTCTGCGACTTTGGCCAGAGATGCGACAGTTTGTGCGAGGCAGAAATCTGCGAGTATAACTGGGAGGTCAATTATAAGCTCTCAAATGTATGGACAACTCTTGATTACCAATTTGGTGAAGAGGGATTTTGGCGGGGTTTTCCTTTGTTTTTCAACGAGACATCTGATCGACTTGAAATTCCAGAGCTAGACACAGGACTATTCCAAGAGATTGTGATCGATTCAGTGAGGGACGAGAACAATGAGCTAAAAAGACCGGAAGACTATCTTCACGAATTATCGTTTATCGACGGACAAGGTTGACTTTATTTTCCTCAAATAAGAAGCAAAGGAATTTTCAGATAGCAGAAGAGTGATCACAGTGAATGGCCAATTCCCCGGGCCGAATATCAAAGTGAAAAAGGGCTCGATTCTTCGAATCCGGGTACGAAACAAATTACCCAATGAAGGGCTTACACTCCACTGGCATGGGCTTCACATGATTGATAATTTCTGGATGGATGGAGCAGCTTTTGTCAGCCAATGTCCCATTCCCGGGTTTTCCGAGTTCACCTACGTCGTCAAAGCTGACAATTCGGGTACGCACTGGTGGCATTCTCACAGCCATGCGCAGAGGATGGATGGTCTTTTTGGAGCACTGAAAATTTTTGAGCAAGAAGAAATTGAGCAAAAGAAAACATCGATTCCCCTGACTCTTGGTGACTGGTTTCAAGGGAGGCTTTTTTATCTCATCTTGATTATCTTTCTTCAAACATTAAAATTTTTATTTTACGAGCCTTTTTGACAGAAGATTCTACAATGTTCGCGGCGACGTATGCTTGGGGACGAAATGCAGGGCCAGCTCCTGGAACTTGTTATACGCCGTTTCGAAGTTATTTTGGCGACCTCAAACTCACAAGCATGTGTCTTGATTCGTTCGTCGTCAATGGACGCGGCCAGTATAGAAATCAAAAGGGTTCGTTTTTTTGACTTTTTTTGCTGATTTTTAATCTTGCTTCAGATCCAACAAAGGGCTTCTTTTCAATCGGAGAGCGATTCCTGATACCTCAAAATGCTGAATCCTTCGAGCTCAGACTGATTAATTCTGGCTTCGAAATGCTCTCAGCAGTCACGAGACTCGATGGAAGATCTTTACGAGTTACTGCCACTGACGGGCGAGACTTACAGTCCTTGGAAGGAGATGTTCTCTTCCTTGGCGTCGGGGAAACTTACAATATCGAGGTAGATATATCGCCTGAAGCAGAGAGCGTTTTTCTTCGATTTTGGCTTCCGGTCGATCACTTTGGCCCTGAAGACGAAAATGTTGCTATTCATGAGCCCTATTTGGATGTTGAGTTCAAACGGGATTCTTCTGTTGAAGAAGGAGATTACAAAAGCGAGTTGTTCACTCGAAAGCCTGATGATGCTATTCTCAAAAATAGCCACGAGAATCAGATGAGCAACCCAATTTGGCTGAACTGTCCTTTTCCAGAAGAAGGAGTCGTTTGTAAAACTCTATCAGGTATAATTTGTAAATGAACTGATAAAAAAACCCATTTAGACTTCAAAAGACTTCAGTCATCTGATCATAAATTTGCCGCCGAGAACTCAGAAAATGTTCCTTCGGAGTCGCTGCAGTTTGATGAACCGGATGTTATTCTCACTGTACATGTCAACTTCAACACAGTTGGGCCGAATGGAGGAGGAGGAAGAGTGACCCTCAACGGGATTCATTTCGTTTACCCATCTGTAGGGTAAATCACTAATAATTGAGATTCCCTCCCTTGTTCAATGGAACTGAGGACAAGTCGATTGTTCAATGCACGGAAGAACAAATGCAAGGAGCTGGCGGGGAATGTACTCAGGTACCCTAACACAGAAAATATAAAAAAAACAGCATCCTGCTCTTTTCAGATTTTGACCGCGAAGGTTGGAGATCTTGTTGAGCTGCGCTTATCGAACCTGGAAGAGCGAAAATCGCGAAGAACTTACCACAGTATGCACCTTCATGGATATGAATTCTTTCTGATGTCGATGGGATTTGCTCAATACGCAAAAAACGGGACGATCATTGGCGACAATGTAAATGTCAAATGCAAGAAAACTCCTTGTGCTTTTCTCGATTATGATGAAGAAGTACTAAAAAGAGAGCGAGAAGAAAGGACCTCTTATATTGCCAAAAACTCCATTTTAGTTCCTCCGCAAGGCTACGCAATTGTCCGATTTAGGTATTTTTGAAGGAAAAGCTCAAAAGAAAATAAATTTTAGAGCGTCAAACCCAGGAATCTGGCCGATCCATTGTCACCAAGGAGTGCATCTTGACGGCGGAATGAGTGCATTAATCGAAATCAAAGACGAAATTGAAAACCGGCCCTTCAGTTATCTACCAACTAACTTTCCGAGATGTGGGAACTTCGAGCCAAAGGCTTTTTCGGAAAGTTTCGATGGATCTAGTGCTGATTCTCTGCATCTGACATTACTTCTTCTTCTTATTCTGAAAATATTTTCATAAATAAAATACTTCTGTCTCTCAAAAGTTGGGAATCCCGATGCATCTTTGTCCCCTTCAAAAAACTTATTCATCTTCATCCGACCGTAAAATAATGACCCCGATTTTACGGCTCGACTTTTGTGCCTTTTGGATTTAGCGGGCAAATTCCGCCAAGCACCAACAAAAGTGACAAAGAGTCTGAGAATTCAAAGAAAAACATGACTTTCGTTGAGAGAAGCGAAAGTAGAACTTCGTTTCGAAGGAGAATTTCAACGAAGGATCAAGGAAGATCAGCTTCAAGGGCGTCTTTTCGTGGAAGAGTTTCTACCAGAGGAAAATTTTAAAAAATTATAATCCTTACTATATATTTTGTATTTTGTTTCTAGAAAAAGATCAGAAAAACCAGAAACTTATCTTTATTACGAGCTTAAAACGTAACTTCTGGGATATTACTAAAGCATTTAAAATATTGAAAAGAACCAGAACCATCAGCTCATCCCTCTGCCGCAGCATCTACCTCTTCCGAGCCAGCCCGCGGAGCATGGAATTCAAAAGCCGACTACATGTTCACCTGCATTGGCTATGCTGTTGGGCTAGGCAATATCTGCCGCTTTCCGTATCTCGTTTACGAAAATGGCGGAGGCGCGTTTGTATTTCCTTATATCATCATGCTCTTCATCGTTGGGATTCCAATTGTGGTGCTAGAAACGACACTTGGTCAATATTCTTCAAAGGGACCGGTGAAGATTTGGTCGTTTTCACCGATCTTCAAAGGTTGTGGGTTCGCTCAAGTCTTGCTGATGTTTTATGTCGGAATCTACTACAACGTCATCATCAGTTACGCCATCTTCTTCCTCTTTGCCAGTCTCGACGGGACTTTACCTTGGGTCGGATGCGATAACTGGTGGAACACTCCTGCCTGTGCTACTTCGTCATCGAATTGCTTGGTCAAAGAATCCTATTTGATGCAAACACTTGGGAATCCGGGTATGGCGCTCGTTTCCGAACTGAACAAGAACTACAAAAAGGATTATATAAATGCATGGAATGACTGGGAAGTTAACCTTTCTCCTGATAATATTACCAGTTTGACGAATGCGGGACTTTGGAGCTCGGATATTGAATGCAACGCTGGTATAAGTTCAGGTACCCATTTGTCATACAAAAACCATAAAAACGGTCAGAATTTATCTACCCGGTTCTATTTTTTGCTTTCAAGTTTGATTCGCCTAGAATAGCCGCTATAGTAATTGGACGTAGCCGACCGTTATAAAATGAATAATAACAATATAAATAGAAAAAGTGTGCCAAATCAATTCTCTTATTCTATCCAAGCGTCGTCATCATCATCCCCCGCCGAAGAGTACATGAACGAATACGTCCTTGGCCTCACGGACCAAATGACCATCGGGGGTGGCGGCATTCGTTGGCAAAACACTCTCGTTTTCATCGCCTCTTGGGTCCTCATCTATTTAGTTCTCATGAAGGGTCTTCAAGAAGCTGGTAAAATCATCTGGTTCACAGCGATGTTTCCATATGTCGTCCTCACTTGCTTTTTGATAAGAGGCTTGACTTTGGATGGCGCCGGCTTGGGGCTCAGCTATTATCTCGGAGCTGAGTCTGATTTTAGGAATGGGCTCTAGGACTTTTGAATATCTTTTGATGAAGAAAATTCTAGAGCTCAAAAAAGCGCTCTTATAAAAGGCGCGACTTGGAAAAACGCAGCGACTCAGATTCTCTTTTCGCTTTCCGCGGCGCAAGGTGGCATGATCACGTTATCAAGCTTCAACTCGTTCAAAAATGATAATATCACCGATTCGCTCATCATTTGCTTGATAAACTCTGCAACTTCAATTTTTGGCGGACTCGTAGTTTTCTCAATCTTGGGTTTTATGGCTAAAACGACGTCGACGAAGATGTCAGAAGTTGTTAGGTCCGGAATGACGCTTGCTTTTGTTTCTTTTCCAGGTAATTCTAGCGCTCCTTCTTTGGTGGTAATTTTCATTCAGCTGCGATTGGTGAAATGCCGGGAGCATCAATCTGGTCGCTCATTTTCTTCTTTATGGTTCTCCTCCTCGGCTTGGATACTCAATTCACCGTTGTGGAAATCTGCACTACGGCCCTCTTTGATATGTTCCCTAACAAACTCGATCACAAAAAGCACAATTTGCTGGTCACTGGCGGCTTCTGTGCTACCTTCTGTATCCTTGGCTTGCCCTTGATGACCGGCTCTGGCATCTATTGGGTTACTCTGTTGGATACTTATGCTTCTAGCTGGGGGTTGATTGTGATTGCCCTGGTGGAACTTGTTGCAGTGGCGTGGGTTTACGATCTGGATAAATTTATTGAGCATATGAAGGAAATGCTCCCAGATGATTCGCCGGTCCATAAGTTTCCAGCGTCATTTGGTTTCTGGAAAATTATGTGGAAATATGTCACACCGACGAGGTAAAGAAAAAGTGAGAAATGAAGTGTTGGAAATGATTAAGTCTCGCTATAATTCTAACCTGGTCAATAATCGACTACGAGCCTGCCCGCTACGGAACCTTCATCTTCCCCGGATGGGCTCAAGCAATGGGCTGGATCGTCCTCCTGACCGCACTGCTCATCATCCCGATCATCGCGTTTCGTCAAGTGCAAAAATCACCCGGAGAGGGACTCAGAGAAAAGGTCAAATTTGCCTCGAAACCGACTGAAAAATGGCAGCCCGGCGATCCGAAATACAGAAAAAATCCGCCCTTGGCGACTGATCCTCGAGAAGACGACGTTTTTATAGTTCCAGAAGAAGCTCCTCGGAGTCGGCAACTTTCAACTTACTGTTGATTTTTTTTCCTAATACTGTAAATGCATTTATGAAATAACGATTCGTTAAAACGAGTCTTTCTCAAAGCAGCCAGCTGGAGCGCTCTCGAGCAGAAAACGCTTGATTCTACCACTGAGAAGCTTTGCCGAATTAAGATTTTTCATGCTTGGACTTTCTAGTAGCGATAAAGAATTTTTACTTGATCAAGTCTTTCGTCTGAGATAGATACCTACATTCTTCATATTTTTGGGAACGTGTTACTAATTATTTATAAAGACGTAGTCTACCGGTTATTTCTTTCTGTTCGAATGAAGTTCAAAAAGTAAATTCTATCGAAAGGAAATTTATCTGCTTAAAGAATAAGCTGCCCAGACATAGTCCCACTAGCTTTTTTCGGCAGCGCTGGAAAAGGTGAAGCAGAGGAAGCATCATTAAAAAAGAGCAAGATCGGAGACTGCGCTGTCGAGCTGTCAAAGAGGAAGTCGTGCCGAGGAGTCCCACAAACCGGCTTTTTCACCGAGAATCGTTATTTTTCTTCTAGAGAGCACTCGCTATGGCGATCGAAAAAGAAAACGAAAAGATAAGAGCTGCGCTTTTTCAAACCAAAGTCCGGGTAATTTTAATTTCAATTATTTGGATAATAAAGTTCTCTATATTAAAAGTGCCTTGATTGCGACTGCAAAGGCGTCCTGAGACTCAAAGGCAAGAAATTGTATCTGCTGCCCATAGAAGTGTTGACAACTCGAAGCATGCGCACTCAAGAAAATGACATCAGAAAATTGAAAATGAAGAAAACATGGAAGAAAAAGGTCACCGCGAAAATGAGCCTAGCAAAACACGGAAATGCCACAGATCCGCAGCAATACAGCTATCTTTCTCTTGGCACTCTCTTTTGGGGCACTATTATCCTCTTAGGTACTTTTAAAATGATTTTCAAAATGAAATTTCTCTGAAATTAGCGAATGTCGCCTCTTTGGAAAAATCCCGCGGCGTCACAACTTTTCTGACTTCAACCTGTAATCGAAACTACAAAGAATGCGTGAAAATTGCTGAAATAGATATCTGCGGCCATTTGATGAAGCAATGCTACGATACCGAGGAGTTCATCCTTCCTGAACCCATTTCTAAAGTCAAAAAGCCGAAATCTGAACCTCTTGTTTTCACGGAAGAAGAAAACAAAGTGAATCTGCGCCGCTGTCAGAAGAAACAGTTTTACGACCAGAATATCTGCCGCCATCTCTGCTCGTATACGCTGGTATTGGAATCAATGAGGACTAAGCCAATCTCGCCCTGTGAATCAATCTGTTTTGAATTGACTTGATCTTCTGGAGCCGGACAAGTCTGCCCAACTCAGAAATATTGTCAAAATGGATGCCCTTGTCCATTTTACGATTGTGAAAAATTCCAGTCCAGGCAGAAATTTATTCCGGTTTTTGATTTGAAATCGACTTCAACGAGGTTTATTTCGGATGTTGTGGGAAATCAGTCGAATGCTGACCTCGGCCTTATAACAGCTCGCTGGAATAAAAGAGAAAAGGAAGAGCCAAAAGTCCCGAAATTTATTTTCTCCGATTTCAATGAAAATGAGAAAACTTTTGACCTTTATGAATCTTTTATCCCTTATGGACGTTTTTTTATCAAATCCATTTCCGTTTCTTTTAATTTTTTAAATTCAAAACTAAAATTCTAAAAACGCAAAAGTCTACTGGCGCTACTTTTCTCGACGGGGAGCACTATTTGGTCGATGCTGTGGGAAATTTGATGAAAGTGAAGGAAAACGGTGATTTACCATATCTCATTCCGAATTCACGTAAACGAATGTACGGGCGTTTATATTTTCTCAATTTTTTTCATGTTATTTTCAGCGGTTTCTTCGTTTTCCACTTCGGCTCGTCGATAAGCACCCACCATATTGAGATACGCTTTGAAGAGAAAAGTGCGGGGAGGGTGCTCTTGTGGCACTTTCGTCATATTTGCCTCCTGTGGCACTGTCTCTCCTGTGGCACTGTCTCTCTTGTGGTATACCACAGCAGGCGCAAGTGCCACAGGAGAGACAGTGCCACAAGGGAGACATTTTCAAAATCGTTGACTATCAGATTCTCAAAATGATAATCTTCCTGAGGGAATCCGCCGACCCAGCTCCACGTGGGCGCCGTTTCTAATTTTCTATTATAATCATTAAAACTTTTTTTGATTTGGATTTATTTTTCTACGTGGACGTGATTTTCTATGAGCTTTCATTAACATTAAGTAAAATATTCATATCTTATAGTTACAGTGTGTTATGGCGAAATGGAAATTGGATGCTCCATATTAAGGAGGGAAACGGTCGGTTACAATACCAATTGGTATTCCAATACCAATTTTGGTATTCCAATACCAAAGTCGGCAAAAAATACCAATTTCTCAAAATTAAAAAATTGGGTGTGCGCTCCGCGCCTGTATTATACGATACTTTAGGAGTGTTTTTAATAATTTGTCGGGCAAAAAAATCCAAATTGTCTAAAAAATTTGGTATTGGAATACCAAATTTTGGTATTGGAATACCAAAAAAGCTTTGGTATTGTAACCGACCGTTCCCGATTAAGGACACATAACTTTAAGTAATAATATGTATAATATGTAACTGTTAGATACATAAGTTACGATGATGAAAATAGAAAATGGAAACTGGCGAGGCGCGCGCATGGAGCTTGGTCGGCGGATTCCCTTAGGAAGATTATCATTTTGAGAATCTGATACTCAACGATTCCGAAAATGTCTCTCTTGTGGCACTGTCTTTCCTTCGATTGAATTCGATTGAAGAGTTCTAGTGCCAATTTCGGAACTTCCGGTGCCATGAATTGCCTTGCGGACATGACCCAGACCACTCGATATGGGGGTCAAATGAAAGCTTAGCTTCTGGACTTTTAGAATATGTGTCATAAGACCCCTCAACTAAGCTAGAAAAAGTGGCCAAATTTTCATCTAATAAGCCTAGGTATACCACAGCAGGCGCAAGTGCCACAGGAGAGAAAGTGCCACAAGCGAGACAGTGCCACAGGAGCACCCTCCCCGAAAAGTGCAACAATCTTCCCCGTCGTTGCTATCTGAAAAAGGTCGAAAAAGATAATTGATAAGCATCGCTATTCATCCTTTTTGACCGGTGAATAGTTCTCCATCTTCAAAAGCCGACAAATGTTACTACTACGCTCCGGACTACAATTTAAACCGTTTCGAAGAGGCCCATGGTTATATTGCCAGTAACCACTTCAACGCGAAAGTCTCGTCAATAAGCTTCAAAGGAGTATTCTATCTGATGAGCGTGAAAATGGGCGATTATTACATCAAACTCTCTCAAACAGTTGCATTGAATAAGATTCGCCAGAGCGAAGAACTTGAGAAAGGCTGGAGAAAAATGAGATTCAGCTGCCTGCAGAACTCAGGGACTTGGATCCCGTTCATGTTGTTCCTTTGTCAGTGGTTCGAATTAAGAATCGATTAGATAGAAGTAATTTCTCGTTTGAACTCATAAAAGAATGACATGGGAAGACTCCTTCTTATTGTTGTAACCAGGAGTGTCATTTTATCGAACACTTTGTACTCGTTGTTGCTGGAAGCAGAGGGAAAGTTCCTGACTCTTGGCAGCGAGTGGATCGGCTCTCTGGTTAAATACGAACAAGAATGTATTTGTTATTCGAAGTTGTTTGCTGATGATCATCACTATACAGATCAAATTGCAGTGAGCAATGACGAATGCGAGTATTTTGGCAATGGATTCATCAACGAAGAAAGGATCTTTGTTCAAAGTTACGTTTTCGATGCTGCATTCGAAATCGAATTTAATTTCGGAAAGGATTTAACGAAATTTTAACGAAAAGATTTTTTGCTGAAGCCTTCTTGTGAGCAAGTTTAAATAGGGAAGCCATGTTTCATCCTTGATTTCATCGCATTGTTCCCTTGTTTATCCCAGCAGTCTTTTCCCGAGAGTAGCCGAATCTGGAAAGTTTTCAAAGGTTCTTGAAGCTGGTCCGTGAGCGCATGGATAAAATTTCTAGATTTTTAATAACAGAAGAAAGACTGCGTTGCCGTGGTGATCAATGGAACCATTTGTTGAGTGTCAAGGATAAACGAGGGCACAATCTCTTTTATCATTAGCAAATCCAAAACAGAACAAGTTGAAGTCGAGTTCGTGCAACAAAAATCTCAGAAGAAAATACACGTTACGAGCAATCCCTTTTTCGCCTTCCATGACGACGTTTTTCCATCTTTTTCAAAAAATGCCGTCCGCCAGCCACGATTTCCTGCTTCAAGCTTGTACCACAAAACAATTGTTCCGGATAAATTCTTCAACTCGCTCAAAGAACTAAAACATATTTCAACTATTGAGCTGGAACTCGATGGAAAAAAGAAATTTCAGCTTGAAATCGATGTTGGAACTGGCTTTTTTAAAGAAACGAAAATTCTTCAATTCAAATTTTTTGACGAAAGGACTCTTTTGCGCCTTCGGCTTTCGAAAAATGGCTCGTTTGGGATAGAATCAGATTTTTTTGACAAGTTTTTTATTCAACAATCAAAGAAGCAACTTGATTTCGTGTTTTATTTCAATTCAAAAGGGTCTTTTATTGAAGTTTTTCAGGAAAAGATTGATTTTAGTTTCAAAAGACTCAATTTTAAAATAATAAAATATTAAACTCAATAAAAAGGCAAATGAAGAAAAAGCTCATTCAAAAGTAAAAATAACTGGACTTGAAAATGTGGAAAACAAAAAATTCCGAATTTTCAAGTTGGAGCAAGAAACCAAAATCAAAAATTTCATTTTGAAATCTCGATTTGATTCTCAGATAAATGTTATTTTACCGGATCGTAATGACATTCTCAAACACTACGCATTAAAGCCTGATGGTTCAAAAAACGAAGAAATATTCGTCAAGAGTCCATTCGATTACAGCGGTCACCTTTCTCAATACGTTCATGCTTCGAGACACGCACTGATCAAAGGTCGTCTGCATATTTTTGGGGGAGTTTTTGATAACAAAAAGGTAATAAGATGAAGAAAATAATTTCATATTTTTTATAGATTGCCCGATTGGATGGCTGCCGATTCACCGAGTTGGCTTTTCGACTGTCGTACAATTTCGACATTGGTCACTCTGCTCTTTCGATGGAAGAAGGCAGCAAAGGTGAATTTAATTTGAGCGTTTTATTTTTAAAATTAAAAAAAAAATACATCAAAAATTCAGTTGCGAGTAAATTTGAAAAGAAAAATAATTAAAAATAATTTTCAGCGATTATTTGTTTTGCTTATCGGATCTATTGTCAGTCATTTGATGACTTTAAAGTAGAAAATAAAAAAGAAACGAATATTGAACACGAGTATGGAGAATTGGCCCTGTACAATGGCCGCTTGATTGCAATCGGAGGAATGGAGGCAGAAGGAGCAGTTGAGGAATTGAGCGAAAATGGATGGACAGTTTCAAGTCATCTAACTCATCCATTGTAGACATTAGCGAGAACTATTTATTGAATTATTTAAGATCGATTGTCTATTTTTCTGCGATCGAACTTCCTTCTGGAAGTCTTTTGACCATTGGAGGATGGGATGTAAAGAGAAGGTCTAGTGAACGATTGTTGAATGAAATCTGGGAACTGAAAAACGATAAATGGTCGAAAGTCGGTGAAAAACTTTCGAAGGTTCGTAAATTTGTCGATAAAAAATTTGTTTGCTGTTTTTTTTTCATTTTTATACTTAAGGCTGTTTTTATGTCTTCATCAATTATCTTGAAAAGCAGCATCTTCGTTTTTCCTGGCCGTCTTTACGAAGATGACTCTCCGATTCATAAATTTGATCTAGGTCAAAGTTTTCAGTTTTCTACAATTATGATTATTAAACAAATTAGAAAATTTATCTTCAATTTTTTAAATTCGGAGCTTTAAAAAAGACTCAGATGGAAAAATCATTCAAACTCAAGTCATGAACTCAAGAGAACAAGTTTTATTTCCGATTGTTTTTTTGACACCTGTTAATCACTGCACCAATGACCTCATTTGATGAAACTAAACCAATTGTCGGAAAATATAATTTTGGAGAAATAAATTACTAATCGACTAATTATAGAGCCGGAAGTAGACCATTCGACTCAGAATTTTCTTCTCTTTCATATGAGAGTCTCATGTAAGATAATAAAAATGAGTAATCTATTAGCTCTGGCATCTATTGCCAATAGACTATTGGGTTACTCTTTTGGATAATTATGCTTCTAGCTGAGGGTTGATTGTGACTGCCCTGGTCAAGCTTGTTGGATGATTAGCCGGTCCATAAATTCCCAGCGTCCTTTGGTTTCTGGAAAATAATGTGAAAATATGTCACACCAACGAGCCTCGTTACGAGGTAAAAGAGAAGTGTAGCTTTGAGGAAAATAGTTCAGTCTTGCAATAATTCTTGGGTCTAATAATTCTCTGGTCAATAATCGACTACAAGCCTGCCCGCTACGGAACCTTCATCTTCCCCGGCTGGGCCCAACTTGGGCCGCCCAAGCAATCGGCTGGATCGTCGTTCTGACCGCACTGCTCATCATCCCGATTATAGCGTATCGTCAAGTGCAAAAATCGCCCGGAGAAGGATTCAAAGAAAAGGTAAAATTTGCTTCGAAACCGACTGAAAAATGGCAGCCCGGCGATCCAAAATACAGGAAAAATCCGCCCTTGGCGACTGATCCTTGCGAAGATGACGTTTTTATGATTCCAGAAGAAGCTCCTCGAAGCCGGCAACTTTCGACTTACTGTTGATTTTTTTTCTAATACTGTAAATGCCTTTATAAAGTAAAGCGAAATGAGTTCAGAAGGAAAAAAATGAGCGATTTACTTATTCAGCAGCTATAAATCTCCACGGCTGTTGCGAGAATTGCATATTAACTCGACATAAGATACGGAATATAAACCCACAAATAAGAACATTATCCCAGTTCCGAATGAATATGAGATTTCTCAGGCTTTTTCTTTTTGTTTCTTCTGAGGTTTTTGTTTATGGAGATGCTATTGGTACGTTTGAACAAAAAATTATGAGAAAGAGTTTTTATTATGAAAAATTCAGGTTTTAATCGACTAAGAAATAATGTGCGGAATTTTAATATCATGCGCGAGAGGCAAGTTTTTTCATCTTCCAATTTCTTAACAACATTTTTTCAAGATCTCCATCAAGTTACAAATTCACGATCAGACGACCAAACTCATCAAAAAAGATGACTCTTGGACAAAAAGCCTATCTTCGTGCACTCAAGCGATTCAATGTAAAGTAGGCGTAAAAAAGTTTATTCATGCCGTTTTCAAGTAAATTGTCTGGTTATCTTCAATTTGTTTTGCTCGACATAGAGCTGAATAAAATGCTCGCAAAGGGCTTCAACATCGTCGATTCCTGTGTTTTCGGAAAAGCCATATTCGGAAGCGTATTTGATCATTTCTGAAGAGATAGGTTAGGGTTAGGGCTTAGCTTGGGGTTAGTGTTAGGGGGCTAGGGTTAGGGTGAGGGTTAGGGTTATCACTGTAAGTACCTTGTAAGCAATCAAATCGAAATTTATAAAGATCGGAAAGTCTGTACTCCTCCATCATTTTGTTCGTATTCGCCATTGGCACTCCGATACTTTGTACTGGGAGAAAAAATAGACCGAAAAAGTAGAAATGTTTCAGAACCATTTTTGTGCCGCAAAAGTTTATTCGTTCGACAATTTATATTGTTACTTAGTGAGCGGCTCGTCTGCTAGCTTTTGAATATTGATACTTTTCCATGGCCGCGTATGTTAGATAAGCGAATTATTGAGTGGAATATTCAAAATAGAAGTGGTTTTTGTTGTCTATAATTATTCGAATTAAAGCCAAAAAATTGACCTTTTAGGCTAAAAAAGTTTCAGCAACAATAACTGATCAGTTTTGAAATAATCCAAGAAGTTTTTTTTTTTGATGAGTTGTCTGGAAGATAAAAAAATATTATTGAGAATATATCTATTTTGAGCGGCAATTCGGACATGCTCGAATAGATAACGCGCCCATATAATCAACTTTTTAAAAACAGGACGAAGCATAACTCACAAGGAAGAAGAATCCACCACCACGACGTTGATAACATATAGAAGATTTTTAAAAGTTTTTTCAGCTTTTCTTGAAATGTGCAAGGAAGAAATCAAAAACGAGACTCCTGGTAAGCAAAAATCCAAGAAAATTAAAAATAAATTGCTTCTATTAAGGGGGTAGAAACAGCTTTTTTCCGAAAAAGCCGATTTTTGACCGGCGCTACAGACAAAAGAATCTTATATTTTCAAATTTACTCTTCAGGTATAGATAGATACATCTTAGATCTAGGAACATCTCTCTCGAAATTTGTTTAAGTCATCAATTTTTTGAGTAAGAGGGCTCAGAAGCAACTCATCTCGCCAAAATTCTTGATTTTCGCCAATTTTCAAACACGAATATCTCGAGTCCCGTGATAGTTAAACATATTTCATACTCATTTTTGTGAAGATCAACCCCTTTTCTAGGAACATTTATAAGGAGATTCCGTTAACATAAATAAATCGTATGTTTTCTTATGTGTAGCTACAGTTCAAAATCGATAAAGCTGTTTCTACCCCCTTAAGTAGTGGTTGCTTTACATAAGCGGATGTTAAGACTTGCATTTCATGATTACCATAAGTTATCATAACTTGGTCCATAATGGTCCATAAGGGTATCTCTTAACTTTATCATTCAGTGTGTTTCATTTGCGGCGCCCAATTCGTTAGCATGGAGTATCTGAATCTCCACATCACCGACGACCATGGATATTTCGCTGGAATCTGAGCCACTTTTCTGCTCTCCCCCTTTCGATACATATTTCTGCTTTATGTATACAATGTAATAAATCTTCGCTTTGAAAATTCAATTCGAAATTGCTCAATCACCGTTTCTCCCGTTCTCCTCCGTTTCAAAATATTTTCAAATTAACACAACGCTCCAGAAGATGAATTGAATAAATGCTTCACGTTTTTTTGACTCACTTTCGAAATTCTCAAGCGAGAAAGAAAAATAGAGAAAATTAAGAATTTTGCAGGAATGTTCAAGAGTGCAATTTTCGGTGTGGCAGCTGTCTTGGGTCAGAGTCAAACGACAGTCAAGGAATTCGAATTCGGGAGGATAAGTGTGGGAGGCGGATTTCAGGAATGGATTGACCAAGGAAAGATAACCTAAAGCTCTCTCTTCGATAAAACGAAACTTAAGGTTTATTCAAGTTAAGTCGGTTCGCGCTTTTGAGCTAGAAAACGATTTCATAACATGTACAATTCTTTCATACGGTAAGTTACTCATTAGGAATGTCACTATCATATTCACTGTCTATCGTCAAACCATAGGCAATTGGTATACCTTATCAATTCTGAGATTGTTTAAAAATATAATTGTGAACTATTTTTCCTTAGCTTATGATGTTTAGGAGTCACTTTTCAAAAAATCCTCGTTCGCGACCGAACCAGCATTTTCGACGATGTTTTGATGGGCTTTGACAACATCGACGACTACCTCAAAAACAACGACTACGTTGGCGGAGTTCTCGGCCGCTATGCGAATCGAATCAAGGGCGCTTCTTTCTCTTTATACGGCCAGACGTACTATTTGAACCCGACGAGTTGGGACGAAAATCACATTCACGGTGGAACTTTTGGCTTTGATAAAGTTGTCTGGTCGGGGAACAAATTGACTAATGGGGTTGAATTCTTTCATTCTTCCCCTGACGGGGATGAGGGATATCCTGGCAAGCTCGATACGATTATTACCATCCGCCTGAATCAGCACGAAATAGATGTTACTTATGAAAGTAGAACGAATAAGCCGACCCATGTTAATATCAGCCATCACTGGTATTTTAACATGAATGGACATATGAACTGGGGATCGGTTGATGACTTGAAGCTCATTGTTCCGACAGGTCATTACATGAAACCTTATCATATGCTTAAAATTTCCTTCTAGAGACTTATTTGGAAACTGACGAGGAAAACATCCCGACCGGTCGAGTCATGCCTGTCGAAATGACCCCTTTTGACCTCCGATCCGGCCAATTTCTCACACAAAATCTTTTAACCTCCGTCCCCGGAGGCCATGGACTGGATCTTTGCTACACTTTTCCCGACGACAGAAAACTCAGACAGGTAGCGATTCTTGCGGCTCCCTACAGTGGAAGATTGCTTGAGCTGAAGTCGACAAATCCGGGGATGCAAGTTTACACGGCGAATTGGGTTCCGGATAGCGTTGGAAAATATAATATTCCCTATGTACGTACTGATTAAAAATTCAAAGTGAACATGCCACTGAGCAATTTTGCGTGAAAGCTAATTAAACATTTTCAACTGGTTGGTTTTCGCTCTCACGTGGGTCTTTTTCAGGGTAAACATACTGCTGTGGCTTTGGAACCGCAGTTCTGGCCAGACTCGCCCAATCAGCCGCAATTCCCCTCAACCTTGTTGGTACCTGGCCAGTACTACAAGCAACAGACGACACTGGCTTTTTACAGAATCTAAAATGAGGCCACATCTTTAAATTGCGTGAATAAATGACCAAGACGCCCTTTCCCTTTTTAACGGATTCTATATATTTTATTGACTCTGAAGCTCTTTTTTATGCTACTTTACAATGCAGGATAATTAAACAACCAGATTTACTATCAAATAAGACTTGTACGTCAAACAAGAAAGACTCTTCTATGGGGACTTAATTCTCTAATGTGGCAGTTTGTAGGACAGATAAGAGAGAAATGAGTCGGTCGGGGATCGAAAAATGCTTGGGATTGAATAAACCTATGTCTCTTCTGGTGGCTATTCCTTATCTTGTTTTAGTTATTCCAATAACTTTTTTGAATAGCATTGTGTTTTGGTAAGAGTTTAAAGACTCATTATACATTGATACTTATAATTTTAGGGCACCAATTTTTATTGTGCGAGCGATAGTTCATAAATGCTTTCAAGCGAGTTTGAGAGTAGTTTCTTTCAAAAATGCTTCAGGAAAGGTTCTATATTGAATTAGCATCATAAGGGCCATTAAAAGTGGATCCACTGAAAGTGATTGCAAATCTATGCGGGACCATTGTTTTCATAACTTTGTATGCTTTGCAGATGACCGGTGTAATCGACGATCATTATATACAGAAGGTTCCGCTGCTTCTAGCGTTTGTTGGGGTGAGTTTTTGTCGATCGGTTTGGTATTTATTTTTTCTAGTATTTCAAGATTCATATTTCTGTCATGCTTGGATTTATATCTTTTATTTCGATTGGACCTTGTTATTTTATCTTACTGCAGTTCGAGAAAAGAAAGAATGATATTGAAGACACATCTTCTCTTGAGTTTGGTATTGAAAAAATCAGCCACGAAAAAGACGGGAGAACCGAATCAATAAAAATCTTTGGAATCAATAGAACTATCTTCATTTTGGTTGCTATTCCTTATTGTGTATTTTTCATCCCGACTACCTTTTTGAATATCATTGTCTTTTGGTTAATCTGAAATTCTTTTTTTTTAAGAATTCATTCTTTTCTATAGGCCGCCAGTATATTTTGCACGAGCGACTCTTCAAAGATGTTTTAAACTTCCTTGGAAAGTGGTTCAGTTCAAATATATTTCAGGAAAGGATTATTTTGACAGCCCATTAAGGCCCATAGGACGAAGAAAAAAATTGTATCCTGACAAAAAGTTTTTGCAAACTTGATTGGAGCCGCCTTTTATTCTGTTCTCTATGCATTGATGTATGTGATGTATGCATGTCAAAGATCTTCATCAGATGAGGCAGATTCGAAAAGTAGTGACTCTCCTTGTATGGTAGTCAGAAATTTAATTTCTTTATTTTTGAACAAATTTTAGTCATTTTATGTTGTGATGACCTTGACGATTGCGATTTCATCTTTCTGTTCGATTGGCCCTGCTTTCTTCATGATTCTGAAATTTGCGGAGGAAGATAGTGGTGGTTACGAAGACATAACAACCATTGAATTGGATGTTGAAAGTCAAACTGATGAAATAATTGAAGAAATAGACGAGATTGACTCCAGTTCCAGAATTCAGCAAATAAGTAATCAAGTGGTCTTTATTGATGGTGTGGACCCTGAGGACCAACAATCTGAGAGCTCAATTGGAACATACAGAACAAAGACGACTGTGTCGAAAAATGGTGAGTTTGTTCAAGAACCATAATAAAGAACCGATTTCTTAAGCATTCAAAGAGGAGATCGAAAAAATAAACAATCACGAAAAAACTCTTGAACAATTGTCATTCGAAGTAGCTGCCCTAAAAACAATCGTAATCAACCTGTCGAATTCCAACAAAAACAAAATGTCTGAAAATAAATCTACGTCTTTTTAAGAACTGGGTTGAGCGCTGCAAATTCCTTCCAGTCAAGCAAGAATTTCGCATTCTCATTAAGCCGGCCTCGCGCTGTCTAATGAGTTCGCCGGAACAAAAATATACATGTGACATTTTCTCTCGCTACAAGTTCTAAACTTCTCCCGCGAAAAGTTCAATCTCGTCAAATAAGAATTATTTTTTGTCAATTAAATTTTGACCTTGTTGGATGAAAATAAGAATGCTTCGCTCAAATTTGGGCTCGAAAACTGTTAAAACCTGAGTCAGGGTCTTAAAATAATCGAAAAAAATTTATTTTCGAAGCCGCTGCGCGGCTTCGTTTTCAGAAAAAAAGCCGCTACGCGGCTTTTCATCAAAAGTTTTCCTCAAAGAAAAGCGCCATTTGAAGTACTTTTTGTCCAGGAATTACTTTTATTTTTATCCGAAAAAACACTTTTTTTGTCTGAAAAAAAAGTCTTGGAAAAGACGCAAGAGTTTCCGTCAGCCATGATCAAAACCGCAATTTCGTGGTCGGAGAAAAAGTTCTTTGTGGCTAATCAAATCAGACGCTTTGTTTAATAAATGAAACTTGGGTTTAAAAATCTTTGTGAAAAGCAAAGTTCTTCAGAAAAAGGAAAAAGGGGAATAAAATGATGTTACAGATTCTTATCGTGAGTTATTGTAAGGCGTCGGTTTCTGGCTTATCAGAAGGAGCTACTAATCGCCCGAGCCGTAACATGCTATCACAACGTGACGCCCTTAGAGAACTACCCAGTTCGAACGAGAACCAGGATCTTCAAGACGAAGATACAAATACTGTTTTCGAGGAGATGAAAAAAGAGCATTTTCCAATGGTCGAATATCTTGACAGGAAATTGTTGAAATTTCGCCTTTTTGAATCCTCGTTTTCGAGCCGAAACCTTCAACAATCAAAAAAAGTTTCCAGCGCCATCAAAATGTCCACCAATTAATGTCCGCCTTGGCAAATATCAACAACTGGGATCCTCTTCATGACGACAATTTGATCATGTTCGCGAATGAACATGTAAGGATACCTTTTCTTGGTGGAATAAAAATTTTTAGTATTACAAGAAGCCCTCGGGAATGGGCCGACTGGAGAAGCCAAAGTATCATCTGACCCAAAAGATGAAGGAATTTTACGAATTGTACAAGAACATGAATGAGCTACCGGATAGTCCGCATAAAGATCACTGAGAAAAAACACTTTTGAAAATATACTGAAATACGAAAACATCTCTGTGACAATAAAAGCTAGAAAAAAATGGAAAAGAAAATCTACTTTTTGATTATCATTAATTGTACGGCCGAATTAGTCATCGTTTGACCGGGAGGTAACCTAGAGATGTGTGACACAGGGGTTGACACGAGCGGGCGCGCGAGAGTCGTTATTACGGAGCCAGCACGAGCAAAGAGCACCGTTGCTCTCCAAGGACGCTGTATTTTTTTTACTTTCTAAGTCCAATTTCGACCTACAACAATCGTATTTTTAAACAGGGCTGGAATAGAGAAACGGAAAATGAAGCTGTTACCGGTTCTACTGCTGGGAATAAATGCAGATGAAAGAGCAGAAAGAAGACCGAGAAGTCCAAAGCTTGAAGGGTGGATGGGAAAGAAACATCATGTCTTGTCAAGGTAAAATTCGAACGAGGCTCATTTCGATGATCTCTGATTTCTTTTTTCGGTTTCAATTTTTTCTTGAGTATTTTCAACTTTTTCGTCTTCCAATAAAATTAAAAAATATTTTTGTAAAAACCAAATTATGATTTTCTTGGAATTCGGAATTTTTTTAATAATTTTTTGTTCAATTTTTCAATTTTTAAAAATCTCCTTAAAATGCACGTAACGTGATCTACCATCATTTCTAAATAGTCTGTCATCGATTACCGGTCCGTTATTACGCGTATTTACGGAGCTCAAGGAGCCTCTAGCATTACCAGCATATTTTATGATACGATTTGAGAGAACTACGTAAGCGATGATATAAATTCCATTTTGTTATTTTTACAAAGTCAGCGGCAATTACGCGCGTTTATTTTTACTGAAAATATAATTCCTTCTGAGCCAGGCTTTTTAGAGAACAGAGAAGTTTACAGCTTTAGAACGTTCGAAATATGCATGGAAAGTTTTTGGCTTCGTAAAATTAGGGTATGAATAAAATATAAGTTAGGGTTAGGTTTTGGCAAACCGTTTTGCTAGGATAGTTTTTATCGAAATTTATTATTGGAGTTGAACGACTTATTCTTTATAAAAGAATAATGTTTATGAAATTAAAAATTTGCAGAAAGAATAACTCAATCGCCGATCGAACAGTCGGATAGTTGTGGTGACTCTTTGAATAAAAAAACAATTTCACAAATTTGAAAATTTTGTCTTTTAATTTCTGATAAGACATGAGACGAAACCTATTTTCAGAAAGCAGTATGTCTCAATGTACGAGCCCCAACTCAACCCAGACACCTTCCTCGACGATTCCGAATTCTCCGCCGAGCAGATCCGCGACTTGATCAACAACGGACTCGACATCGAAGTTGCCAAGCTCTTTCCAAATTTCGACGACGACGAAGTAGTAAGTCAATGAGTTTAGTCAAAAGTTGAATTCCGAATTTCCGATTTTTCGAATTTCTGAACTTCCAAATTTCAAATTTCGAAAGTAAAAAGAGAGAGATGCAAGTCGGAGCATATGCAAAAATGCGCCACAAGGGCCACTTGAATTCCAGCTTCGAGCTTATCCGGAATGAAAAGTGCTTTTTTGAGCAGAAATTTTGAGCGAGAACTGCAGAAACTTTTTAGAAGCGAATATTAATTGAACCCTTTTAGCGAGGTACGATCGCTCTCAACTACGCCCGATGGCCAAAAAACGAAGATGGCATCGTCGTCATTCCCTTTTCCTTCCAAGAGCATTTCAGCAAGAAAGCCGAGTTCAGAAAGCACGTCGAAGAGATGAACGCCAACTTTGGATGCATCAAGTTTGAGTACGTCCCGACCAATCGACTCCAAGAAACGAACTTTGAAAACGGTCTTTTGATCACTCACGCTTCCACAACCCTTTTCGACAATGGCTGCAAATCCGCCATGGGTCTCAATCCCGGCTACACATCCGACAACGGCTCAATCACCGCTTTGGGAGCGAAGGAAGGCTGGCAGTTGATTATTATGGACGACTATTGTATGACAAGAGGCACTGTGCAGCACGAAATGATGCACGCTCTCAGGTAAAGACTACCACTGCTCTTTTTGACACCTGTTCCCACGTTCCTAAAAGTGGAGAGGGGGAACGAAGGGCTTCTCGAAAGAACTGCTGTCTATGCGGTTTCGAAGATTTTCCCTCAAAATAATCATCAAAACCTGTGTTTTTTTATAACAAAAATTATGTTTTAAGAACTTGTAACTTACAAGTCGAAACGAACTTTTACCATATTTATTTTAGTATCAAACACGAACACGTTCGTGGTGATCGTGACGAACTTCTGCACATTGACATCCAGCAAATTTCCGAAGAACTTCCTGGCTTCGAGTACAACTTCCACAAGATCAAAACTGAAGATTGGGGTCAGGCTCCATGGCCGTTTGATTTCAGATCTGTGATGAACTATCCATCGAAAATTGGAAATAAGGTGAGTCTTCTTCTTTTCGTTTCTTGAAAACCATATCTTCTTATCCCCTGTGGTCCACACCCTTATTTGCGGACACTTTTGAAAGGCTGACTCAGTAAAGGCGAGACAAAGTAGAACGGGCTTTTCGGCTGGGTCAGGGAGATTAGGAGAGATTAGACTGACCTCTGATTGAAATGCTCTTGACGGGCTGTTTAGGGTCGCTTGGGGACAGTTTTGTCGTGTTTTTCTTTGAGCTGCATATTTTTGACGTGACGTCAAGGTACTATTGGCTGGTCAGATATGAACGCACTCAAGAATTTTTTCTGATAAGAAAAGAATTTCTCCTGGCAATAACAAGAGCTTCTTGGAGGAAACCGATCTGAGTCGATTTTCAGCCAAAATTTTTATCCATTTTTCTTTAGAAACTGATCACCACTCACACAGGCCAAGAGTACTTGCGAAACAATGTGCGCCACTCTAGTACCGACGCCCTCCAGCTCCAATGGCTTTACTGCGCCGCTCAAGGAAACGAGGACAGCTACGAGTACACTCCATGGACATATTGTCAGGAGCCCGATCCGTTTGGATACACTCAGCCGATCTTGAGGAGCAGAATTTGCGACGGAATCAAGGATTGCTTCGATGGAGAGGATGAAGATGGAAGAATGGGCGAATGCAATAAGCATGGAAAAGAAGAGGTAAAAAAAAATATTTTATTAAAAAAATTTTACTTCTTTTATTATTTTTTATTATTAAAAAAAAATTTTATTGTTTTTTGTTATTTAAAAAAAAAATTATTTTTTTATAACTTTTGATTATTTTGTAAAAAATATTTTATTAAAAAATTTAAAAAAAGGAGAAATATTTTATTATAAAAACATCAAAGAAGGGACTTTTTCTTGTCTCCGCAAAAAGTAGCTCCTGATCTCTTTCTGCCGAAAGATTAACCTATCATCTCATAATTAAGATAGGGCACTTACCGCAAAATATCGATAACACTACTTAGCGCTTGTCGCAATTTAACAACCCTCGAATCATCAATTATTTTCTAGGACTCGACCGACGATGGCTGTTGCCGCAACATCTTTGTCGTCCGTTACAAAACACGTTACCAGTGCCAGGAGTCCGAAACGAGCCCAAAACACAACGGGCACGTGATGTACGACTGCTTCAATCCGGACAACGGGCAGATGGAAGAAATTAAACTCTTCTGGGAAACGAATCTCCACGGCGGGCAAGGAGCTGGTTGGGTCTTTGGCTTCCCCGAATGTGCTTCGAGAAGCCATCAGTGCGAAATTGCGAGAGCGATGAGTGATAATTTGGACACAATGGAAGGCAAGAGCTATCGAACTTTGGTAAGAAAGATGATGCTTTTTCCCGATAAAATGCTTTCTTAGTCAATGTCCTGGGCCGAAATTGAAACTCCAAGAGGAATCGAATCCGTTCGAATGCCCGCTCAAGGTGGCGTCGACAGATGGATCATTGGCGATCTTGATCACTGTCCTCCCATTGGCTCGTACGATCCTGGATACGTAAATGAGCTCCGAAATTTCGTCGTCGATTTTGGTAAGGCAAATTCTTGAAGACTCGATTCTAGCGATCTTTTTAGATAACGTGATCAACCCTGGCGACTTCGTCACTGTCTACTGCATGGACAACGCTGCGGAAATTACGACTACTACTGAAGCTCCAACAACAACGGAAGCAACGAGCTCTTGCGAAGTCGACCGATACGAGGACAATACGCTCGCCAATGTTCGAAACTTGAACAACATGCTCAAGAATGCGTCGAAAAACTCATCCCACAAGGACTTCAAAAAACTAATCAAGGCTGAGTAAGTTTCGAGGAATAAGACAACGGGGCTGGTATTCATGTTTATTTAGGATGGGCATTTGCAAGGCAGCAGATAAGCTTCTCGCAAAATCTCTGGGCAAGACCCTGAAGGGTTGCGAGGTTGACTTTGTTGGATTGGACACCATCAATGCTTTCAGCTCATCTCTTTGTGGATTCAGCCCCGGACCCGATCAGCATGAAGTTACCCAGCTCAGAAATGTACGTCACCCTTTTCGAGGCCCTTTTTATAAGTTTTTTGTAGCTCTGCGAAGATTTGAAAATCTACTTGAAATGGAAATTCTCTGCTTGTGGCGAGCTTATCCACAGTTTTGCCGACAAATTGAAGAAGGGATGCAACAAAATGGAGAAGTCGCTAAAGAAACTTCCTCAATATGATCCCGATGCTGGTTTGTTTTGAATATTTTATCGGATATTTAATTATATAAAAGGTTCATATTCATGTATATAATTTATTTACTACCCCTTTACTTATCAAATTTCAGTCGATCGAAATCTGATTGAGCCTCCAAGTGCTCTCCCCAAACCTGGCTACAATGATTGGGAAGGAGTCTTCTTCAAGAAATAAACAAATGGACATTTGAAGATGCAATAATATGAGATTTTTCTATGTACCAATTTTCCCAACTTTTTGTTATTACTTATTTGCCTGTACAGATTTATTTGTAATGTTTGAATAAACAATTTTATATAAAATGACACTAAGGTTGTTTTCTTTGCGCTCTTAAATACCTTGCGCAGCGGGATACGGGGGTTTGATAAGTAGCAATTTTTATCGCACGGGAAACATGGCGGAATTTAAGCCTTAGAATTGGAGTTTTTCGAGCCCGATAAGCTCTGTAATAAGTGCCACGCGGCTGCGAACAGTTCCATGTACTCTCTGCTCAGGATGCTTTTCAAGAAAATAAGGCGGGAAAGCACTTGACTAACCTTCTTTCAAGAAGGAACCATGCTCTAACGAGCCTTTTCCTGTTATGGAAATACGGTCTTAAAGATGATCGTAAACATCCCACGAATACGTTCCTTAGTAGTCATCTTTGAGAGTCCGAGAGTGACTTTTCATGGGTTGTGAATTTAAATGTCTTGTAAAGTAAAGTCTAAATTTGAGTGTCTTAAAAAGTAATTAAAAGAAGAATTTTCCCATCTATTTTCCTAAAGATTCCCATGATGACTTTAAATATAAGCTGTTTCTCGAAAGAGCTTTCAGAGGTTAAAATCTTTAATTTCAATTTCAGCATTTTTTCTAAGAGATAATTGTCTTGCCCAAAATGGTAAATCGGTCCAATAAGCAAAGGAATAAAATCAATCCGGAAATCGAGATCACGTAAGATCTAATAGAATCAACTCATTCTTAAAGAGCCTAGTGATAACATCATTATCGTCAATAATCAAAATGCGGAACCAGAAGCTGGAAAATGCAATTTTTTGAAGAAATGGTCGACGAAGAAAATAGTGATCGTTGGAATTCCCTTTTGTTCCATCGTCATTTTAGCAATTTGTGTCCCTTTGATTCTACTTTCGAACGAGAACTCGAATAATAATGGCGTTGCGACAACCATAACCTCGATTATCCCAACAACTTCTTCAACAACGACAACTCTGACTACTCCCACAATACCGACTACTTCTACGTCGATATCATCGACAACAACTACAAAAACCACTACTTTTATGACGGAAACAATAGAAACTACCAGAATGGCAATATTAACAAGTCTTACATCTTTACCAATAACAACATCTTCAATACCAACGACTTCAATAGCAGCAACGTCGACTTCAATGAGAACCACGACGATCACGACAGCAGCGACAACGACAGAAGCAACAACAACAGAAGAAACAACAACAGCAGCGACAACCTCTACAGCGGCGATAATCACAACCATTCTTCCATCAACCACACTTTTTCCACTATCAACAACGGAAGAAACAACTTCTTTCTCGTTTTCAACGATCTGGGATTATACAACTTCATTTTTCAATGAAACAACAGCAGAAGTATCAACCATGTCATTTTTCACAACCGAAATGACAACAGCATTAACGATGAATTTAACGACCACAACAACCAAAACTACAACAAATACTACGACAACAACCACAACAAAAGATCCCGGACCAAAGGAAAGATACCAAAGGACATGAAATGAAAGACTTATATTTTTGCTATCTCATGGAGACTGTTACCGTATTCGAAGCATCAGAATATGCAAGGAATCGGCGTACTTACACTCTAACCGAAACTGGCATTAGAAAATTCAACACTTATGGGTTTGGATCTAGCTCGAATAATAACGTTCACAATATTTATTACTCTGGTGGTGCAATTTTACGCGGAAAATTTTATATTTTCGGTGGGCATGTTGATCCATATATAATCCGTCGTCTTGACGGGTGCTTATTTAGAACAATGTCGACCAGACTTCCCTACAAAGATGTTTCAAACCATTCTAAAATTAATGTACTTATATTCGGTATCATCGGAGTATTGAAACGAAAAAAGACACGAAACTCATAACAGTGTTGTCACTTTGCAAGATGATTCAAAAACACTCATGTGCTTTTACGATTGGTATACAAATAGATTTGACCATGACCACTGTCTCTATTATACCGGTTCCAGGGCAGGAATAGAACCATATAAATCAAATTATCGGCATTGGTATGCATGTGTTGCTCATTATGGAAATGATATTCTTGGTAATCTTAAATACGGAAAAATAAACATATTTTTAATATATAAAGCTGTCGGAGGCAAACAAGACGATGGTAAATACAAAGTCGAGTGGAGAAGTGGATCAAATGGTAGATGGTACACTACAACAGCTCTTCCTACCTTCTAGTGAGCCTCATCAATTATTTTTTTCTGCTGAGATTTAATTTCAGCGATGCTCACATGAGCACATGTATTGGGTATCCGGATGCAGTGATCTCGATTGGGGGTTGGCACATTGGAAGAGAAATTCTTCTTTTCAAAAATAATAAGTGGACCTTTTTAGGAAAATCGCAAAATGTAAATATATGAAGCTCTTTGGAACCAACAACATTTTTATAGGCCCGACGACTTGGAGCCTCAGTCAATTTTGGAAACGTTATTTTTACAATAGGAGACAAAACCATTGAAAAATTCGAACTCGATGAGTCTCACAATACTTTTGTCAGCAGCCCTGAGACAATTTATTGGTCTGTAGAAGATGGTTGGTCGGCTATTATGTTTAATTCAAAGTTTGACACTTGCGTCTAAAGAATTTTGAGATGAAAGATCGAAATATATTTCTTGTTTTTTTTATTCTTTATTGAATCGAAGGCAGGATGGAAATGGAAATCTGAAAGTCTCTCATCGCTTTTTTAATTATGTGCTGAGTGGAGGTTGATGATGGGCTGACGTGTTTTGCGCAAAACGACCGCTAAATTTGTGTTCTCAGATGACAGCACGAGGCGAGTCCTGTCCAGCTCACTCCTGGCGTTATCTTTTGATACGTCTAGGAGGCGCCTCTAGAATTTCTGACTCTTCTTTCGTCTCCACTCGTATCGTCTTTTTCCAGCTTTCTTCTCTTACGCAAGGGACAAATTGCTAAAACAAAGGGTCATTGACTCCAACTTTCTTAGCGCTAGATTTATTTTCTGTTGAAATTCGCTCTAAGAATAGAGGCTAAGAGGCTATCTAAAGCCTCTTTTCGAGATAACAATCTTTCCATGGAGTTTGTTATTAAACCGACCATACGAAAGCTACAATGGTTTATCTTACCTCAAAAACTTCAGTGGTCGTTTTCGTATTTTTCCTTCCAAACTGCGTTCCAAAATCAAACTCGCTCGAAAACGTCTCGTGAAAAGTGCGATGCTCAAAAAACTCGCCGTCAAATTCGTCAAATCTTCCCGTGAAAACATTTTGAACTTGTGGCTTCTTTGGACGGGCAACAGGCCGTTCGCGGAAAACGTTTGAAGAGTTGAGATTATATGACTGAAAAAAAGTTGTTTTTGGGGGCCGAACCAAAATAAGGAAGTAATAAGCTAGGAAGTGACAGCGTAGGAGCGAACAAGAAAGTATCATACACGAAAGGATCAAATAAGAAAGTATCATACATGAAAGTATCAAATTAAATAGGATCATGCATTAAAGGATCGAATTTTTTTGGAACCAATAAGATTGCCGTATAAGGCCTACCGGCCTATAAGAAACCCATCCTCAATCATTTTCAAATGTATGCCCGATCCAATCTTGCACGATACTGGCTTGGATCTTCCATTATAATTTGATCCTTTCGTGTATGATACTTTCTTGTTCGCTCCTACGCTGTCACTTCCTAGCTTATTACTTCCCTATTTTAGTTCGTGCCGTTTTTGGAAAAATGTTGAGTTTCGTAAAGAAGCAATGGAAAAAAAGTAAGCTGATCGTCGCCAGGTGAGTTGGAAACTGATCGAATTCCAGCAAGCTGGCATTTTATCTTCACGTAACGTAATTACGCTTAGCTTCGAGCAAGAGTTAAGCCATTCTGGCGAAGGCCCGTCATTTTCTCTGAGAAAAAAATGTGCGATCTATGCTATCGAAAATTCCTGACATTTTCAAACAGCCCCTTTCTGTTCCCAACAGGGCTGAAAACTTACATTTGCCGCCGAAAAGCTTTCTTTTAGCCAATCATCTTTGGAATTTTCTGAAACTCCGGATGATCTATCCGAGTCATCGTCAAAATCCATCGGATTACGCAGATAGTCTCCGACAGGATCGTAATCTTCCATGATCGGACCGAGATTTTCTCTATTCATCCAGGCCGCTACTTTGTCCGTAACAATCATTTGCGTTTCGTCAAGTTTCAGGGAGTTGTTGATGTCTACTTCGATTTCGTCGATGTTTTCGGGGGTTTGGCGACCTTCGGCTTTTTCGGAATCGTCGAGGAATTCTTGGAGAGTGATGGTTTCGGCGGGAGAGGTAATGTTGTGGCTGATTTTTGGTCGGGAAACGATGTCTTAAAAATTTTTATTGATTGATTTAAAAGAACAAGAAAAAGAGGAAAGAGAAAATATTATCATTCATTATTATTAATGATAAATTCGTAAATATCACGCAAAAATGAAGCTTTACGATTTTTGAAAATAAAATCTAGAATTGCTTGAATTTAGGGTCAAACCAAAATTTTCAGGCAATTTTATGGTTCAGGGTTTTGATTGGTCGGTTGACCAAATACAGCAATCTTATTGGTCATTCAAGAATCCACTTCCGTTTTTGGTCTACTCTAGAAATTCTAGAAGAAAATCTTAGTACAGATTTCTGAATCAAAATTGGATTGAATTTTCGAACCTGAGGGGCTGATATAACCAGTACTAGAATCAGCATCGCCGATTTTATTATTTTCATTTTCTAGCGTGAGATCTTCTTCGTCGATACTCTGCATTAACGAGTCTGTAGTTGTGATTGTCGTGTGTGTTCCTGATCTGTGAAGTCTCTGGAGACTGGGAGATCTGATTGCGATGCTGGGTGATGGAGGGATGGTTTTGCCGGTAGGGTCGCTGATTTCGCGACGGATCGACATTGGGGATGGATTTGGCGAGGACATGGTCGGGAGAGAGGATTGTCCGAGCGTTCTTCTGAAAAAAGGGGTTGAGAAAGGATTGCTTTTGTGGCCTTACCTGATGGTTGAGGGAGTCCCCTTTTCATAAAAAGTCGACAGCTGTTTCAACCAAGTTGCAGGGTTCTTTGTTTTCGTTGTTTTGAGGCCGAGGATATGATTATATGCTTGAAATATGGTTATGCTTCGATTTGGTCAAAATCTGTCACCTTTGGTATCAGACTCGTACTTTTCTGAAATCTGAAAATAGGCGTCCTTTGTTGGCTGGACAATCATATCTTTCAAATTTGAGCTCATAAAGACGTCGGAATTCGCATCTTTTCCCTGTTTGAGGTTTTGAAATCAACGAAGATTTACAGTCTCTGGAGAACCTCTTGAATTTTTTCGAAGAAAAAGAGATTCAAAACCAATGTTCCTTATATACAGTGAGCTTATCCCCAACGAGTGTCACGAAACGAGTTTCCCAAATTGGCAGCAAAACTTCAAGCGTTGCCGAAACAATTTCCTCGTCTTTCTTCATCTCCTTTCTATCCGGAACGTAGGGCGGTAGTTTTGGCGGACAAGAAGCAGCATGCTCGCTAGAAGCAGAAGTAAGTTTTGACAATATCGCCAAGATAAAATCTGTAATTTCATAAATCACCGCTGCGAGGCGACTTTTACGAGTGACAATTTGCGCTTCCCCACTAAGCTATCGCTCTTGATGTGAGCTTTATGACTGTCATTTGTGTAACATCGAGCAAACACAGATAAGTCCGCAATTCAAGCGATTTAAGATTACAATTTAATCCTATCAAGAATTTCGACTCAAGAAAAATTGGGATGGTGTCTGGAACCGACAAAAAATTTCGACAAATTTTGCGTGGAAATTTTCAACCAATCAGAAGCCTGGATTCGGCAAACCGGCCAATCCGGAGCCGAGTAGCCGCCCACGCAAAATTTGTCGAAATTTTTCTGTCGGTTCCAGACACCATCCCGAAAAATTCGCTATATTTCGGAAAAATGAGCTGCGAAAAAGAACTTACTGAAATGCTTTGAGCCATTTTTCGATTTGATAAAGGACGTGAAAAAGAAGTCTTCTTGATGGTTTTCTTACATCAATAAGCGATATATCTTTCCGGAGTTGAAAATAATTTCTTTGAAGACCATGATATTTTTACGAAAATTTCAACACCTGACATAACCAGTTTTCTCCCTTCTTCTTGCAATTTCCACATTGAATTGCTTGAGAACAATCGATTTATAGCTTCTGAGACCCTCGATTGTATTGACTGCATTTGCTTTCTTCTCGTTTTTCTTTTCTTGCGATTTATCCGTGTCTTTGTACAGCTCAAATATTCCAAAAGAAGTTATTGCGGCGATTCTTTTCTTCATTTTTCTCTTTTTCCAACCTTGATTTTCTCGATTTTTGTCTCGAAAAAAGACCCACCTTTGGTGTTGGTGTCGTAAAGCATAATCTTCTCCACCACCAGATACTCGCACATCGACCCTTGATCGCTATCAGTTGGGCAATTCTCTACCATCTTTGCTTCTTCTTCAAAAATGCGCTACTGAATAATTCACTGTAAAAAATAGTTTGGGATGACTAATTAATCCACTGCATGAATAAGCTCGGACCAATTCTCGATTCCTTTTTTCGGAAAGCGTTAATTCTCTCCTTAACTTCTAGCGCTTATCGAGAATTACCTAAAAATTGGACAAAAGAAAGTGAAAAGAAAAAGTTCACGAAAAAGGTCATCCTAGTTGGATTTTCACGGATGAAGGAATTTCATGATTTTCGGTTGTAAAATTGAATTCAACGAATGAATCGACCGGAAATACGTGATAATGTACATTTTGAGCAATTTTGAAGAGGAATTTCAAGATTTTTTTTGTTACTTTTTATCAACTTACTTTTTTTCTTTTTTTTGGATTTTTCAAAGCCGAAAAAATGTTCTCTTCGTTGATTTCGGGGGAAATTGTTGTCAGATAAAAAAAATGACTATCGCTTGAATGTTGGATTAGATCGTTTTTTGTCGAGGCGGTGTTCAGTGTTGAGGGGTATTCTTGTGTTATGTTGACACTATTCTGCAAATAATGAACGCTGGCGCATTCAAATCACGGATCGGAATGGCGCCGCGGGTCCAATCGCTCCTGTACGGATATCATGGTTTTATTTATGGCAGCTTGGGAAAAATGCATCGGAAGATGATGGTTGAGGAAAACTTTATTCATCTTATTGCTTGAGTAAACCGATAATGATAAACTCAGATAATTTCGTAGTGTTTCTTTGGCAGCCTTGCCCCGCTTTTGTCCGTCTACTCAGTAGACTCTACTGTAAATTCAGCGCTGATTCAGTTTCAATTGATATGAACCGGCCGCTTGACTGAGGTTTTTACCCGATTGAATTTACTCGTTAGAGAAAAATGCACATCTGAGAATAAAAAATGAGGGATAAACTGGAGAAGCGAATTGTTGGTTGAGAGAATTCTTTAGTTCTTTTCCGTTTTACAAGCTTCTTTGTAAATATTGAATTTGATCGATGGTATTAATCTTAGCAACTCAAAAAATTTTTTTTCAGAAAAAAAAATCGACGCTTGGTAGAGAGACAGATTCGACTCATATTTTCAGATTTTTATTTATTTTCGTTAGTTATGCAGTGGGATGAGAAAGACTGGGTAAAATGATGACTTTCTGGTTTGAAAATAATAGTGAGTTTTTAGGAATATCGAGCTGAGGGCGGAAAACACCTTGTTGTCGTGAATCATTCTCTTCATAAAATTCTCCGTTTTATAAAGGTTCCGGTCGGTGTAGAGCGAAATCTCAACGATGAGAGGATTCAAATTGAGAGAAGATTGAACTATGAAAAATATGTAACTGTTCGATTAGTATCGAAGAGCGGCAATTTTATTTTTTTTCAGGCCCCTTTGTTGAGTGAGTTCGAAATTCACACTGATTCTGGAGAGTTGGTGTTTCTCAGTGCTGATTTTTGTGACCCCTTGTTCGCAAGAATTGATGACGACAGGCCGAATGCTCGGTAAGAAAACATTTATTAAATTCAGCATCGATTTCTTGTAGAAAACTTTTGGAAGTTCCTCGAGGACCAAGATATGCAGTACTTCAAGATGATTTTACCCAGAGTAACTCCAGTGATTCAAGTTTTGCGATCGAGATAAAGCCAAAAGTAGAATAACAAAGGCGAATTCTTTATAACCATTTCTAGTGCGCGTATGTTCAGCCAAATCTTCGATCTTGTCAGTTCTGCCTGATGCAACTCGAGCATCTTCTCGACGGGAGAGATGTTAATTCAAGATGCTTCTACTGCTCCGCTGACTTTTTCTCCTCCGATCTTAGTCGGAAAAAGTTCGCCTTCAAAAATGTATGCTTACAAGATAATTTTTTTGTCCTAAGTTTTTAAGCTTCTCGAGAATCCTCTCAAAGACCTGCGATTTTTCAAGGACGGCGAATTAATTTTCTCTATGGATACCCTCGAATATGTTGGGAAATCAGGAAACGATCGATTTCATGAAAAGATGGACGACTTATGCGGCTTTACGGATGCCCTCGAGAAGATCATTGAAGATTTGTGCAATTCTCTCGGATCCAGGTATATAGGACCCCTTTTGTGAAGAGGATATGATAAAGTTTCTCAGTGAAAATGACGAAAAATGCCTTACATCAACATTCAAAAATAAACGTTCCAATCCAATTGCTATTTCATCCCCATTGGGTCCCTTACGCGCCATTTCTGCCCTTCAAAAAACAAGCACACATACTGCCATTGAAGCTTACGGTATCGCAATTAATAATATTTTTTTTAAATCATATCAAAGAAAGTTATAGGCGACTCAGCAAAGAAGATCGACAAAAATTGACGAACCCATCTGAAGATTGGATCATCTCCGCAAACAAAATGGACAACTTTACGGACATTGACATTGCTCGTCGCCACTTGATCTCAAAGACGTTCAAGGATTGTAGTCTAATGATCATTTTTACTCCAAAAGAAAATGTCGAAACGAAATTTCACTTTGAAATCATTGATCTTGATTTGAAGGAACTTGATTTTCTGTCACTAAAGATAGAGCTATCAACATTTTATCCATAAAAAAATCACTAATAAAGCCAACGAAAAAGTTCCTAGAGCACAAGGAGAAAGAAGATGGCCTACTCAAATTGAAAGAGGATGAGACCATAGGCAATTAATTTTTCTGAAACTGACACTCTGATACGCTCATAATTCGCGTTACTCTGTTGAAATCTGGCAGACCGTTCAATAAAATCTCGACCATTTCTACCGGAACTCTTGAGGTGCTCCTTTGTGTGTCTCTGACGCTAATCTCAGTGGCCATTCAGGCCTTGAAATAACAAAAATATTGTAAAGCACAAATCTCACTTGTCATTCGCCGCTCAATCTTTATTAAGAGAATTCTTTTCCGACAACCAAAAACGTCCCTTTTCCGATCCTTTCGACCCACAAAGGTAAGATTCTAGCTTTTCTTTTCTTGAATTCTCATTGTTGATTTCAAGCTCCATTTCCCTTGAAAAATGAACGATTTAACGAGAGCTTTCAAATTATTGAATTTATTTTCAGAAAGCGATTCAAGCCGCTTGAATCATAAAAAATCGTTACTACGAAGACAAGGGAAAAATTAAGTCCTGTTTTGTCGTGAGCGATTTTATTGCGCGATTTATTTGAAAAGTAGTGAAGACAAGAGAAGATGCTAGAACCACTGAAAAATATCGTCGACAAAGTTCTCAAATACTCGACTCCTTTTGGGCATGCTTGGAGCGGACTGCTATTCTTTTTTCGATTATTGCCGACGCTGACGATTGGGCAAGAGATTTTTGATGATGAGCAGGAGGAATTTGTCTGTACTTCTGGACAGCCTGCTTGTACAGAGCAATGTTACAATGAGTTTTCTCCTATCAGGTAGAAAGGGCGGAAAGTGCACAGTTTTTTGTTTTGGGTATGAAACAAATTTGGTTGTTAGAGACAGAATTGCAAATTTGTTGAGCTGAGCAGTCGCTCAGCTCAGTGATTTTCTAATATGATCCGATCTGCTCAGCTCAGCTCAGACGATTATCACTCAGCTCAATAATTTTCGAACATGATCACTTCTGCTCAGCTCAGCTCAATGATTTTAACACAGTTTTACAACTAAAAATACAGTAAAAAACAGCTTAGTTCAGCTAACTAAGCTCAGCTCAGCTCTAATAAGAGTCTGCTCAGCTCAGCTCAACTACCTACAAAAAAGATCTGCTCAGCTCACCTCAGCTCAATGACCTTTGAAAAAGGGCAGCTCAGCTCAGATCAGAAAATTTATCACGAAGGTCAGCTCAGCTCAGCTCACCAAAATAGACCAAAATTTGCAACTCTGGTCAGAGATGAATGTCTTATTTTGTTCAATTTAGTCACCATCGATTATGGTCCCTTCAAGTGCTCGTCACAATCATTCCAATTCTTCTCTTCTCATTTATCGCCACCCAAGTCCAAGCCAAGCACAAGCTGTACTCTGCCTACGTGAGCTCGTTCGAAGAAAAACAGAGCAAATCATCGGCAGCGTCCAAATCCGCCTCAATGTTGTCTTCCGATCATGACAGATTTATTTACGCGCAGGCGAAGAATAAACTTTCCCATTATGAAGTCAAGACGGTAGATCATCATAAAACTTTCTCTCTCTCATTTTTTTTTTGGCTCAGAAGCGAAATCTCGATGGCGAAGAAGAAGAAATCATCTGGCACCCGGATGTTAAAAGATCTTACATTCTTATCAGGTACATTTTTCCACGAAAATCCCTCAAATCAGCTTCTAGCTTGGTAAAAATCTGCATGGAGACTCTTTTTATCTACCAATTGTACTTACTGCAAATGAAACAAACCAAAGCCTCCGGGTTTTTCAATCGAGAAGTTTGGCTCATCCCAGAAGAGTACAAATGCGATGTCGGGCTTGAAGATCATTTTGCTTGCTCTGCGGTAGGTCTTCATCTTCACCCCTTTTTTCTTTATTTTCTTCCAGGACACTGATGTTCCCTGCTACGTTTCCCGCGCTTGGGAGAAGCGAATTTTCGTCATTTACTACATTATCGTCTCTATTCTTTCATTCCTCTTCCTTGTCTTCGACATCGTCTTCGTCATTTACCGAATCGCCGTGACAAGAAGAAGAAAGAAAAATACCAAGCGAACTCTTCTAGTGCCAAATGATACTGATGACCGCGTTTCTGTATCGTAAGTACAAAAATAAGATGCTCTCAATCCAAATCGTTCTAGATCAAGACGGGCGAGAAGCCAGCCAAATTCAAGAGCTCAGTCTCATCCGCGGCTCAATAATCTCTCGCGATCTACCGAAGATATTTTGCTCAATCGAAAAGAAACAGAATTTAAGCCTTTTGTTCCCAAATAAATCAAAGCCAATTTGTTCAAAAATCTAATTTATTTATTTTTTTCTAGCAACCAGTTCTCGTTTTTATGTTTCCATCTCACATTTCTTCCTCTGAAAACAATCGTTGAATTCGAAAAATTTCTTTGAAACGAATTACCTATAATTTCAATTCTTCGATATCGCGCACTGTCCTCGTGAATTCTTGATACAGTCGGAGGTCTTCTCATCGTACGAGATCGCTTCTCCACACCCTTGAATCGTCGGTAGGTCACTTGCTCCCCTCTTTTTTGCTCCAAAAGATGGCCCTGGATTTTGTCACAAGCCGTTATCGCACAAATAAGAATAACCAGCGCAAAAATCGCACCTGTAAATCATTTTGTTTTAAGAAAAACTGACTGTAGTACCTTTCAATCCATTCGCTCGAAGACTGTAGCAAAAGCTTCCATAATTTTCAATCTCTCTCTTTGCCCAATTTTTCTCGCCACAAATGCACTCGTTTGGGCTCACGCAATAATTTCTCGACGAACTAAAATAGGAGTTTAAAAGAAAACAGAAGCAAGAGATACTTACTTCGTCGGCCCAGCGCATTCAATCTGGCAAATTGGCTCGGTGCAATCGCCATCGTCTCCGTTTTTCCATCCAAATTCGCAGCCATATGGACATCTTCCTTCTTCACTGCACGCTTCTCTTGCGCAACGCCCGCTGAAAACAATCGTTGTTGATTTCAAAGTAAATTTTTTCTTACCAAATATTTTTGCAATTATCCCCATAAAACCCAAACGGGCAATTTTTGAGATTATTTTCTTTTATCTCGATCAAAAATTGAAATCTTAAAAATTTTTCCTCAAAATTAAAAAAAAAATTTTTGAATCGATTCCTAGTATGATAATTCGTTGATCTCTCAGACTATGAATCTCTTTTTCAATTTGACCTTCTCCGCTAAAATCGCATTTTGTGGGAGAAAAAATAAGAATAAAAGAAAGAAGCTTCATCCTTGAAAAAAGAGGGTCGAGTCCTTTTTGACTCTCATTCTACTTCCTGCTCCCGGTAAACAAAAAATAATAAGTTTCATCAAAATAAAGCTTCAACATAGTCTATGTTACATAGAGCGGTCTAGCGGCTTTCATAGAAAAAAAGGCCGCAGCGCGGCTTTGCCAAAATTATCATCAAATCAAATTTGAAGTTCTGACAAAGCCGCGCCGCGGCTTATTTTTCAAATGAGCGAAAATATAAAAAAAAGTTCTTTCGTAAAGGATATATCAATTTTATGATTACTCATTACCGTGGATAAATATTTGCGCAGTGCGAAATGTGAAATTCCTTTTGTCAAACAAAATATGTTTCCCACCTTGTCCAAAGAAAAATAACAGGAGGACTTCGCTTTAGCTAGAAAGTACGAAATTTGTGCAATTTCGTGTCTTAAAAAGTAAAAGAAAAGTGATAAGCTCGCGCAACAGGAGAGGCGAGACCTAACGGGAACAGAGAAGATCAAAAAAAGTTTTTAAGAGGCAGAAGATAGAAACATGGCTGGACACGGGTTTTCCATGATTTTCGACGGATAGGAAAAGGATGATAAAATTATGCATCAAAATTTTTGTGAATGATTATTTATTATAAGATAAAAGATTTAAAAAATTATCCTATTATGATTATAAAATTATTAAATTATTAAAATAAATTTATAAAATTTAATTAAATAAATAGTTAACACACAAATAAATTATTGAAAAATCAAAAATATATGATAAGAAACCTGCTTTTATTCAGATTAATTTGTTTAATTTTTCTTTTCTAAAAATCAGTTTGTATGTGGAAACCCTTAATTTTAGAAAGGAAAAAATGATGAAATTCCGTATCGAAAGATAAGGTAGGCTTTGCTAAATAGAACTTTCTTGACCTACCCCCTTAAACATTTAAATATCCTTCGAAAAGTTGAGCCTGGAAAGAAAGATCTTTGATCGGAAGAAAAAAATGTGGGCCGTCCTCGTTGCTATCGCAAACTTGCTGTACCTCATCATCAAGGTACCCGTTTCCTTTTCGACCGCTGGGCGGTCATTTTGACCTTGAATGAATATTGTCACCGTCTTATTATGAATTACTAGCTTCCTCTGGATAATCCGCTGCTGAGCCTTATACTCGCGCTGGGATGGTTTCTTTACTTGAAAAGGTAAGACTTTATAGCGACAGATTAGATTTAACGCGATAAGCGACGCTTAAAAACCACTTCCAGTAACCGCGAATTTGTTCTGTTTCTTCGCGGCCAAAATATAGAAAATGATTTTTTGAATGTCAAATAAAGCACCATAAAACTCAAAAATTATGAGATTGTATGCTTTTTTTCTTGAGTCAAACAATTGAAGGGAAAATTTTATACCTATTGAATAAGTGTTTTTTAAAAGAATCCATTTAATTGAAGAAAATTCTAATCTTACTCAAAAATGATTAAGGCATGAGCTTGAAAACAGCGGCCCAATCGTAATTGCAATCCAGCAGCAGTTATCCCAAATCTTTGGAACGAAGATCTCTTCGAAAGAACTTCCATGGATCGAGACAACTGTAACTCATCTTATAGGAAAGTAACCATTCGTCAAGCCGCTCTCTTCCTTGATTTCAAAGAGGATTCGTTTGATTTCGATTTTCAAATTTGGTTACGCAAAAGACTGGCCAGTACTGCATCCACCAGTTGGATAGCCTGCGTCTCAGATCAGGATTTTTCATCGGCGGATGCGAGGTCAATCAGAGCTGGGTAACGGAATGCTCTGCGCAGCGGACAAAATCGCTGATTCTCCGGGGACGGTGAAGGCAACGATTGAGGTGGATATTCGCCACGTGAAATTTCATGGAGACTGGCGCGGGTTCGTACGTCTCCAGGCAAATTTTCTGGTTTATCATGGACGAGAAACTGGCATGGATGTTCAGCTGAACAAAATATCAGGTAGGACAGAAATAAATCTAGCTTCTGATTGATCCTTAGTGAGCTCGAATGTTTCGGAAGATGTTCCAAATATCGATGATGCTGTAGTAGCTGCTCTTTCCCGTGGATTCCAGATAAACTCGACAGGGTCAAGCTCACGTCAGCTTACTCAGCAGGACAATATGAACACGAGTCAATTATCGCTTGATAAGTCCAACACCTACAGCTCTGGATACAGCTCGGCAAGATACTCGCAGAATGAAGTTTCGGGTGTGAATTCAAGAAGGTAATGTAATGTACAGTTAATTATGGAATTTCTGGACATTTTTTGTCCCCCATTTTTTCCCGAAAATGTCCAGAAATTTGATACAGAGCCTTGAGAAAAATGTCCCAACAAAATTGCTTATAAATTTTTCGAGAAAGAAAAATTTACGATTTTTTTCAAATAAATAACTGAAAAACATTAAAAGAAACGCGCTGTAGCCGCCTATCTTATCATATCATAAGAGTTTCGAATAAACACAGCTCTTTATAGATGAAATTGGCATCAATAACTCAAGTTTGATCATAAATTAAGATGTGGAAGATATCTGCTGAGAAAAAATGTCCAGAAATTTGATACCCCCTCTCTTTGAATTTGTCCCCAGAAAACCCCTTAAAATCCGAAAAATGTCCAGAAATTTGATGTCCAGAAATTCCATAAAAAACTGTAATGATAATTATCATTTGTTATTACATTTCACGTAATTTGCCCAACTGCATATATTTATGAATAGTTTAAATCACCGTCTGGTTACTCTTCAATTGCCATATGATATAATTGTATACTTGTTTATGGTTTTTGCCTTCAATTTTCGTTTCAAGGTTGATTTCCGAAGAAGAATCTGGACGAGAATCAAGAGCAAGCAGATTCAGTGTACGAGACGACGAGCAAACAAAATCAAACCGTGAGCGAAAAATCTCCAGAGAAAGTCGCCATTCTGTCAAAATTCAAGGTTCGATCCTGCATTCCTTCTCTTTCGAAAGGTTTTTTAGAGCGAAATGACGCTGCTCTTTCATCACAACCTCCAAAACCCAGTCGTGCTTCGAGAAACTCAACGAATTCCTCGAGAACTCCGAAGAGCTCAAGGTCGTCGAGGTCGTCGCACGGCGCGTCTAGCAGACGAAAAGCGGTGGAGACTGTGAAGATTTGTCCGGTCAGAATCGAGCTGTATCACGAGGTCCATTTTTAATTGAATCTTTGCATTAATTTCATTCTAGTGGGACAACATCAAACCCCGTCTGAACGTAACCTACGGCTCGAAAACTGTCGCCTTCGACGGCATCCAAAGTGAACATGGCGAGTGAGTCTTGTCTCAGAAAACGTCGACTTTCATAAATCATCAACTTTTTCGCGCAGCAATTGCACATCATAATCTTTCAGCAGCTCCGTTTCCCATTTATTCTTGTTCAGTGAAATCTTCGATTTCGACACTTCGTCGCCTCTCATTGCGGATTTCAAAAATGACGACGTCGTTGATTTGAGTCTTACTGTAAGAGATCAGGAATGGCCTTGGAAAACTACGGAAGTTTACTCTGAGACATAAGTAAAGGCATGTCAAAGGGAAAATGGCTGTCTATTGGCAAAGGAACTGTGGACCTAGAAAACGTCCGGGACAACTCAATAACGCTAGAATTGTCGGACCCAGAAGAGACTATTTGTGAGCTGACTTTGAAGGTCAAACGATCCAAACCGTAAGAAGTCCAAAAAAGGAAGGATAAAAACCAAGTCTTTCAGAAAGTCGGAAGTAATTTTCGACGACCGGGTCCAATTCAGCCCGTCCCGCCGGACCGACATTTACCCAGAATCCCAGGCCAACTCGACCATCAGAACTTCCATGGCAATGACAGAATCGAGCATGGACGGCGTCGAAACTGACCAAAACACGCTAGAAACCTCCCACAACGGTAAGTCGCACTCTTGCCAGGTCGTATTTGTTGACTCCGACCACAAATCAAACTCGTGAAAACAGCTCCAGCTGGGCGACGCTAACTCAAAATCACGCAGTAAGGAAAGGGTGTAAATAAACACCACTTTTATATAGAATGGGGACGGGAGAATCAGGTGATGACAGGGGCTTGATGGGTGATGAATTCAGTGATCGAAGTTCGTTTTCTCAAATATAAGATCTAACAACCCATTTTCTTTAGATCACGATTCCTGGATCGATCAAAATCTCGTTGATGAAGTCTGTCGAGTACATAAGCTTCCCTCCGACCGACAAAACGATACTTCAACGCCTATTCCTTCCCCACTCGCCCGAGGCGATGATCTCCGGTCAACACTCCCTATCGCCCAAAACTACGGAAGCGACAATCGACCGCGAAAAATGTCCCTCCAGGATGTCCCAAAGCAGCAAAATCCCGTAAGCCGTAGAAAATCAGATGTAAGAATATTTCCTTCCGAAATTTTCTTCGAAATTAAGTTCAATCAAGAAGTAGTTTTTTAAAATGAATGATTCTAAGCTTGATTTGCTGCAAATTCCGACAGAAAATAGCAACAGATTTCCAGCATCTCCGAAAACGGGAAAGTCGGGTTTGAAGAAGTTCTTTGGAAAGTTCAAGAGGTCACGACCTGGCTCTAGAAATCGCAGTGAAGGTACGATAAGACGAAATTGATAAGAAAAAATGACCATTTCTGGTTATTTTTGGCCAATTATTGCGCTTAAAGGCCAAAATAATGTCATTTGACCGATTAAAAACTATTCTAGAGCTATATTTTTGTATTCTAGTGACTACACCGACAATTCCACGAAAATAGAAAAAATGTCTTTGATAATTCTGTGCCATAATTTATCTACCAAAATTCTGCTGTACAAAGTGCATTTGTAAATGAATCTTGACCAAAATGACCAAATAAAAAGAATACTCCGTCTCAGCGACAATTACTCTCGTCGAAAATTTTCTCGAAAAAGATGATCCTCAAGGTGCAACAAACAAGTCAATATTTGCAAAAACAAGCTCTTCAAAAAAGGGCAAGGTCTTAGCACGGTAAAAATTCCCCACACGCGCCTAGAGAAAAATAACAAATTTGACCTAGTTTTTTGAAAGATGAAAATTGTTTCCGCCATTTTAGCAGCTTTAGTGAGGGGCGAAGATGAAGAGCTAGACAGAGAGGCGAAACAGTATTATCGAAATCAAGGAAGAGTGAAATTTTCGATCAGCGATCACTTTTATTAGTTTATAAATTGATCTCAAATAAGGATACAATTCGTATAATCAGCAATATTACCCGGGAAGAAACATAAATCGACGGCCAATTCAGAATTTCCCTAATTATGGGTACGTTTCTTAAAATTTTCATTAAATATAAAAACCATCATTTAATGTCTTACTCAATGACATTGAAGGCAGTTCAAATGTTTTGGAAGCTAGATAGTGTTCATCGGAGAGATAAGAAAATTTTAATATATACAAAAAATTAAAGTAATATCTTTATGGTTTCCTTAAGTTTCTCTAGAAATCAATATCCTTACCAACCCTACCCACCGCGCTACAACTCCTACCCTCCATATCCTCGTAATCCGCAGCCACCTCCTTTCGCCAACCCTCATCCCGGATGGCGCCACTACAACAACCGAAACAACTTGAACCAAGAAGCATATTCTCATTACGACGATTTTACTGGATATCAAAGTTATCCGTATCATCAGAATGTCGCTCAAAACACAAGGCCAGATTCATCAGCAGTTCGACTTGCTAGACCAGGAGAAAATGCTATTCGGGTAAGAAATGATATCCCTTCCTCCCTTATTTCTTTCAGGCGGGGAGAAAAGTAAGACCTCCAGGAGAGCGAGACGAGCGACTGGTCAACCCAAGGCTTCAATACATCGAAGATCAATATGCTCCACAAGAAGAATATGACGATTCTAGCTACTATGAAGCCAGCTATGCTTCGTCCTATGAACTTTCAGAAAATGAAATGGAAGGAAGCTCTCAAGAAAAAGAAGATGCCCTCGATGGTAAGTGAATACTTCCCGTCTTTTTCTCCTTAATTCTTCTAGTTATCCCCCTCGAAGACCTGAAAACCCTCTGCGGTCCAGAAGGATCAGCAACGTCTCATGAAGAATGCCAAGAAAACCGCCCAGATCATCCAGAAAATCCCGATTTAATAGGCCTCCCAGACTTGATGACAAACGCAAAACGAGTACAAGAAACTCTTCACCTGGACTACGCCGATTTGAGCAACTTGGCTTGCGCTCTTGAAGAGGGTTGTTTCAGCAAAAGTGCCTATCGAAAGACCCCGAAAATGGCGAGAAAACTGCTCAAGTTCACGCAAATGATTTCGAACATCGGCGACGCGGACTTTCTTTCGCCGCATAATTCTAGCGACTGGGAGTATCATACTTGCCACAAGTAAAATTTTTCAGCAATAGGAAGATCCTAGCGTTTTTTAGGCATTATCACTCGATGAGTACTTTTTCTGAATATTCTTTGCTGACGACAAACATGAAAGATCGAGTGGCGCACAGTCAGAAAGTCAGTTTTTGTCTGGAAGACTCAGAATGCAAGCCCGGCGTTTCGCAAAAATACCACTGTCTTCAGGTAAATACAGTACCTGGCTTAGATGGACAAAAAAAAGCTGCGCCCGATGTGGGACTCGAACCCACGACCGTTGGATTAAAAGTCCAACGCTCTACCGACTGAGCTAACCGGGCTCTGCGCCCCGCTCGATATTGTGTCAATTTGAAAAACAATCAACGATTTTTAGGAGCAAGCGATTAGCCCTGGCTGCTCGGATGTGTACGTTTCTGGTGTGGATTGCCAGTGGATTGATGTTACTGATGTCCGACCTGGGAGTTATGTACTTGTGATTGAGGTTAATCCGAATCGACTCGTGAAGGAGAGTAACTTTATCAACAATCGGATGGAATGCGACTTATTTCTACAGGTAAGGAAGGAGAAAAAAATGCCTTCTTCGATTAAAAATTCTAGAGGAGCAGCGCTAAAGCATCAAACTGCAGAACTCTTACGTGACTCCAGAACACAATAATAGCAGAATACTGTAAATAAAATCTTCAGTGTCTTCATTATTGTACCGTTAGTCTTAGCCGCTAGAATAATCTGATGCAGAATGAAATCCGTCCTGGATTCTTACAGAAACTTGCTCAGGGGCGGCCCAAGGACTTGTGTAAGTAGCAGTAAAGTGGTCTACGTAGGTTGATGCGATGTCGTCGAAAGAGGTCGTTGTTGTCGTCGTGGTTGTTGTCGTCGTGGTTGTTGTGCTGGTAGTTGTCGATGTTGTTGTTGTCGTCGTCTTTGTTTTCATCGTCGTCTTCGTGGTTGAAGTTCTCATTGTTGTTTTCAAGCTTGAAGCTGAAGGAATCTTCTTCGTTGTGCAGATCGGATACGCAATGTCACACTTTCGGACAAGGTAGAATCTTCATCGAAAATTTTTATGATAAGACAAATCAAATTGAAAAAAACCTTATATTTTTCCCATCTGGATAGTACAAAACATTCTTCATGTAGCCCGACATCCTTGATTTGTAAAACAGAGCGTTTGAATACTTGTGAATCCAAGATGGAGGCCGGGGAGTTTGGTCAGTTTTGAGCTTCGGCAAAGTTTTGCATTTTCGCGAGCCCTTTTTGAATCGCATTTTGAAGAAGCCGACTTGCTCCAAATTCATCCAAATTGGTGAGCGGAAAGAAAGACCGGAGCTTCTGTAGATTTTCTAGGGCAAACGATGAGTCACTTCGATATTTGAATTCAAACTAACCTGCAGGAGCAAATTTCTCGGTTTTTCAACGGGAAGAAAAACATGTCCTCCTGATCGTTGACAAAGCTCATCAGCTTCCTCCCTCTTCACTGGAAAATGCGATCCTTTCCACAAGCAATAGCCGCCAATCTCTGTTCCCCAATTCGGGCAGTCCGGGTTCGTCGAGTCTGGCCGCGGCCTTGGGCCTCTCGAAAAATCATCCGCCGAAGCAAAAATGAAAAGAAATAACAACCTACTGGTTAGTTTCATCTTCTAACTCTCTTCTGAGAAGAGGCTTCTCTTTGATTTTTATTTGTTAGCACATCAGGTGCGCTAAGCAGGATTCTTCAGAGCAGATAATTGCCAGATGACAATTGAGCTCGTCATAAAACTTAACCACATGGATTGTTTATGAAGATCTTGAGCGGCAGTTAAACTTCAAAAATATGCTGATAAACGAGAAGGAGAAGATGATCAGTTTATTCATCAGTTTATAACATGATATGTTTCTTATGAAAAACTTAAATAATGCAGCTAAATCTCTAATTGTCGTTTTTGACAAAGAGAATCGGTCGAAGCCTCGGTGCAAATTTTTATGTCGCAGTCTACTGTCAAAGAATCGTTGGCTAAAAAAAGGTTGAGAAGAAAAGGTTTAAAAAATCGATGAAAAAATCACCTTCGTCCGTGAAAAGATGAAAGTCGAATGCTGTTGTTTTGTCGAATTTCGCCTTTTCAAGGGTTTTTTTCGCTTCGAACCACGGAAAAAATCCAATGAAAAAAGCCCTGTTCCTGTAGAAGTGATGCAGAACCTGGGACCATAGCTCCGTCTTTGATCAAGTTCAAAGTCATGATGCCAGTTCTCAAGTCGCAATCCTCAAGAGCTGATTCGTGTTTTTTGATGATTTTTCTTTTTCAAGGATTCATTTTAAATTTGAAGATTGTTCGATTTTTATGATCTTGAAAACACTTGGCAAATTTATAGTCGCCATAGAAAGTCGGTTCAATTTTGACATTCACTTCTCCTCCAACTCGTTTTTCTGAGTCAACGACCAAGCTAGGAATAATTATTAGACAAGAAAATGAAAATGAAGATGGGATTTATGCGATGATTTTATTTAATTGCGATCAAATTGCTGCACAATCGCAATAAATCGTATAATTATCTTGGTAATTGTCGCAAGATAACATCATTTTATTGACTTGATAGTTCGAAAATTTAATTTCTATTTTATGGTCTTATCTTTCGATAAACAACCGTGTTTTCCCAATTTACCTCGCATTAAATGTCGATTTCAATTCAGATGCACTCATCGATTCTTTCAGCATTTATTATCATGTCTTTGTATCTTCAACATGTTACTGTTTTACATCTGTCCATGGGAGCTTATAATTATGTTACTATCTATTCTTTGAAGATGTCAGACATCTCATGTCTTCATGGTTTGAAGATCAACCTAATAGGGCCTATTATAGGAAAAGAAAAAGAAGTTCTGTCTGTCTTTTTGAAATGCTTTCCTGTTATATTCATGATGATTCTATTCGGCGCGGTCATATTGAAGTCCAAATCAAATTCACTAAAAGCAGTTTCATCATGAAGCCGATTCGGGCTTCCCCTACTTTGCCAAGTCGCAGTGAACTTCTTGCTGGTCCATGACCGTCACATCGATTTCTGGACTCCCAATTTTCATTCGATGATTCAGGTATGAAATCCGGCCAATTTCTTATTAAAGATTCAAGCTGCTTCCTTCTTACAGACATAATCAATCAAAAACTCAGTCAAAAAAGTCATTTGAACTATAAATTGAACCGGTCCTCCAGACGCAGATGTGGTAACGTTTCCAAAGCACGAGCTGTACTGAAAGCTTTGCCAAAACGTTTGATCTCTTATGAAGGAATCAAGAGTTTTTCAATCGGAAAAAAGGAGCGCATCAAAGAAAAAAAACCTTTAGATTTCAAAACCTTCACTTATCGCATCAGTTACTTTGCAGTCATCGTGAACCTTTGATATATTATGTGGAAAAAGAGGGGCAAGAAATAATAGTCATACCGCTGATTCGTCGTATACGCCCGTTGTCAAGTCTACAGTTCCAAGAAACATCGAAGTAATCGTGCTGTTCATCGCGGCAAAGTCTTCAAAAAGACATGTATCGTTGATTTTCATGTTCACTTTTGCAGTTCTTTCGAAGACATTTCTACTCTAGGGGTTGAAGTCTTTTAGCAGTGGAGTTAGGTCTTTTGGCCAATCAGAGACCAGTATATGTTGCTTCAACCAATCACAGAAGAGCAGAATCCTCTATGACCCCCTTATAGGCAATATTCTACCTCCGCGAAAGCGGAACTCTAGAACTTTCCTGTGTCGGTTTGACATTCGATCGTAACCAATTCGCACAAAGATGATGACGCAGTTGTTACACTGAAACGAATTTGGATAAAATTCTTTGTTTCTCAAAAAAATTTTTTTTTCTTGCTCTTCTTTTTTTCCAAATTTGCACTTTTTAATACAAGGTCGATGGTTACCTGAAAACAAGGAGGAGAGCCCTCATTTCCGCCTTTTTTCCTTTCTCTCTGTTTCTTCCTTTACTTCTGCTATTTTACAACTGAGCAAGCATATTTATGAAGAAACCGCCTTTTCAAAAGATGGAAAATAACGACGCAGAATATAATTATGACATGCATGTCGGGATTACGCGAACACTTATTTCTCCAAGATTTATGTTCATAATTATGAGTGAAGCCTGCTGATGCGATTTCGTCATAAAAACGCTGTAAAAAATCGCCAAGATAGATGGATAATACTGTAATTGCGCGAGTTATTTCTTGAGAAAGCATTTTAGCAGCTTTGCAAGTATCAATTTGGAATGAAAATCGTTAAATTATCCGGAAATGACCTCAACTGAATCGTGAATAGGGCATTTTTATGATAACTTATTCGTGAGAAATGCAAAAAAAAAATAAAATTGAGACCCAATTTCAGCCCTTTTTCACTATTATTAACTGAGAGAATTGAACCCGGGCGGAAAAAGATAAAAATTAAAGTTTAAACCTTTCCGGAAAAAATTATAATTTTGAGTGAGCAAGCGTATATGATAAAAGAGCGACAACGTGGGAGGAGAAGGGTTAGTTTAGGAATCAGAGAGGGCGGCCCCGAAAATGTCCAAACATTGACAAGTGACTTTAGTAAGCAGAGCGCGGATGCTCTCCAGATAACAACTTTTTTTTACAATTTTCTGCATCCTCTTTTTCTTTCCAGGATTAGCTCGAGAATATCATTCTTTTCAAGCTTCTTGCGGAACGTGATTAAAATTGATAAATGAGGCGATTCGTCAAAGTTGGTATTCTAGCGTGTGAAAAATCTGCATGATCAACCATACATGACAAACACAAAATTTCGCATTTCAATAACCTGACGACCCTTATTTTCAAGAGAGACTCAAGAGGAAACTGTCTTGGCAAGCTTCTTTGTCTTCCCTTCTTCTTGCTTGCTGGATTTTTCGGATGGTTCAGCCTTGGTGGCACTAATATTTGTGAGGCCCCGAATCCCTACACCCTGAAAGAGGGAGAGACGCTTGTGTTGACTCCTCCACTTCGGTCAATTTGTGAAAGCAGAGGTAGCGATGGGGGCTGCAGTCGAAAGTATTTTTATGATGACAATCAGCACTGTGAATGTAAGTCTCTATTTTATTCGGCCAAATCAAATATTTTTAAGTAACAATCAAATCAAATGGAAAGCCAATTACTTACAGCATCAACTATCTCGATGTAAGTCCTGATTGCGGTGACTATCTTCAAATTGAGCACTCTACCATTTGCATGACTGGGGTAAGAGATATGAAATATGTGACATACCCGGTTACCAATTTTAGGCCAATAACGATTTACCGGATGTGCAAACTGGTGAGACAGAACTTCAAGTCCTCTGGCACACTGATGCCATGTCTTACGATCCAAATGAGTACTGGCGCGGATGGCATGGATTTGAGCTCGCTGTTGTTGCTGGAGAGTCGACTGGTAACATCTTCAGTCACTGACCATTTTTATCATTATCTAGAATCTCGATCAACCATTCCCGCTGACTCTCCTGAGAAACGAGAAGAATCCTGGAAGGCACTTTCAAACGAAGAAAAAGAACATAATCTGGAAGAGAGAAAATCTCGCTACGAAAATGTTGTCCGATATTAACATCTTTATTCAATATTAATTATACTCATCATTATTTTTTTTTTAAAGAAGATCAGTAAGCCTCTTATATTGTTGAATTCTTGAGTCGATGACTTCGAAAGGTTGGATGTCAAGTATTGCGCGTCAAGTAGTTGTAGTCCGCCCCGCCGCCGTTCACAGAAGTCGAGAGTAGCAATTTGCCTTCTCAGGGCAGTTAGGCCGAGTACCAATTCAGCTCCTGAAAAATCGCAAAATCGGGCACTCTGCAAATAATTCATGCCTTCGCGCAGCTCAGTCTTTATTCACCTGAAATTTCGAAGCGCGCTAGAAATTTTCAAATAAGTTTATTTTGCAGTTTTTTAACAAGAATACTTCGAAAATCACTTCTGTGTCTGGAGAATTACCGAATATCCGACCAATTTATCAGCCCAGAGTCAGGACCGCTTGCTTCGGATTATGTGGTTTTGGATATTCTTGATAGGCGCTCATCCCCGCAAATACGGAAGAGTCTTGGCACTAGAATCACGTTTATAAAAAGTCTAAGACGAGAAAAATTAACTTTTCAGAAAAAATACTGAAGAGAGAATGACCTTGTTGGAAAATTCGAATTTTCAAAGACCATAATTTTTGAAAATATTCTTTTTGATATAAATTTGCTAGTTACTGTATTTGTTTGAGAAATGTTTATGAGGTATTTCATCATCCAGATCAATAGTCGGGCTATGGTTAGGGTTGAAGGTCAAAAAGCTTGATGATGAACACATTTACAGTAATTCCGAAGATGAATAAGGCCACCTTGGACAAAAATGAAGAAAAACGCTCTTTCCAGAAAATAACAGATTTCAAAAAACCATAATTTTTGAAGATATTCTTTCATTTTTGAATTTTTAGCAATCGAGGTCGGCGAAAATAAATAATTTTTAACAATAAGTTGAAGTCGCTTAACCTCTAGATAAGAAAAATTCAGAGAAAACTGTGAATCTCGCCTCACGTTAACCTAAAACATCTGCCCTCTAGAATACGTCAATATGATAACGATATTTCCACTTTGCATAATTCTGCTAAGCCTCAGAGAGAGGGCCAAATATTCAGAATTTCAAATGCTCTCCTCGTTGGAATGCGCCCACTCCCGAGTGGAATCAAAGTGCGCGAATACTAAGTGCTTCCAATGGCGAAAAAATCCAGCTAGTTTAGCTCGAATCGCCGAATTCCGGAATTTGAGCGCGCGAAAATGTTCCACCCGCCAATGTGTAACGTTGGTTTGCGATGCGGTAAGCCAGAAATCGAGGGTTCCGAGGATAAACTGATGTACACGCTGCGGATTCCTGAGGTTAAACGAATACAGATGCTAGTTTTTCTCAATAAAAAATTTCAATTTCAGTCTATTTTCAAAAGAACATCAAAAGACTGGCCTCGGCAACTTATGTAAAAAGCCTTAGTCAGGGTCAGAAAGAACTGAAATGAAAAGCCGCGCATTGGCTTTTTTTAACATGAAGCCGCAGAGATAATACCAATATTATCGACATAAAATTCTGGCGAAGCCGCTTCGCGGCTTCGTTTTTAAAAAAGCCGCTGCGCGGCTTTTCCTTTCAGTTCTTTCAGAACCTGACTCAGGCTTTTTACACATGTTGCCGAGCCCAGTCAAAGGATTTTCTAGAGCTTTCTGAAAGCTTGATGAACTGAAGAGTGGACAGCTTTAGATGTTGATGCGGTTTGTTTAGTGGATGATTATTATCGCCTGATCCGCGACACTTTTGGCGGCGATTTTCGGCTAAATTCGCCTCGGAGATTGGTAATTGGCGGCTTTTGGGTCGTACACCGCGAGTCCAGGAAGGCGCCTAATGACAACGTGTTGGGCGGATTAGGACGCGCAAGTGTAGTGACCTCGGACAACAAACTCGATCCTTGGGAGCGCGACCTCGCCTCTCCAATTTGCCACTAGATGCAACTGTTTACCACAACGAAAAAAAAAACAAGGAGATATCAGAATGGAGGCCTGAAGATTGAAGTTACTCTCGAAGATTTTCAGAAGAATTTGAAGTGAAGCCGGTTTAATCAATCGGAATCCGATTCGGATGATCTTGAAAAATTCTCTATACAACTGAACCGGAAAGAGGAAGCCCACCTTACAGTAGATTTCATCTTTTATTTTAAAGTCGGAGCAGTTTTCTTTCGGGCATCTTTTTCTTGATCAACAAGAATATTTCACTGTGAAATATCTTCTCGTTAGATCAATGATTTGTCTTCGCAAGAAATTGAAAATTGATTTGATAGATAATAAGAACCCCTTCTCAATGAGAATCGCCCTTTACAGTCATTTAGAATCCCTGGCGGTAGAAATTAAAAGCACTTTTGGGAAAGAGAAAAATAGAAAGGCACGTTAGGTCCGCGAAATCTGGCACTTATGTTGTCGTCATATGTCCCCGTTATCGGGATATTTTGGTTGAGAGTAATCGTCCCTTGTGGCGCGATAATGTTGAAAAAAGTCTTGCTTCCATAACAGAAAAATTATCACACTCTTTCACTTGTTTTGTGATGGAACTTGCGGGCGATGACGGGCGGGAAAGATTGGGAAAAGAACTGTTATATAACAAAGAATCGTCGTTTTCGGCAATTTACGGAGTGGTACCCCCTTAAGACGGCTTTCTATTCGAAGAAAAAACGCGAACACGTGGAAGAACCATCGAAAAAGTGAAGAAAACCCGTCTGCATGGACCAAAAATAGCTTTCACACTTGAGCCAATCGAGAAATTTCTAAGCGATAGGCTTTTAAAAATTTTAAGTTCTCTGTTTTGTGTGAAAATAGGAGCTCGAGCGGCAAATTCTTGAGCAGGATCCGTTCAAGTCAAGTGTCCGCTCCCGAAAAAAAGACGTGGAAACGCATTTTGGACGTCACTTGAAAAACCCGATCTTTTGTCGTTTTCCGCGACCGGTGTTTTTTTCGGAAAAAAAAGGAAGAAAAATGGGGTTGTTCCCAAAAATTAATGAATAAAAAGTGTTACTAGAGCTAGAATTTGAATTTTGGTTATTGACAAACTTGCAGAATGTCTCATTAGATGAGTGATCCGCGATAAGTCCAAAAACACAAAATCCTTTGTAAAACCCAAGTCCCGGATACCGCCAGTCCTCATAAACAAGAACCCAGCATCCTCCCTCTTTTTTTCATTGTTCACGCTTTTTGCCGAAATTTCCGCTACGTTGCCGCAGCGCTGAGAGCGTATTTTTTATTGCGGCTTGGGTCTCGAGTTTTCGAGTCGAAATCGATCCACGTTTAATCTCAGAATAAAGAGCTCCAGTTTCTCGATAGAGAGTGCCACAAAGTCCAATTTTCGGCTTTAGGTGACCTAAAACCGCAATTAACTAAACAAATCCACTCGCAAATCTGACTTGGCGCTTGCTGTGCTTTTTTTGATCAGATTTTCTAAGCTCGGGATACCCTTAATTCAAGACTTTCCCCAATAAAACGATCAAAAACGACCAATTCTAGGGACAAAATCAACAATTTTATCTAATTTTCGAAAAAATTTTACGGAGGGGGGGGGGGGGTCCTTAATTCAAGATCTTTGAGCAAGAAATTCTGTATTTTTTTCTCGCATAAAATTAACATGCCAAATAGACAATGAGCGATAAGCAAGAATCTTGACTTAGAAAAGAAGAAACACGAAACTGAAGCCCGCGCGGTAATGCTTGACATTTCGAGCCAAGCGATCTGGCTTCCTTCAGTTCCGAGTTATCAGATACACTCAAGGCTCGATTGAAGTGGAGGACCCATCACTTTGTTGCACGGAAACTGTCAGATTGCTTCTGACGCCTTTTTTGTCAAGACTAAGGAAAGCTGAAGACGACGGTTTTCAGAAGTAAGGACTTTTCAAATTAAAAATTTGACTCAATTGAAAACTCTTTTTTGGAAACTCCTAAAATTCTGAAGCCGGTTTGAGTCTATTTATGATAGTAACTTATTAACATTATCTATAATGAGCAAGTTGGACAATAACTTGGAGAGCATGACAATGCAGGTTCGCGTCATCAATTAATTTTTACGACAAAAGCTTCTCGCGATTTTCTCAAAGGGCGTCCGGCTCTTTTCCAAAATTCAGGATAGAGAAGAGAAAAACAAGAGAAAATGAAGCTTTTTCCCATTTTTCTTTTCGCCTTTTCTTTTTCACAAGATGATACTACTACGACAAGAGCAACAACCACTACAGAAAAGACAACTACGACAACCACTGCAGAAAAAACAACTACGTCAACAACAACAACAATAACAACAACAACAAAGTCAGATGATCAAACAGAGAAACAAACAACTACCACAACGACTGCGACAACAACTTCTACCACGACAACCACAACCACAACCACACAGACTTTCGAGCCACATGAGATGACGATCCCTGAGCAGAAATGTTGGGTAAGAATCCTTTAAGCTGCTCAACGAAGAATATGGCTAAAATATCATTTGTTAAATTTGCTTTAGAATTTTAAAATATTTTTTAGATGACAGAATTGGAAAGCTACGCAACAGGATTCTGCATCAAAAATACTCAGCCGCATCATTGCAATTTTGACGAAACACAGCCAATCTACCCGCCGATTGTCACGCATATAGGCTGCAAAGAAGAACTGATGAGTGGAGTTTCGAGATTGGGAATTTCAGTTTTCTTCACTTGTCTTTCGATCCTCATCGTCATCTTCATCAACTGGCGATATGAAGAAATCATATGTAAGCAACAAAAACGCCTCTTTTCTCAATCATTTTTCTAGCTTCGAAAGCGTACACCTATGCTCGAGTGGCCTTGATTCTTCTTGTTTCTGTAACGATCGTGGCGACCTTCATTGGAATGAAAAATAATGAGCCGCTTCATCGAAGAGTCCCTTCAGGAATTTTCTCTGCCGTTATGAGCGCTTTCTCTGTCCTCCCTGCTGGATACATGATGTTTTTGCGAGCCGAAGCAAGACATGTATAGAACAAAAATATGACAGTTAGAATAAAAATGATGATAATTTGATTTTCCACTATTTTTCTTCGTTGGAACAAAGGCAATTTTCATTAGCAATTTCACGTTTTTAGAGAAGATCGGTCGTCTTGTTGACTAATGAGCTCGGGTTTTCCTGCTTAGTTCAACTAACTATCGGCAGTCGTTAGTCAAGCGATAAGGCCCAATCCTCAGTTGCATCTGATAACGGCACACTGCTCAGTCCATTTTCGGCAAAAGTGCATCTGTTATCTTATTAGCTCGTACATGCATTTCCGTACCGTTTTTAGCGGTTAAATAGTGTATTCTTCAAGGCAGTCAAAATAAAATATGAGTTCGTTAATGAACCAAGGTCAACCTTTATTTTATAGTTTTTTTTAATCGCTTGGAATTGTCTTATTAAAAAAATTAAAATGATATAATCTTGCTAAATTAGAGTGTTATTTTTTTAATCAATTTTGTTCGCTCAGACGGAAAGATAATAATTTAATTCATACTTTATGATCTCTATCTTTTTTTTAATAAAAAAATAAAGAAATTATGAGATTATATTTTTCCCGATAAGGTCGATTTTCTTACACGCTGTTTGGTCATAATTGCTTTCAAGATTCTTTTGTTTTATTTTGTAATGAAACAAACTTTGCTTGGTCTTTTCTTTTCATGGAGCATACAGAAATGCACGAGCTCTTGAAATGACTCAAATACAGCATCGAGTTCTATTCGACATTTTTACGTCATTCGCGAAATTCTTCCGACCCCGCGATAGGGAGGCTGAGTTATTTTGCGGATTTTCGACTATTTCTAAACCGATTTTCGTAAGCAAACTTCTTATTTACCATTTTCCCTCCTGAAAGTTTGAAAATTCCTTATCATCAATTTTCCAAAACACGAAAAAACTTCTCAGATAAGTCTAAAGATAGCAAAAAGCGTAAGTAACGTTGTGACAAAATATTTTTAATCCCTAAAGCGCCTTCTCTTGGGAAACTTTCAAAGCCCCACCCCGTACTATGTATATCCCCTATTATGTTGTCTGATCTTCTTATCAGCCCAATGTTGGCACCAAGGGCCCGGGCTCTTATCGGCCTCTAGTCACTAGAGTCTAGTGCGGCATGCTGACTTTTGGTGCAATTTCAAGGAAGAGGGGGACATTCAAACCGATTATTTTCAACATAAAATTCAAAATCAATTAGGATTTGAAAATGATGGATTGTTCAGAATAATTACTTCTTATCTTTTGAATAAAATGGTGTAAAAAGATAAAAGGTATTGCGATTTCAATATGAAAATTATCAAGATAAGCCTCAATTATTCGGTATCATTATCTCAATTAGAGAATAAAATGAATAAATTTGATATCAAAAAACAGCTTTTGAACCGGCAAAATTTTCCAGATAATTCTTCAAATTACAAACATATTTTCAAATGCGCCAAAAGTTCATTTGCCCGTTTTTTGCCCAATTTCTGGAACCTGGAAATGTAAAGTGAGCTAGAAAAAATGATAAATTCGATGATCGAATCGTTCAATTTGCATAAGACGGTGATGCAAATCCTTGCTCTTCGACAAACTTGCTGCGGTTCTCCGGTGACAGATCAGACAGCAGTCAATCAAAAAACAAGATGCCAAGTCTGCTCACAAAGTTGCTCAACCCGCTGTTTGAATTTCCAACAGTGATGGATAATCGGCTCAAAAAGAAGAGTCCTTTCTCCAGTAAAAAAGGGGGAATAGAAATGTCCTTTGTTCTTCCGCTTCTTGTTCAGGAGAAATTATGAAGGAAGGGGAGGAAAATCCGGTTCTGAAGTGAGCTAACAAGGGTCACTCGTTGTCGAGAAAAGGTTAAATCCGCGAGATTGCGTGAAAATTTGATTCGAGGATTATGAAACAAAAGCTCTTTTTTTAACTAAATTTTGGATAGTTCAAAAAGTTCAAGTTTTTATTAAAATTGACGATTTTCTTCCCGAAAAAATATCATTTTCGTAAAAAATAAGGGCGTCCCTTCGTTAACCTAAAAAAGGGCTTGAATACAATCTGTTCTGCTGAGAGCTCTGCTTGTAATTAATAACCTCGGTGCACGTTTTTGAACCTCATCATTTTCAGCTCCTCTCTTTTTTTAATCAATCGAAATTGCCGATTCCGGTATTACTTTTCACTCTCTTCCATCATTGTTTGTTCAAAAATTTGATGAAAACAAATTCATGTTGCAGATAAAATGACACGTGTCTGGACTCATCTTTTTGATCCTGAGAATCAATTTTCTCGAATAAAAAAATTCTGCAAAAATTCGAAAAATTTAATCACAACTCTCTTCAAATATGCATGAGAACTAATTCACGTGAAGCCGCAATTATTTCGCCAGCGCTTCGAAAATTGAAAAAAGTCGGTTTCCAAAATAAGGGGGGGACTAATTTCTGGAACCGGTCGAATTTTAATACACGTAAGGGAAACCGAATACTGTATTCGGAATACATCCCACGAAAAGCGATAAGGGTTTATCCCTCGCTCAAACCGTTGATTGATGAAATAATCGACTGGTGCAGCTTCGGCTCATCGCATCGATAGTTCCAATTAGTTCCAATTAAAACCATGGAAAGAACTGAAGATAAATAATTTAATCATATTGTTTATCGAACAGATTGTCTTTGAAAATAATCCCGCTAGAATGATTTGCCGGCATTTTTAATCAAAGTTTTCTTCTTGGCTCATTTGGTTGATAGGTAATTTGATACGGCATTAATCAGCCATTTATTTTGAAGATAACTTTTTGGTAAAATTAAAATGAAGAATATTTAACCGGCTACGGGTAGTTGAAGTTCAAGTTTTGAGCTTTTATAAATTCGAGAGATCTTGATTGAGTTAGTCTTGTGCGTAGATAGAGCATCAAAGAGAAGTCTATCAGTCTGTAATATCTGCTACAGTAGGAGAATATTTTTTAATTGGCCTCCCTGATCTGGCTCGCTGACAATAGAGTAAAATTGATAGGATATCAAAGATGCTTGTCTGCCGTTAGAAAGACACATTCACAGGCTGTCTGGAAACCAGTGGAGAATTAACCGACGATTATCTTTTCGGACGAAAGAGTCTTGAGAAGAAAATTGGAGAATATTTTTTATATAATCATAATGTTTCTTCTGATGAATATTTGGGAGAGCGGCTCGAATCAAATTTAAGACCAATCAGATTTGCTCTTTCGGCCGGTTGGCCAATCAGATTTCACTTAAAATAATTGTAGCAAAAACATGATTTATTGGACATGAAAATGTTATAATTTTCCACTGAAATCCAACCTGCCGAAACGACCAAATCAAAAAAGAAGCTTTTCAGTCTTCTCGAAAATTTCAAGGAGCGCCCAACCGACGGGCCACTTGACGCGATCCCAACACTGGTCCTTTTGAAGCACCAAGGGTTCGACACTTTTGTGGAAAAACGCGTTAACACGCAATTATCCGAAATTTTACCGTCGATTTTTCGTTTCATCCAGATCCTTGACGGTCGAGTGCGATAAGAAATTTCTGGTCTGCAAAGCGTAATATTGTTGTTTGCTGATTGCCAAAGTGCAGGAACGAGCTTATCAATTGAATTTTGTTTATTGAAAATTTTTATTTGAATAATTTTTTTTCAAATTGCTAAAAAATTTTTTCCGATCTTTCTTCTTTCACGTTTTCTTCTTCCTTTTTCAAAGTTCCTCTTTTGGCCACTTGTATTTGATATAAGGTGCTTTCGCTTGATCCTCCGTCAACTTTTCTGAGTGTCCTTGTTTCCGGAAAAATCCCTGCGACTTCAGTAGATCGATCAGCTTCTTCAAAAACCTGTCAAAAAGTGGGTTCAAAGCAATATTTCATACCTTCTCGGGGAAGTTAGAAATATCCATTTCGACCAGAACATCCTTAATCCGCTTGTTAATCCCTTAGTACGTGGTTTTTCAAATCCGAGCGGAAGGGAAAATCCCTCTCTTTGGTTCATACCTTGTAAGAATTGTGGAACTTGATAACAAGCTTGCTTGACCCGTGATTATCTTTAAATCCAAAGTTTTGCCAGAGGTCCAACTCGTTTTTCACGAAATCTGGCAGCTACGGCCTTGGCTCGGCAACCTGTGTGGAAAGCCTGAGTCAGGGTCTCAAAGATCCTTATCGAAAATTTCGACTCGACAAGCCGCGTTGTTTGAGCCTTCGTTTCGCGGCTTTTCGGGTCGAAAATTTCGATAAAGATCTTTGAGACCCTGACTCAGGCTTTCTACACAGGGTGCGGAGCCCGGAGCTACGAAAACAGTAAGAAACAGTACTCAGAACTTCCCCTACCCAGATATTACAATTTTTGCATCCTTCAATCCACGCGCCGGCAATCTCTGTTTCTTCTGGCGGCAGCTTACTCTTTTTTCTCCTGCTTCTTATCTTCCCTTTCTTTTCAATATTTTCATTCGCCTCTTTCTGCGCGAAAACAGTACCCAGGTTTATTACAATAAGTGATAGAAGGAGGATAAATTGCCGCATTGCGGGGAAGTTACTATCGCACTAAAAGTAAAATGAAAGGCGAAAGAGAGAGGCGAACCGGACTTTGGTGATTTTCGCAGGAGTTGAGGATCCGGGAAGATGACTCAGCAAAACTTAAACTGATCAAATCCCTCCATTCTAGAGCGGGCAAAGGGTTCTGCATTCTTTAAGGGGAGCCTCAGCCAATCAGAAGCGAGTATTTTTCCTTCAGCCAATAAAAAGACAAAAAATTTCCCACCTACATATTTTTCAGCCAGATTTAATCTGAGATTTGAGTCTTCCATTTTTGTTCAAGGTTCAAATGAATAGTTATCATTGATAACAAAAATTTCAAAAGAGGTGCTTTCGGACAATATTAAACGCTTCACAATGTCGATAAGAACAATCATAAAGACACTATCTTTCTGACAGATAAACAAGTCAGCCTCAATCATATCCAATTCGTCCTGAAATGATAATGAAAATTATCTTCAAAGAGAGTTTTTTATCACTAAATAGGTGTTTTCTTCGATATCATTTTTTGTTAAGATCGAAAAAGTAAGTTAACCACAAATGTTTAAAATTCTTTTTCTTTTGAATCTGAAATTTCACAATCTATCCGCTTCGAAAAAAAAAATCGGGCTGAGATCAAACCGCCACTATGTTATCTCCTTCTGACCACATAGCACACTTCGCATATAAAACATACCACGCTCAGCCCCGACAGAGGGATAACATGCTCCTTCGGCGAAAGAACCGTGAAGTTCGGTCTCTCTTTCGTAATCCGATTATCGAACTTTTTAATGAAATGATTGATTCGGCGAAAAATCATGGGAACTTCAAACAGGAGGTGACTTGACTTGCTTTCTTTGAATTCTCTTCCTTTCAAGTGCTTCAAAATCAACAGCATCGGGGGGATGCTTCTTGAAATTCTTGAATCAAAACTGAATCCAGGGTGAAAGTTCAACTTACAGGCCTTCGTCCTTGGGTCGGCAAACTGTGCAGAAAACCTGAGTCAGGGTCGGAAAAAATGCTCAGATGAAAAGCCGCTACGCGGCTTTTTCTTTAAACGAAGCCTCTAAGCGGCTTCGCAAATTTTACTTTTTCAATCATCCAAAAAATTTTGGCGAAGCCGCTCCGCGGCTTTGTTTATAAGAAAGCCGCTATGCGGCTTATTATTTAGGGATTTTCGAAACCGACTTAGGTTTTCCCGCCGAGCCCAGCCTTCATAAATGCAGTTAAATCTGGCTCAAAGGGTTCAAAAAGTGAGGAAACGGCACTTGAGATAATCCGGTAACCTTTGAGCGACCCTAAACAGTTTGCACAATACCAACTTGTAAGGCTTTTTCGAGGTCTTTGAAGCTTTTGTGTTTCTCTTAAGAATTATGTGGGATGAAAAATTTCTAAGGAAATCCGAAAAAATGAGGAATAAATTAAAGATGAAAGTGAATTTGCAGCGGATTTATGCAAAGAGTGAATGTTTTTAAACAATTAATTCAAAGCCCGCGGAATTTGTCATTTGTGATGTCGCGAGCTCGATTTTGTTCAAACAAAGACGTCGAAAAGCTCAACACCTGGAAAATCCAATTCCAGATCCTTATTTTTATAATCAATCTTTGTCAAAAAACATCCTGCAAAATAAAACATATATGCATAAAAATTCATCAAACAAAAAGTAATTTTTTTATAAATGAAAAAATAATTTGTTATTTTATTAGAAATTAATCAGAATAACAATAAATAGGGGAAGTACTGATTTTCTTTTTCAATCTTTGAGTCCAAATTGAAGCTGGAGCTGACGAATTCTTCGAGCTCGGATGCCACCATCGGAGACTAAAAAATCATAATTGAGGTTGAGTTCGGCTGACAATCTAACCAGAAATGATAGTGCGCTCTCGAACAGCAAGCCCAAGACTCAATTTCGGCGCATCGAGAGAGCAGTACGTATACGGCTGGCGAATTTCGTCCGAGTTTCCACAAGAGCACTGGAATCCTCCGAGTGGAAGACGGATCACTTTCTACAGAAACTTCTATAGAGATCTTATTGTACTAAAAGTTGCTTACGAAATTATGCTCGTCATGCTTTGAATGCATAAAACAAGCGGGGCAGATGTACATGTTGCCGTTTATGTCACAGTCCCGGCAGAACATGACCATGTCACCACTGTTCAAAATAACATTGCAGCCTAAACTCAGTTATTCATCCTCAGCATTCAACTTTTTAAGGATAGTACCTCCCATTTTCAAGAATTTTCCAGAAATCTCTTGAAGCTCAAATGAGCTCGAACTTTCCGACTAAGAAGAATATATAAACGCCCTTTTCCTACATTCAGGAAAAAAAGAACTTTCGAAAACACCTTGATATTTAATCACGTGTTCCAAAATGCGCAAAGGCATTCAAAAAGAAAGAATCATAAAATGATAACAAGACCCTTAAAATCGCTAAATTTGCAAGTTTCTCCAGTTTTGACGATCTTAAGGGTATAGACATCGATTTTTGTCGGATCTCCAATTTTTATTCTGACCACATTGCATCTTGCATCTTGTGCCCAAGCAGCTTGATGAGCGAGTACTTTTTCGAGCCCCAGAATTAAGCCTTTCCGTGTGGTGAAAATATTAACCTAGGCAAAAATAATTACCGCACGAAAGTCTCACGATACCGCGGCTCAAGGTACGACCCAAAACCAAACGTTCATTTCGACGAAACAAAATGTGTTTTTCGAAGTTAAGCCTAATGCAATCTTCGTCCGATAAGGAAGATTTGCTTTGGAGTAGGGTCAACGCCCGAAAAAGTGAAATTTCAAGCAAAAAATTTGTTTTCAAAAAGTGAGACTTTGACTCATTATCTCCTTTTTTCTGATTATTTCTTCAGCCAACTCGGAGTACGTAAGTCGCTGGCTCGCGTAACTAACCCTTTCAATCGTAAAAACTAACACTGTCGTCAGGCGCCCTGTTCTAAAATCAATTTCGCACGGCTCCATTTGACCAGATCATCGCGATTCTCGAAAAAGGATTTGCAAAGGAGCAAAGTTATCACAAAAACCAGATTCCAAGGAAAATCATTTAATCTTGATCAGCTTTACAGCGAATTTTTGAACTCTTCAATTCAGTATTATCAATCAAAAATGTCATGAGAACGGGTCGAAAACCTGTGAAGAAAACCTGAGTCAGGGTCCCAGAAAACTGTTCATAAAAGCCGCATATCGGCTTATTTTTCAACGAAGCCGCGCAGCGGCTTTGCAAGAATTCAAGATAGAGATCAAGAGGATTATTACACAGACCCAGACTCAGATTTCTACACAGGTTTCTGTCCTCTTTCTCCTGAAAGCCGACTTCTCATAAGAAAAGTCCAATATTGAAATAATTTCTACAGATTCTTAACTCCGCAACTGGAATCAAAGCCACGTCAACTCTAAGGGCCAACCGATGGTGGATAAATCGGCGATTCACCAATCAGTGGCGGGCGTCATGATGACGTTTCGACAATTTTCGAATTCCAGTTGCGGAGTTAAATTTTCTTTTAAAACCTGGATTTTCTCCTTTCTACCTAATGCTTCGGATATAAACTCCCTCTTTCTCCGAACACATGCTCCTCCAGCCGATTTTCCTAATTCACGTAACTCCACCCCACTTCTAGCGTCACTTGATAATCCCATTGCTGCAAATACTATCGGAAACGGCCGCTCCTATCTCTTCCCAGCCCGCTCGCGCCACCTAGTCCGTCGCTATCGTCAGCGCGAGAGTCTGACTCTGTCGCGATCGCTCAGACTTTTCCGCTCAACAGCGCCACCGCCGGAAAATGGCCGCGCTCAAAATTTCCTGCTGATTTTCTTCTTTTCTAAAAAATACACTTTTTTGAGTAGAAAAAGACACTTATTATATAACAGAGAATTCGCAAATAGAAAACTAGAGATTTAACCTGTTTAACCCGCCGCCGCAGAATTTTCGTCTCGCCCACGTCGTGTTTAATTTTATAAATTTAAGTCGTTATATATTTTAAATAAGGAAAAATGTGTTGCATCACGTGGGACAGACAGAAAACAATCTGGGCGCTAAGAATTCTATCAGAAGTGCTTTTCTGCTCAGGAATGGTATCTGTTGTTGCTGCCTTCACGCTTGGGGTAAGTGAGAATTTCCAAAACACACGATTTTGACGACAAGATTTTGGACTCGAGTTATTTGGAAAACCAAATTTTTTGATACTTAGGAGCACATCAAAATATTTGAGTTGAGGGCCAAAAAACGGTGAATTTTGGTCTGAAAATCATTCATAAACAAGAGAGTCGGGGCTTTTATACAAACAAAGCCGCAACGCGGCTTTGCAAAATATAGCTCCATGTTATTTTTTGTTTTATTGATTGGTCAAAAATTTGTTTAGTTTTTGATCAAAATTTTCGAATTTTTGGTGAAAGCTAAGATACCCTTATTTTCGACTCATGCAACCTTAAAATAAGGGTATCTCAACTTAAATTCTATGAAAAAAGTCATGTCAAATCTGGATTGTAATATTACCCAGGATAGAACTTTTATTGCACATCATAATTTTTTATGCAACATCCAAGAATGCCATCCCTCCCGAAAACAAAAATAATTCTTCATTCTTCAAAATTATGGTTTGAAAGTGGCAATCCGTTAGAACTCTCGTTCAGCTGCCACATTGTGCCTATCTGCATAATTCCGCCAAATTCGATCTTTTCTTTCAATTTTTTTGCAAATTGAAACTTTGAAAACTTTCGAAAGAAAGCCCAATTCATCTTTTACCACGTAAGAGGTGCTCTAGAACGTCTCCGGCCGCGGTTTTACCCGGTGCGAAATTTCTGATTGCGCTGATTTATGGTTTGATTAATAGTTTTTTGAACAGTGTCCAGATTTGGGGCGATTAACTCGCCGCGACCAGAGTTTGGTTTCTCTGACGAGGGAAGAAAGAGGCGCAGAAATTCGAGAGATTAGATAGTCCACAAGATTCGCGAGATTATCTAATTTTTAATGATGCTTGGAGAAAATTGAATTGAGCTTTTTGATTGAAAAATTTAAAAAAAAAATATTTTTTTGAAAAAAAATGCAAGAAGATAAAAATTAAAAAACTTTCCCAGCAACAAAATCGCAGCGAAAAAAATCTTGGCTCACTGAAAAAAAAAGATTCCAAACGAACATTCTTTTGGCGGAGAGCTCGGTTTTGGAGATCCGCGAGTTAGAACACGTTGAGCCAAGAGGAATGCATATTTTTGCGAAAGGGTCTTATTTCGGAATTTGCGCCTCGAAAAGGTGAAAATGGGAAAGTGGCCCGACGGTCGGAACTTGTGCCCGGGCGGGATTCCTTGTTTTTCATTTCTATAATTATAAGTTGGACTCAGAAACCTGTGTAGAACCCTGAGAAAGGGGTCTTTAAGATCTATAATAACAAGCCGCAAAGCGGCTTTTTTTTAATACGAAGCCGCTTAGCGGCTTTTCAAAGCAATATTTACAGTGATTTAAGGGTACTACCTTTGATTTCCAGAATAATGAAAAAATTCCGTTCATTCGGGCAATCGAAGGTAGTACCCTTAAATTCAATAAGCGTTAAGTTCTTGCGAAGCCGCTTTGCGGCTTTCCATTCAGGATTTTTTGGACCCTCATCTGGTTTTCTATATGGGTTGCCTAGTCCAGAAGTCACGTGATAAAACAGGCTTGAAGGGAAGAAATTATTATTACGATAATTCTAAAATAACCATTTTTGGATAAGAGCACGTTGCTTCCGTATTTTCAATATTTAGCGATAAGCAAGCTAATTCAAAGGCTGAAAAAACTCCGTCTTTTTTTTCGAAAAATTTGACTCTTGAACTCGGGATTTCTAGAGCTTCAATCATCCCCTCTTTTTTGAAAAACCTCCAGCTTGAAAAATACACAGGGCTTACGTAAGCTCTAAGAACAATATTTTCTCAAAGCGGTAAAAAACGCGCACGAGCGTGATAGTTAACAGATTTGATAAGCGTTTTAGAGCTCTAGTAACGGATCTTTGAAGTTGATATCTGATGGAAAATTTACTTTCCAACCCTTCAAAAAAGTAGCTTCAATTGCCGAGTATCTGCAAAATCGGAGTTTTCAACTGGAAAATTATCCAGCTATCCGAATAATTATATCTTTGTTTAAGGGTACTCTCTTCGATTTCCAAAAGTACCAAAATATCTGTCAGTTCCTGACTCAGGTTTTCTTCACAGGTTGTCGAAAATTTTCTTTTAAAATAATGTTAATTTCAACAACTTAAAATAACAAGAAAAACATCGCGAAATCGTCTTTTTGACCAAAATTTCTCGTCAATAAGTTGTCCAAATCGTTGATTAATTACTAATTAGTTCGTTCCAGTACATATATCAACCAGTGGATCAATGTTTTTTCTGGTCTATACAACCTGCCATAAAAATACAACAGAAGTCGACAGGACGCTGCCCAATTTTAGCAGAAATTTGCGTTCCCCGATAAGAGTAGAGTTAAGGGCACCCCGTGAGAAAATATTTTGTAACTTGTCAAGAAGATAATGGAACAAGAAAACAGAAAAGAAAAGGTTCATTTTAGAGAAAAAAGCAATCAACAAAATATGCAGATTTTTTCTTGAGAAAGAAAAACGATTGCATAATTAAAAAAAAAATTCTCAAAAAAAAATCCGAAAATCATCATTTTCTGAAAAAGAAATGAAAAAGGCAAACAAAGCTGTTTAGTAAACAAAAAGATTCTGACGGGAACGGGGCTCTGAACTTTTGGCAATGTGGGAAGCAAAAGGTCTTTCCGAGAAAATTAACTGTCCATGTAAATGGAATTTTCGACATGCCCAGCACCGCCCGTTCCAGCGTTAATTCGGCGGGAAATTGTTATAAAATAGAAGTTTTAAGGACTTGCTCAATTAACAACTTTGGCTCAAATCATGAAAGTGCTCTAAAAGTAAGCTCAGAAGGTAAAGAAGCCGCAAGAATTTATCCAGCGGCGCGGGGCTAGAAACGCGCAACCACAGCACGAAACTGATAAGAAAAAGGAAAGAAACCGTAGTCGCGGGAGTAGTTATATCACTCGTCAGTAATCCCTGGTTCGCGCATCTAAATCCGCAGCCGAGCCCAACAGCTGAGAGAGGCGATAAACGGACAAGTACAGCTCCAGTAACAAATTAGCTAACAGATAGGCTGCTTTAACTTTTTAGGCGATGGATAATTGAGGCGACACTGGAAAAGTCGGCGAATGTCACCGAATATCGCAAAATGTCGCAAAATGTCGCCAAATGTCGCTGAATGTCGCTGAAGATCACCAAATGTCGCTGAGTGTCGCCGAATGTCGCCCCTCATTTTCCGCGACATTCGGGAATATTTTTCGACATTCAGTGACATTCGGCGACATTTTGCGACATTTGGCGACATTCTGCGACTTTCCTAGGGCGCACCGATTATTGGATCATTAAAATGAGAATTTATTTCATGTTAAAATTGGCCTTCTTGTACAAAGAGATTTATTTTTGGAAATATGTAATTTTCCGTGAATTTAAGTGAAAATCCTTTTGAAGCATGAAATCTTCTAGCCTCTTGTAAAAATCTTGGCTCTTTTAAAAAAACCCGATTTTGTATTTTTCGTGTAGAAGGGATTTTGAAAACTCGATCAAATCGTGCCAAAACTAAGCCTGTTACAGGAAACCGCACTCCATCAGCGCGCGTGACGCAGGCTTTTTGCAACTAGTTTTTTCAAACTAGAAAAAGAAAAGCTCCAGAGCTGGTAAAAGGATGCTGGAAACACGATTTTTGCGATTGATGAAATTGAGTTAGATTTTCGCGACAACGCCAATCCCGGCGGTGTTCACGAATTAGATTTTTCGGGGATACGTGGGCTTTCGCTGATTTCGCGCTCGTGAATTTTTTACTGAAATTTTTGAAAAATTTTGATTTGACAAAATTACTATACAAATAACGAAATGACTCAAAACTGACAAAAATAGCCTCTAAAAATAATGTTTTCTCCGATCGAAATTAAAGAATGCGCTGATTAACCAACCTTCTGGCCACAAAATGCTTTTCGATTTACACATTTAACTGGCGAGAGTAATTTTTCGAATTCGACGAGCACGATAATCGACAGCGATCAAGCCCCAGCCGACCACAGTGACTCGTGCTCTTACGCCGCCCGAGCCGCGAAAAATAGTTTTCGCCAAAACCAAAACTATTTTTTCTAAACGGAGATTATCCGTCTTGCTTAAACCTACAGTGGCTTCTTTGTTAATTTCAAGAAAGCCCTTGTTTGGGGCAAAAATTGAGATAACTGACGTGTTCAATGAATTTTTGAATAAAAAAGTGAAAGCATTTATTCCAAAAGAAAACAGAACAAGAACCTCTTGACGCTTTTGAAGCTCTAGAATCAGCGATCAATCTTCTTTTCCTTCGTTTATAACGACGTGCTTCTTCAACTGGCTTCGCATATCCACCTGTTTGCCCTTGTTGCCAAGCAGAGTCTTCATCATTTGAGCGACAGTGACCTTTATTTTCGATGAAAAAGAGCGAATTTAACAATTCAGAAAAGAATCAGCACTTTCTACTTTTGGATCGAAACATTCCATTTTATGTAACAACCAGGGCTTAAAAAAGCTGCTGTGGGAAATCTACATCTAAAAGAAGAAGCATGTCTTGGTTAGCTAATCGCCCTGTTATCACCGATTCCTTGACACGTTTCAGCGCTGGCTTCTTGAATTTCGCTAAAAAAGCTGCAATTTTTCGTTTAAAAATATCAAAAATGATGATTCATCATCGAGGAAAGGGGTTAGGGTTAGAATGAAAGAGGGGTTAAGGCAAATTAACCCCCCGCCGGCGGTGTGGATCAAAATTTACCTTTGATATCCTGAATTCGTTTCTGGAGCTCTATAATTTCCCTTGCTTGTTTTTCATGTTTCGTCTCGAGATCGTACTTGTTGTCGTCGCATTTGTCGCACATTCCTTAAAACCGCCCGTTTTAAAAATTTTGAATTTCCGGACTCCTTTGCTAATTCCCGAATTAATCTTTCGACCCCGCCTTATCTCTCTCCTACCGTGCAAATCTCGGCAGAGCTGTTTCAGCGCTTCCTCGTCCAGAGAATCTAAAAGAAAAAAGGATTTGAAAGTTGAAATAATTGAAAAAGGGGCTTACCAAGATCGGGGAAAGCTGGGACTCGCTCGGCAAGAGCAGCTTCTCGTTTCGCCTGAGCTTCTTGTTCTCGCTTGGTGGCTTCGTCGAGGGCCCATTTGATCAAGGAGCATTTCTTCATGGGGTTTCGTAAAAATGGATTTATGAAATCTACTATTCCGAAAATTCTCTAATAGTCTTAAAATTATATTTTATTTATTTGTTATTTTTAAAATTTTATTCATGAAATTTATTAAAATATGAATTTTATTATTCAAAAATTTTGTTAAGAAATAATTTTTTATTATATAAAATAAACAATCGATTCCAAATTCTTATTTTTGATTTTCGAAACCTTCCAATTGTTGCATCCTCAGCGGCGAAATTCGCTGGTCGTATGGCAAACTCATCTTTCTTCTTCCCGCCATTTTTTGTTCTTCTTTTTTCTTTTCTCCCTAAAAATCTTAGTGACCAGCATCTGGATGTTTTATCTTTTTCTTCCAATTTTCGATGATTGGACTGATCATCTCATGATCGAATTTTTCACAATTTTTGGAATCTTTTTTGTAAATTTATTTTTCCATTTTTAGAAAAAAACTGGCAGCTGCTGATCCACTTTTCTAAGTCGGATAGCTGCTCTGGGTTTTAAGGAGAGGCAGGCTGCGTCTTCTCTAAGCTGAGGCATAAAAAATGAGGGATTATGAATAAAGCCGCGAAAGTGGTGGAAATCATTTACGCGTCTTACGAGTGGTAATTAGAGCTGAGCGTGAGAAGTTGCCCGAGATGATAGCTAAGGGACTCTACTCTCGAACTCACGTGGCTTTTTCGACTCACGTGTATACATTTATAGAAACCTTGAGATTTCTAGAGCTGATCAAATCGGGATTATTGGTCATAAAAGTGGGTCAAAAATTTTGACTCAAAACTATCAATCGAGAAGCCGTTTGCGGCTTCGAGCGAAACAACGGTTAAAGCCGCACAAAGCGCGGCTCATATTTTGCTTCTCGAAGCCGCAAGCGGGTTTTTGACTCGAAATTTCGACATATTTTACGAAAGACATAATCTTACGAAAATATCAAAAAGTTAAAATACCTTATGAAAATCTCTCTTTTCCTCCTCAAAAGGGTCAAAATCGAAGTCCTTTGCCGCGCGGCGGCAATAAAGGAAGTTGCTAGGTTTGAGCTATAAACACCTGCTGCTGGATTAGGCTGGTTAAAAATCGTTTGACTCCTCCGCAAGATCACGAGTAAATTTACTTCTTCGACGTTTGGCGACAGTATTAGGACATATATCACTCATCGCTTCTCAATTATTTTATTGGCCCTTTTTTCTGTAAAAATTTGGGATTAGGGTTATTCTAAGGTTTAAAATTTGAGGGCTTTTGAGGCGAAAAATGGGTCGAAATTAAATATTTTGAGTTAAAAATTTCAGTTTTTACAAAAAATTGCTCCAAAATTATTTTTTAATTTTTTAGAATTTTTTTCCAAAAATTAACAAATTTATTTTAGCAAGGATCCTGGAACGTCTACTCCCTCGTCGCCGGCCTCTGCCTCTTCCTTTTCGCCGCCATCTGCTTGGCCTCCAGCTTTTGTATACAGTAAGTTTGAAGTTAGCCCCTTGAATTAGAAGAATACTGATCGTTGCGAATTTAGAATTCAAGACTCGAAATCTGTTCATAAAAAGCTGCGGCGAGTTTTTTCCGAAAATATCTTCCTCCGTTTATTTGTCAGAACGGTGAATTTCTCACCACTAGAGATTCAACACGGAACCGAAAATTGCTACCTCACGTGATTCTTTTCGAGGCTAGAATTGTATATCTAACCGGTTTGATTTTTTCTCCTTCCGTTGTTGACTTTTGTTTCCATTAGAAATAAGTTTTGATATTTATTTGAGACCTAAGACAGGTCTGAAAGTTTCCAAATGAAAAGCCGCGTAGCGGCTTTTTCAAAGACGAAGCCGCGAAGCGGCTTTATAAGAACTTTCCGTTCCTGAGTCAGGAATCCTGACTCAGATTTTCTACATTTTGTTTTTCCCATCAATTTTGTAGAAAAACTGAGTCAGAATCTAAAAGCTATGATAAAAGTTGTTACTCAAATCCTGACTCAGGGTTTGAACTCACAGGTTTCTGCGCTCATTTTCGGTGAGAGTTGTGTCTAAAATCCACTTTCACGGGTGGTTGACTTATGCCACGTGTGTCGGAAAAAGAATGCAAGAAATGTTCTATTTTTTATCAAAAAATTCCCCACCTGCTCTTTTCTACTCAACCTTTTTTCTTTCCTTTATGAATTTTTTAGTGATAATTTTTTTGGAAAGGATTTCTGGAAATTATGACTTCTTCTTGTCTTGTCCGACAAAAAGAATCAACCGCGAAAAAATGTCCGACAAGAATCAGATAATCAAGATGAGATTACCTTAGTTCTCATTTCTCATTTTGCAATTTTTGAATTCAAAAACTGATCTTAGAAATTTTCGATTCAAATTTGTAAACTTCGATCTTTGGCAAATTTCATGGCTAGTAAGACTAAGTGATTCAATTGCGGAAAAAGCAGGAAACCGATCACGTGATTGCCGAGATTTCTAGCGACGAGCTTCTATCAAAAATTAATCCAAGAGCCAAAATAGTCCTTTGATTTCTTGTTGCGCCAACACACGTTTTTTTGGGAGTCCCAAAATTGAGGGCGAAATCGGCGTAAAAATCAATCCCGGATTGGCCGAATTCCGGTTTTCCGAAGAAATCGCAGGAAAAGTTCGTCTTTTTCAAGTTGATCTGACCGAGATCAGCCCAGGTCAAGAATGGGTAAAAGTAAGGCTCGGTTACCTGTATAGAAAACCTGAGTCAGGGTCCTTAAAGAGCTTGATTGAAAGCCGCATAGCGGCTTTTCTAAATATAAAGCCGCAAAATGCCTTCGGCAAAATGACCAGTTGAATGTGTCGCGAAGTTTTGAGGACCCTGACTCAGGTTTTCTACACAGGTTTCCGAGCAAAAAACAAAAACAGTAAAACGAGACAACGTAAGACTAAGACGCTCCAGGTGAAAATTAGTTGCACAAATCGTGAATTTTAATTTCGCCTCTGAGAGTTTCCACTCCAAAGTCGCCGTTTCTAAAAAGAGCGGCGACATTCGACATTGTCAAAATTGAAAATTGCGACTTTGAGATGTTCTAATTTTCAAAATTTCGTTACCTTCCTCGCGCGGAAATTAAGGGGCTCTCGCTGTTTTCGCAACATGAACAAATTGACGGTTGGAGAGATGCACAAATCGATGATTAATGGACTTTTTACGCGATGGATTGTGTATTAGAAAGATGTTCATTTTCTGTCGTTTAGATGCTTTTATGAAAAAAGTACAGAATCCTGAGTCAGGTTCATAAAAATTTTTATTGAAAAACCGTAAAATCGACTTTTGGCAAAGCCGCTTCGCGGCTTAGTTTTTAAAAAGAAAGCCGCTACGCGGCTTTTCATTAAAATTCTCTTGACTCAGGCTTTCTATACAGGTTCTTGAACCTGCTTTTTTGTTCTCTAACCCTAACCCTAACCCTAACCTCAACTAAATAATGAATGAAAATTCATTGCAAGAAAATCGAATTTTTCAAGCATTTTCAAAGAAATTGTTTTTGTCAAGTCATGTTTTTTCTTGACAAATGCGCGTCAGAATATTTTCAAACGAACACGTGATTACAAAAACTTGAGGCTTACCTTCTAACGCAGCTATCTCGGTATCTTGTCCGCCCAAATCATTTTTGTTTACGCTCAAACGAAAACAAACCTCGTCCCGCATTCAACAGCTTCTCAAAATAAGCTTTCTAGAGCAGAAAAAAACCACAGAGGAGGATTTTCGGAAGATTCGTTTTTTGGCAAAAGTGCTTTTGAAAATAATCAAATTCTTTTTTCAGCAGCGACGAAGCAAAAACAATGAAAGAGCCGGTGCGAACAATCACACTCCCCTCCGGCGCCGACTTTGAATCTTCCTTCGTCCAGTCCGTGATAAACGGACATCGCTTGGAAAGCGCCGATACTGGAAAACACAAGTTCCCCTCGATGAAATCAATCCCTGTGGATTCCCTCGCTACAGACACAGACACGGATAGATATTTTTGACTCGAATTTTTCAGCAAGCAGGAAAATTATAAAAAATATTCAAATTTTCATTAAAATAAATTATTTTCAAAAAAAAAAAAATCAAAAGAGGAAAAAGCCGCTTGCGGCTTTTACGAATTCTTCAAATAAAGAAACGCCGCGTGCGGCTCTTATTTTTAATGCTCAGTTAGAGCATTATTTTTTCAGTTATTTTGGAAGGCATCCTTTTCTAAAAAAAAAGCCGACTTCCCTTTATTAAATTGTTGTTTATTTTATTTTTGCATGGCATGTATCATTTCAATGCAGCGATCAGAGTGCGCAGGAAGCAAACAGGAAATCCCAGCTTTCCGTCACAGCGCATTCTTCCCCCGAGTGCAAGGGGTCCAAACTGCGCTTGATAAATAAAAATTCCTGATTTTCATCGGGAGAGTGGAGATTCTCCACTGGAGAATTATCCGTCAAGATCTATTGTCAATTTTAATAGTTTACTTCCTCTCTGAATAGTTTATTGCTGATATGTTATCGGAGACATTAGAACAAAAATGAAGACAATTTTCCGATCAAGAAATTTCGATCGTAATCAGGGACCATTATTTCTAAATTATCTGATTATTCATTATCCTGATTATCTCGCTCATTCAGATAATATTTGCCTTTGTCCACTTTTTTTCTACGATTTTCACCAAAGATGTAGATTCAGTCCATTCTTTTTATCGAATTGATACACATACCATGTGAGCTTTCTTTTTCAACTTTAATATAATTACTTTAATTATCTACCAGATAATTTAACATGATCGACTATGCAAAACATTCTTTAGTGATACAAACAAGCAATTCTAAAATATGATGGACATTTATGTTGATCAAACTTCAAATAGAAAAGTTGTTTCGAGCATTTTTGAACAAGTCATTTACTATCATATTTTGAAAACATATATTTTGGGCTCTAAAATGAACAACTTTCGTCGTATTTTTCCATTGAAAAAATTGAAAAACAGATTTTTGAGAATAATTTACAGCCCTTTACATACGGGTTTTAAATTAGATTTGATTTTATTTAACAAATTTTTGCTTAAAAAATCAACCTAAAAATGTTAATATCGAATCTAAAACCCTTTGAAAACAGGACAGGGTCTTAATTTTTTTCTTACTCGTTTATTTTCTCAAATCAAAGATCGTTTTTTCAAGGAAAGATTTTTTTTATTGACCCCCTAAAGAAATGGGCTAAACTTAGTTGTTTTAAACCTGGAGCATTTGAGCTTCGTCGATTTTTGACTCGCTGTTGATCATTTCAATTAGCCCATTGAAAGTTATCCAAATGTTGCTTCCAAAGCACGTCGCGCGAAGGTTATTATCATCTCATTTTTGTCTTCTCTAGCCCCTTATTTTCCTGAACCTCAAATCTAAACAAAGCTCTAGAACGACCGAATGGAGGTGATCAACGAAGATGACCAGATGAGCAATGCTAAGACAGCTTCTAAGTTGTCGGATTCAGGTTCAAAAACGCAGAAAAATCGCGAAAAAAGGCAAAAGAATGGAAATAAAATGGATTTTTCTAGCGTCGGATGAAGGATTCAACTCGGGAAATCAATCACCAGAGCCAGAGGAAAGTTCCAGAAGACGAGATCGAAGAAGAAATTTCAGAGACGGTGAGAAAGCTCAAAATAAGTCCATTTTTCGGATCAAAAATGACACTTTTCTGGACCGATTTTTTCAGAGTCGAAAAAGCGCCGCCGAAACCGAAAGGACAACAACCCAATTTCAAAGATCTAAGCTCCTGTTTGATGATTCTCTTCCATGATTCCAAAACTGGAAAAACGAAGAGCAGTAATTATCTTCTCCAAAATGTACAATTTCTACTTCTACTACTCGACAAGCAGCTAACTCGCACCAATCCAAGCAACGAAAAATCTAACTGTACATTATTCCTCTAAAAAGTATTTGATGAAAAACAAAGAAAATTTCATCAATTTTCTGTAATCAAAAGTGATCGCCTCTAGAATATCGAGAAGGCATCGAATTTCTAATAAAAGTTTAATTATTCTGTACCATAAAAAATACTCTTTCGTGTTTTTGAACTCGTAGTAAGGGTACGCTAAAGGGCTCTTTCTTTTTTTGCGAACTGGCTGTTATTTATTTGCTCGAATTATTGAGCAATTTGAAACTGTTAATTTCACGCTTCGTAGTCTTTCTGGTGCTAAAGAGTCGCGATTATATCTGTTAGATTCCGGTGAAATGTAATTAAATGTTTTCCAGAATTAGTAATTATGAACCAAGAAAAAGCCGAGGGCGATTTTTATTCTCAATATTTTTATGCAGATTATGCAGAGCATTATTATTTCAGCTACTTTGAAAGACACATTTTCTTTAAAAAAACGGAATACCCTTTTAAGAATCTTGGTTATTTTATTTTCGCGTTCGATTATCATTTCAATGCAGCGACCAGAGTGTGCAGAAAGAAGGCAGGAAATCCGAGCTTTTTTCCCCAACAGTTTTTGAAGGACAAAAATTACCTTATTTTCATCGGGCTAGCGTATTTACGCTTAAGCAGCTATTCCCTTTTTTAATTGTTTACTTCCTATCAATATAGTCTATTGCTGATACATTATCGTATATAATTATCTCGAATATATTTTACATTAAACCATTCAGGTAGAAAACAGGGACTTCTAATGTTCAGTTATCTTTGAATTATCTTGTCATTCTCCATTTCTTCTTCTATTATTTTTATATATTTATCGCAAATATTATCGCTGCAGTCTATGTTATAACCGCATTGATACACTCATCATGTGAGTCCATATCAAACGCGCTATGAAATATCGAGAGCTTACTTTTTCGATTAGTCTCCGTTTGCCAAAGTCGCCGTTTGCCCAAATTGAGAAAACGGCGACTTGGGCAAAAGGCGACATTGGCGAACAAGACCACTCTATTTTTTTAAATTACAGTTGGTTTCCTATTTTCCGGAGTCCACTTTTCCGGACAATTTTCAGATTTTAAGGCCTTTGAGTGGGACACTGCAAAATCGACGATGGTCCAATTTTCCGGACTTTTTTCAAATTTTATTGAGAGGTTATAATTTTTTTTGGGAAAATAGAGGCAATCGACGGCTGAATTAAATTCTTTTCGGGCGCAAGTGGACCTTGTTGGCGAGATTTCCATCAATTGTCAGAAGCTAAAAGTTTACTCCGTGGTAAATCGACTTTTAGACTGAAAAATGTCTGTTTCTCGAAAAAATTTAAGTAAACTTGGTGGCACATGCATTTTTATCCGGTGACAGTCACCGGGTGACCCATTTTTCCGGACATTTTTTCGAAGACCAGGGGACAAAATTTGTCCGGAAAAAAGGAAACCAACTGTACATATAATAACTGCAATCATCTGTCAGATCATTTTACAAACAAGCAATTAAAAAAAATAGACATTTCAATTAATAAATCTTCAAATAGAAAAGTTGTTCCAAGTTTTTTTGAACTTATCACTGACACATTACACTTATCATAATTCTGGTGTTTTATTTAAAAAAAATATATTGACATTTTTATCTCTTTTCATTCGTTTGAAAACTGAGAAATAGTAATCAACGAAGATGACTAGATGAACAATTGCACAGCTTTAAATTTGTCAGAAAATGAAATAAGATGAAATTTTCTAGCATCAGATGAAGGATATAAGTCGGGGATCAATCACCAGAGCTAGAAAAAAGTTCCAGAAGACGAGATCGAAGAAGAAATTTCACGACTAGAGTGCGACTAGAGGCAGGAGAGACTAGAGGAGGCAATTAAACTGTACAATTTGCGCACATTTCTTTTTTGATTGAAGGCGTCTTACGAGACGGTAATGAGAGGAGCTCAGCCTGTCGTAAGAGCTGCCCCCTATATCGATAGTATAGCATGCTCTCTAGCACCGAGAAGATTATGAAGCGTAAAAATAACAGTTCCAGAAAGCTATATAAATCGAGATCCCTGAACCTTCCAGCACAGACAATAACAGTCAGTTGAAAAAAGAGCCTTTTCAAAGGAAATCTTTTAAATCCGGTCAAAAATGATGAAATCAATGCTCTTTGGTCTCTTTGCCGTCGGATCCGCTTCTGTCGACCATTTCGGCAAGATCCGAATGCCTCGATTTGAAAAACTGGTCGGTTCGGAGGTCGATTTGGCTGGCCCGATCGCCGTTGACTCGGAAAAAGACTGTACTGACCTCTGCCGCGTTGCATCGTTCTTTGCCAGTCCGACACGACAATACGATGCCTACTGTGATTTTGCGGATATCTACGCTGACGGACAATGCTTTCTCTCTGAAATTCCAACATTGCAAGAATTCATCGTCGACAAAACTGGCTCCCGTGCACTTTCCTGCCGCGCTCTTTGCTCCTTCATGTCCGACTGCATGGTTGTTCAGACCGAGTCAAAAATAACGCGACGAATGACCTCCCGAACTTGCTCCTTTTTCAATGGATACGTCGAGGTTCAACGAACCAGGTTTCCCGTCGAAGTCGAGATGAAACAGACCATGTTTGAAAAATACATCCAAATGTGAACTGCTGACCATATTTCCCCTGTTCTGTTCTCTTTATTTCATTTACTATTCTACTTCTATCTTATCTTATTATCTTACTTATCTGAGTAAAGTTATCTCATGCAGAAAATCGCGTTTGCCAAATTCACCCTGTCAACACAATAGATAGTGTCCTTCTCTTAATGTTCTGTCTGGATGATGCCTGAGCTGCTTTGGTCTGTAAAAAGGGATCAACTGACTGTTTCCGGTTCTATTGTTGTATTTGCTTGTGTGTAAGTGGACAGTTTGTATATAGTAATTGAATGACTGTATAACTGACTGACAGCGTTAGATGGTTGGCAGAGTCTTATATAGAGTGGTGGTTGCTATGTGTTATTCAGTAAGATGTTGTCTTGGTTACAGTTCAGAATAGATCAGAGTTGGGACACTACTGTATCCCTCCCCTCCTGTCTAATTTTGAGAGCATAATTTAACTGAAGGAAGGGGTGGTATTTAACATTACTTCTTTGCTTCATTTCTTCAATACATTTCTTTGCTTCTGCTGTTGCATCATTTTAGTAGCGTAATAAGTGACTGAGTAAATATATGTACACGCAGTTTTCAAGTTTCATTTCAGTACATAGAATTTTTAGCGATAGTAGAATAAAATTTTTTTTTTTGTAGTTTTTTCGGTTTTTTGTAGATTTTGATTTTTACATTGATTGATTATAAAGATTTTTATCTTAGATTTTTTCATGAATTTTATACTTTTTTTTTTTTTTCTTTTGATGTTTTCTTTTTGCTGTGACTCGTTAGATGTTGTAGCTTCGTGGTTGTGGTTGTATTGGTTGTGCTTGTACTGGTGTGTTAATCGAGCTGACACAAGGTGTGCCGATATGCTGATTCTCTAATTGTGATGTGAGTTCCTCGATTCGCTTCTTCAAATCCATTATAACATAATCTTTCTCGTCGTGTTTGTACGTGATATTGTCCGATGTAATAATTAGCTGTTCGATTCTTGTTCTAGAAGTGGCGATGAGTTGTGCTTCCAGTTGTTTTCCAGCATTTGCCTTCGCTAATACTGTGCCGCTTTCGATTGCATCGCCTTCTTCATGCAATATTTGCCATTGCATGTTTTTAAATCGTTGAGTGTCTTTTGGTTCCAATTGATCTTCTTTCTTCCACTCACTATCTCCCCATTTTTCCCAACTCTCTGATTTCCAAGAGTGTTCGTTGGGGGAATTTCCCCATACCTTATCAGTTCTGGAACTGGTGACTTGGGAGTTCCAGTGGCTGTTTTTCGGGTAAATCTTTCTCTTGTTCATCTTTTTGTTATTTCTGAAAAACTTTGAACTGATTTCTTCTTCTGAGCAGTATCGTGGCTTCAACCGTTATATATATATACTTGTATTGACTTTGTTTCCATGGCAGACTGTAGTTCTTCTTTTCATTCGTGATTTCCGTTGAATTGTTCTTGATTTCCCTTCCTTCGTTGATTGTTGATCGCCGCGCTTTTTCCGCAGTTGGTTGCTATCGTCGATTTCCGATTTCCGCTTCAATTGTCCATCGTCGTTGCGTCGATTTCCTTTTTCCATTGTTCGTCGTCGCCGCGCAGATTTCCGTTTCCCATTGTTCGTCGTTGCTCCGTTTCCAGGTGGTGACATCCGCTTTGGTTCCGTTCCGGTGTTGACTTCTCCATTTATCGTCAAGACTTCTTCCGTTCTGTTTCCAGGTGTTTCCATTGTTCCATTGCTCGGTGGCCGCTCTCATCAGTCCGCCTAGCAACGCCGACTGTATTTAAAGTGATCAAAATCTGTCGATTCATCAAATTTTGAAGTTTAAAAATTTGTTGAAATTTTGAAACCATTATGCAAAGAGAACTTTTGCGCAAATTTTCCGAGTTCGAGATCCCGCGTAATCAGCAAGAGGTCGATATTCGCAGTTCGTTCCGGGCCACTGGATTTACCATTCTTGGGGGCATCTCGTCGGCGGATGAGGTGATTTGCTTTTTGGAGGCAGTCTTCTGTTGGGATGACTATCACGAATCTTTTGTGATTGCAGAGGTATTGACGCACAACGAAGATGGGTCCTATTCCCGCCGGTATCGAGTCTGCCCCTATGGTTTGGCGGATTCTGTAATTACGTCGCTTCTTCTTGGTCTTGGTGGAGCATGCTGCATCAATTTTACAAGGTCCAATTGGCATAAGATTTTAGACTACTCCTTTTTCAAGGAACATTGCTATTGGTTCAATCTTCAGAGAGAACTGGGAAGTGATTTGATGGCTGCAACATACTCCACTGACTTGTTTCGCCAGCTTTCAGTCTACTTCTAAGCCCTCTGTTTCTTTTGTTTTTTCGTAGAATATAGAATATTTTTGAACTGGTGTTTTACAGTTATTTGCAGGAAAAATAAATTTATGCATTTGAAGGTTAACAGTACTGATTTAGAATGGGTAAGCATTGAACGGGTAGGTAGTTGTTACTGTAATTCGTGTGAGGTTAGAGAAGTGTAATTCTTGGTACAGTACTTTTTTGCATTAAGCATAGCTAAGTATGAGTGACATGATAGGTACGACTGTAATAATGTGTTAATTACTGTAATTAACGTGAGATAAGCAATGTGAAATTTGTGGAGAATTCTGATTTTCAGGTAAATATCAAGGGTATTACTGTAGTTATTCTGGTGGTTACTAATGAGTAGATGGCGATTTACAGTGTGTTAGCAGGGTTACAGTATTTTGGCCTTTCGGCATCTTTTTTCAAAGAAAGTAGTTATAGTGGTTCTTCTTATCGGAACATCTTTTGCTTTCTTTGTGTGACTGTATTAAAATTTTATCTTCGCTTTTCTAGAGCGTGATCTAGTTCCTAGTCCTGTGAGTTTATTTGTAGAAGTTAAACAGCATTTCAGGAGGTTTTTTAGTAGGGTTAATATAATGATAAGTATAATGATGATAGTAGTAGCCTTTTCAATTTTTCCAAAATAATATTTTATTTTTGAGTGATGCTGAGATGGTATCATATTCATGACTTTGTTATTAAATAAAGGTAAAATTTGATCGTCTTGGTTAAAAAAGTTTTTTCCAAATTCAACGGGTGTAACTGTGATATTAATGTTGGTAGGTTTTTGTTTTTCAAATAAGCTAGCGGGCAAGAATAAGGAGGGATAACAGTCTACTAAAATTTCTTCGCCCCTTATTTTATCCGCGCTTATGAAATTTCGACCTTTAAACAGCTGTAATTCATTTGCGATATCATTTTCTTTTAGAATGATCTTTGATTCTTTGTGTGTGCTGATTAATATACCTCTTTTCGCAAGAGATATGTAACAAGTCTCTTGCTGTCCTTTGATTGTTAGTGGGTAGCATGTTATTGGAAGATCACTTTTGGAGTTAATCAGAGCTCGAGCGCAAATTCTTTCATGTGAATCATTGTTTAAATTTGTAAGCTTACATGATATTATATTTGTTGATTCGGAGCAGTGCTTTGCTGTGATTATTTCCATTATTTCTTGATTTAAAAATAAAAATTCTGGAATTTTCGGCATCAGATAATCATTATTATTCTCTAATTTCGGTGCAACGTTCATACGAATTGGTAGGAATGAACTTTTTTTCAGCTAATGGAATCTGCATGAAGTATCGAAAAACTAATTTATACGCTATTTCTGCATCTTTGAAAATTCCGATTAATTGAACTCGATTTTTGTTAAATAGATATAAACAGCTCGTTGTTATGTAATTTTTTGCCGAATTCAATTTTTTACATTTATTTAGAAAAGCGTTCAGAATTGTTGTGTCGCTTATATCTATTAGCTGATTTATCCTCATTAAGAATTTTTCAATATTTGCATTTACTATTTGACTAATTGTTGATTCTATTATTTGTGATTCTAGCTTACATGTTTCTTCAGCGATGACAGTTTCGATGGCAACTGTGTTACTTTTGATATGCTCTATGTCTTTCTCCATACTTCTAATTTCTTCCTCTTCTTTTTGTTTAAGTGAACCTCGGTATAAGTGTTCCATTATAAGTCCTCCTATTAGTCCTGATGCAACTGCTACTGCTTGTCGTTTGCCACGTCTTCGTGCATTTATAGCTTTAGGGTCGATTGAATACCATCCCCAATGGGTAGTGAGCTGATATGTTGGGAGGCCTTCTTTTTGGAGATAATTCTGGAAAATATTGCAAGCTTCTTCTGCCAATTCTATATGTACTACAAAGTACATGTTCTGTTTGCTCATTGGTTCGTGGGGAAGCGGGCATGTAATGCTGAAGTAGTCATATGCCATTACTGTGCAGTGTTTCCCATACATGGCCGTATCTATGTAGTCTTCTTCCATTGCTTCTTTTTCTTCGTCCGATAAGTAAATTACTTTGATATTATACTCGAGATTGTTTTCAAGCCAATCGTGGCCTTCTTCAGTGTTGAGCCAGGCTCTTTCTTCGTCGTTCATACTCATATGGATACCCACCTCTTCGATAAGCATTTTGTTTTTTACTACCATCCAAAAGACATTTGTTGGTTTGCATTGAAGTCCTATTTTTTCTAAATCGCTTTTTCCCGAGTTCAACACATATTCCTTAAAGATGTTGTGTGTTGTCACATTGTTGACGGAGTTGAATGGTGTCCATTTCAGATTTCTTCGTATTAGTCTGTAACCAAAATTGTAAGTCCTTCCTGCTGGTAAGTAGTTTGTGATTATCGTTTCTATCGTATTATTTACTTCAGTTCCTCTGAGTGTGTAGGGTAGTGAAATTAATGGATTTCTGTCATCTTGTTTGACAGTTTCTATTGAGCCATCTTCGTATTGTATTTCTGGCAATTTTGGTGGTTCTGCTGTTGGTTTTGGGCTGCTTCTTCCGTAAACTTCTTCATCATGTTGTAAATTTGTATTTTCAAGGAATGTGTTAAATTTTTGAAGTCCTTTTGCTTGAAGTCCTTCGTGCTTCGCGTGAAGGTCGTTGCAGTGGTAGTTTTCGCACGTAAAATAATTCTTGTTGTTTCGCAGTCTGTCTATGATACCGTGGGCTATGAGAACGTT